GGGGGGGGGGGAGGAGTCACGGGGTTCTTGCGGGGGCGATTATGCACTGGCGAGTCCTTAGTTCAATAAGCAGTGGAGTAGTTAGTTATATCTAGTTGATGTCTCGGTAAGCCGATTCTCAGCTTGCTTATACCCAAAATTGCCACAAGTGAGTATTGTACTATAGCTTGGTTACTCTTGTGTGAGACATACCAGACTCCCACAGGTCACCCGGGTAGACCAGGCGTACTGCGTATACTCCGTAGATGTAGCAGGATATGTCTGTTAACAGTAAGCGCTCTGGCCCCACGTCTATGGCTTGGTAAAATATGGTTTAGGCTTATGTCGCTTAGGCCCCTGGCTGCTGCCTAGATCTAGTAATGACCTACGCCACGAGAAATGCGGCTCTAATGGTTTCTGATAAATTCCGGGATGAGCCTGGTTTGGTGAATCAACAAATTGGATATGGAAATATTATGTGCCTCATATCTCGCGCTGAGCAGTAATTTGAGAGAATTCTACAGAAGTAGTCTGCTCTTTGCATGCCTAGTCGACAATCACGATGTTGGTTTTACTGGCATGGAGGATGACTTCGGACGCATGGCTATTGTCCTTTAGTGAGATTTCGAGTCTCAATCTACCTTGGGTACTTGAACTTTGTAGGAAGTTGGAGAACTCGACAAAATGTACATGGCAATGACAAATTTGATCAAAGCGCGATTCCATGGCATGATTACGTGTAGTTGAGCCTCCTTGTGGAGTCGATAAATACCTTAGCCTTAGCAAGGGTTGCAAGTCCTTCGAATGGTCTAGCCAGGTTTAGATCCACTCGATATTCAATCAGCACGGAATGCAGTCCTTCGTATCTTCATCATACCAGTAGCTTTAGGCATTTATCTACGCATTGACCTTTCTGGTTGAACAAAACATCTCAGTCAGACTCAATCTATATATTCCGGACCAATCGCGAAGCTCCGTACCCGATGAGGCTCTTTCTCCCAGTCTCCTTCGTATACTTGCCCCCCGTCAACCCCCGCCGCACTGTCCCCTAGAGCCTCCAAAACCACAGAACGGACAAACACAAAAACCAAGTTCTCCATGAAACAATTCAGCAGCCACACGAGTATCCCATGCTCTATCAACTCCCTCTTGCCTACCCATCATCTAGCAGGACTCCGCACACAACGTCAGCGTAATATCCGCATCCGTACTACAAGCCTCGGTCTGACTCGTAGCCAACGTTTCCACACCCCCATCCCAACAGATACTGCTGCAAGTATCGAGCGACGGATGCACAACCAAAGTGCTACCCGAGAACGGGTCACCGTAGACATCAAACAGATCATAGTACAGGTGGTCGGTCAGCGCGTACTGGAAATTGGTCTGCGGGCTGCCGTCGTACAGCCCGTTCTCAGTTCGGGTGATCTTGAGGGCGATGCCGCCCGAGACATCGTCGTAGTGCGTTGTTTCAGTGTAGTTCGCGCCTGGGTTGATGGTTTGACCCTCGCCGACGGAGCCACCTACGGACCAGAGGTAGACGGGGTCGGTGCAGGCGTTTTGGACGATGGCGTTGCTGGCCAGGGCTAGAGGGGCCAGCGTAGCGAGGAAGGTGGTGGTGAAGTGCATTGTTGTGGATTTGCGTTTATATCTAATAATGATATCTGGTAGAGTGCAACTTCTCAAGTACTGATAGCATGGAGCTGGAGATAGATGGGTTATGAGATATCGAGCACTGGGGTCAGGTCATCTTTATAACTTTTTCATTGAGTACATCGCAGTATCTATCACAAACACAACCAGATTGATGTTGCTTCCATAGGGCCATATCACTCGTGAAAACCCAATAGCGCAGAATTAGGGCTCCCGCATCCTTCACCATCCATTCCATTGGATCAACCACTGTCTCTCCTACTATTTCTGTAACAATCCCGTGCAAGGAACCGATCACTCAAGACACCAACCCGGTCAGGGTGACCATAGAATCACCACGGGATCTGCCCGTTTTTCGCAGTGCAGGCCCCGTAGTTACGGAGTCCAGAGGCAACAGGGACCGAGTGACCGTGGCACGAAGCAGAGGACTGCACCGACAAGGCCATGACGACGGCGATCATGTCTCAGGCCGCTCCGACCGGTACCTGATTCAAATCCTTGTCTCTTGAGATCAGAATAGAACTGTCCATAAGGCTAATTTAAAGGGTAAATGTACTGCCTCCGTAAGTGGCGGGAAGGATCTGGATAAGGTGGTAATGCATGCCTAGCGGGGAGGCGTCGCGGATCGTGCTCGCCCGCGGGACCGTACCAGATGACAGCCGGTACCACGCCGGATCTCTGGTGGTTTGTGCAGAAAAAATGTCAGACACCGTTACATTTTCAGGCACGATTTGTCCAGCATTGCCAAAGCAGCTGCAGGATCTCGTTGCTAGTCAGCTGCTGCAGTGACTGCCGAGTCGGCTTCTATTTCGGGAGAATATACTTGGGGAACTGCACATACGAACCAATAATCCATCGGCCATACCGAGCACTACATATAGTCCGCTATGAAGCTGATAGTCAGGCGTAGACAAGACTACACTAGTTCATTGTGGTCACCACGGCTTGCATGAGAGAATACGCCACCGTATATTTATCTTGCGAGGAGATCTGCGGGTGGAAATTGGAGAACCATGGGATTTTACGACGGCTATAGTGGTGTCCAGGACCGAAGATATGGGAAACAATCAATGATTAGCCATGAAACCACTCCATTTGGTAAAGAGAATACGCTGGTCAAATCTTCCGTCTCGTACTCGCTTCCGCTAAGCAGCGTCTGTTAATATGGGAACGAAGATCAGGAAACGAAATGACTGTAAAAATTGGGAATCCATTCGAATAGTTGATGCCAGACGTGCGCCAAGTTTCGCCGAGCCTCCGCCCCCAAATGCGTGCGGTAGGCCTAAATCTAAGGAAGCTTCTTCTCCTTTCGCTCGTTCATCCTTTCATGGGCAAGTCCTCATCAACCTCATCCTCCGTCTCGTCGAGGGCTTCATCCGCGCGTTCCGCGAGCCACTCAAACACTTGCTGCTGGTTTTCGGTCATCATCTCGCCCAGAGTGGATTTTTCGGATTTGTACAGCCTGCCGTAGCGCTTGGACGGCTTGCGATCTTGGTCTTTCCAGATCCCGTGTGAGCCGGAGACGAACACGAGAGAATTCTGTGGGGGTCGGACATATGTTAGTCAAACTGTATTCTCTCTGAAAAACTAGACGAGACCAAAAAAGAGGGATTGACACTTACATCTCGGTACCATTTGGACAGCCAGACCTGAGTGGAAGACGCAACGGCGCGGACAGGGTTCTCCGCCACAAATGAGACGATGCCGTTGACGCGCTTGTACAAGTTTTCTGTTCGGAGTCAGCCAAAGTTATATTAATTCTCTTAGTCTTGCACGCCAACGCCAAGAAAAGACAGATCGATGCAATCAGGCGTACCTCTGTTTATCAAAAGGTTGACAACACCGGCGAAAGCACTGCCGATGCCGAAGAAAAACACATCCCGCTTCTCGAAGAAGCTGTCAAGAAACCCGTTAGCTGAGCACATTGCTATCAGCCTTTCGCCACAGTGTGCAGCCACTTACTCGATGTAGTTATCCCACAAATAGTTTGCCAGCTCTTCGGTTGCGGTAGGACGATTTTCGTCTTCGTCTTCATATTTTACTGTGGCCTGTATGTCTCGAATGGTTACCCTGGGTCTCGAGAAGCCTCGGGGAGATGGCGGGGCGGTACGTACGGGTGTCTGGGTGATGTGTTTCGGAATGTTAACGTCAATCACAGCGTAGCCCTTGCTGATGATCCATCCAATGTATTCCTTTTGAGCATCGGCCTTGGAAATGTTAGCGCCTACTCATGGAAGTCCCTCAGTATCAATACTGGGTACACGTACCATCCAACAATTGTGGGCTTCGAGTTTGCTGGTCACGGGGTCCGGATATCCCATGAGCTCAGGACTGGAGATGGCGTTAGCTTCAACTTTTTTTTTTTTTTTTTTTTTTTTAAAAAAAAAGACAGCGATATCAAGAAAACTCACGGGTCATGGAAGATGACTATTAGCGGCACACGCTCATGATAGTTCGCGCTGTTGTGATTGTCAGTCGAAGGGAGACTGGTTTCCTTTGACATCTTAAAGTCCTACCTCGCCAGAACTTGGTTCTCAAAAGACCTGGAGATCTTCGTGCGATAGATGTACAGCGGGGTGAGTTTGAAGCTTTCATACAGTATTTTAGCTTGGTATCCGCGAAGAACATCTGTAATCCAGTCCACATTAGTTATTCACTTTGTCGCTAGATGATTCCAAAGATGACATACCGTGCAGCCGATCTCCCCCCATGGGATGCTGGGGTGGCCTGGGGTACATGCAGCGCCAATGCTGGGCTTGGATGCTCATGACCCGACCCACGGTCTCAATCGCATCCCTTGTTGGCGCAGTCTTGGTCAATCGGTCTGGGGGTTCTCCCATTAGGGTTTTGGTGACAGCCAGTGCCGATTTAGAAATCGAACGGAAGTTGTAACCTCCCTAAACATTCGCGCATTAGTCACGAGCTTCAACCATCTGATTCAAGAGGCTGTTAAAAAAAACTTACCTCCAGACAGACTGCAACCTTGCCATTGGCAAGGGTCATGAGCATGTGAGTCATTTGAGCATAGCATGAGGGCGAAACGAAGCAGCCACCCAACACATCGCCAGCGGCGGCATCGAATCCAGCGGAAACTAATTCCTCATCAGTAATGGGCTAAATCATGGGTTGCGTTGAAACTAACTGATCACCAGATCTGGGTCAAACTCCACGGCAATGGGCATCACCACTTTCTGGAAAGCGTGCATGTAGTCACCATCACCCATGCCCTGGTCAGGCCAAGGGATGTTGACATTCCTACATTCGATGATGAGCCAAAGGTCTAGGCCAAGCTGCCATTTCAGGTCCGACTAAACTCACTTTCCCAGTCCGAGTCCCTCGCCGCAGTGATCCCAATCGCCTTCATCGCCACCAGGATAGAACTTGCCATTCTGGTGAACGTGAATCGAGATGTAGAGAACATTGGGATCATTGTAGAAAGCCTTCTGCACTCCGTTTCCTGTTTTATTTTACTGTCAGATTACTATTTCGATGAAACCCCGTATGAGGGATCTCCCAGCATACCATGATGGACATCCCTAAAAGCTTCGGTCAGTCAAGTCATACAATTTTCGAGCCAGAAAGAGTACGCACCAGTCAAGAATCATAATTTTCCGACACTGATCGCCAAGTGTATTCTGGCAGACACGTGCAGCAACAGGCACGTTGTTGAACAAGCAAAATCCCATGGCCGTATCATGTTCAGCATGGTGACCAGGTGGACGAATAACCGCAATAGCGTTTTTGACCTGTCGTCTAGCAACGGCTAAGCAAGTCTCGATGGCACCTCCAGTCGACAGAAGAGCGGATGCAAAAGTGAGCCGGTTGAAGTAAATCGAGTCCCGCGTTGTCTCCAGATACACCAAGTCATCATCGGCCATGTCTATTTTCAAGGTCAGCGTGATGCTCAGTACAAACCGTAAACAGATTTGATATCATCCTACTCACCCTGGGTGCTTCGGACAAATGCAAAATGAGCCTCGGAATGGATCAAGGTGATCTCCTCTTTCGTGGCGTTGCGAGCGTTGATACGCTTCAGTGTCTGCGGAGCCAGCGGGTGTACGGACTCAGGATCATCCACCAACCCAGCACGACATAGCTCTTTGTAGATGTAGTAAATCCGTCTCGGGTCCTCGGGGTGTACCTCAGACGTGGGTCGGACTTCACAATGGTACCGCATACGCACATCATAACACAGACCGGTAGGAAGCGAACCAACTGGGAGACCAGCCCTGGCCACGACCTCCTCGTCAGACCAGTCTGAGTTCGTTTCAACCAAACTATCACGCTTGACGAGGTTGTCCAGGGAATTGCTCTCCGAGTCGCTCATCTTGAGGCGATCAGGTGGGGGAGGCATCCCCGTCAGGAGGGTAGATTGGGGTGGAAAGGGATCAGAGCCAGGGGAAGGTGATTTGTGAGCAGAGGGAAGGACAGAAGGTGCTAAACTAGGGGCACTGTCACCCTGATGGGGATGTTCAGAGGGAGGAGGATGGGTGAGAGTTGAGGAGGGTAAAGAAGGGACCGGCTTGTGGACCTCCCCCATGACGGTGTCCTCGTCTTCTCCCATCCCAAATGCGAACAAAGTTGCAGACAATGAAAGTTGTATAGAAGCAAACACCACTTGCTCTTTCGATGAGGTGATGGACTTTGTTTGAGAAACTTAGTATCTCATGACAAAAAGAGCTTGCCAGGTGGAGAGAAGCTGTTGTTCAATACAAGCAAGCACCTTTGACTTCCTGGTAGAGTTCACCAGTGCGATAAGGTAATAGCTGTTGTAGATATATTCAGAAACGGCCTTTATTGCAATGTATACTTTCTCTTTGGAGGGTGATGTATTGGATTGCTGGGTGTGGACCCTCGTCCGTATACAACGTCTTGGTGGTGTTTCCTTGTGAATAAAGGCAGCTTACCGAAGACCGTGGTAGCGCCGTTGGATGGATCAAATCCGATGCCGTGAAGTCAAATTATGGATCCTAAGTGTCCACAGAATGAATACCTGGCGGTATACTGTTGCCCCTGTAGAGTTTGGGAATTGCACAGGGTAGATGGGGGAGTAGATGGGATGTGCATGTTGGATCCCTTTTGGGTCGCTCGTTCATACTGCCGGACATTTTAACTCTCACCGCTTTGATGACCGCTTTTGAAGATCCACTCAAGTTGGGTGCAGTATAGAGATTGAACAGCCGGAATGGGTGGCTGACTCATGATCTTCCATGTTTTAGAGAACATCTGTGAGACTATTGGGGTTCATGACACGTCCAGGCCAAGGCATAGCAAGAAGTGATTGGCTAGATTAAATAGGCAAAGAAGCTAAGCAAAAAGAGGTTCAAGTCTTGGGAAGCTTTTAAGTCTAGGTCTCTGTCAGAATAGCTTTTTAGTCATGAAACCCAACCAGGATAGCTTGGGTTTTCTCAGGTGCATGAATGGAAGTTAGTGTACGCAATGTAACCAAGGACCTCACGCATAACTCCTGACCTGATAATTAGTTGATGTTGTGGACGAAGGAACAATATCAAGGAGGCCTGTGGTAAACAGCCCCTTTAATTGCAGTATTTCCAGTCCAGCTGCAACGTGAACATATACATTGCGTCAGAAGGAGACATAGATGCAATTTCCTCTGGTCTTCACCTTTCCTTTGCTGGAAACTTGCATTACACCCGAGCTAATTCGATATGTCAAGGAGCAACCATTAGCATTGTCAAGTACAAAACAGGAAAGAGTATTCAATAGAATCCTCCATTTGGCCGTGGCTAATGATTCTCGTGTCGCGTCGAGATTTCTACCTAGCATTGCTGGACCTCCGGGGTTAACGATGAACTCCGAGCTTGCAACATGACATATTGCAAGGCGTTATTAAACCATATAGATACCTGTGGACAGACTAATACCCATCTTACAGTACAAATATGACTTACCCTTCCAATCCCTCGCACCCTAGACTGGAATGATAACCCTTTGAATTCCATCGTGGCCAAACATATCATAGTGTCTGTAACGGGTGCACCATTACACCAACTCTGACCTACCCTGACCTCGGGACACCACATGCTATGTGCCAAGACAATTCCCCTAGCGATGAAAGATCTGGCCTCCCTGGAGTTTCCGGCGTACAGAATTTATATTTTCCCAAATGCAATGGTGGATCGGTATTCAGAATCGGGGTTCCGGGGTATTTAAATGCCATGGTAGTTCGATTGTTAATTGTGCACCTTGAGAAGATCTCAGTAATTAACTGTCACGGCTTGGTGCAAACTGGATTTCCCCATTTACCCAAAGACGGCATCAATAGCAGACTCCTCCCCCACCAAGGGTCCATTCAAGAGCATATTAGACGAGTAAATATCAGTCAACGGATAATATATAGGCTAATCGAGGAGAAACGTGTTCAAGACGCCACTACTCCGGTTCTACTACTATGTCCCCGATCAATAAGAAAAAGAGTGGAACGACGCATTAATGAGACATCAAACATATGATATCTGCATAACAGGATTTCGCACCCAAACTACACCCCGCATGATTCCTCAACGGTCCTCTATTCCGACATTTCCAACGCAGCCACACATGATGGACAACCAGCGCCAGCGCTATACGGCAGGAGATAGTCGAGCTTTGATTCCGTTGGAATGAACGGGGCTTTACGTGGTTAGGGTCCGTTTTTACCGAGTAGGGAGGAGTTGTATCGGCAGGGGAGAGATTATATGAGGATTCGTGGATTGTTCGGCGATTTAAGTGGTGGCAGGCACGATCACTAAATACGAATTCTGGTGGGTCAGTAGGCGGCCGGGGAATATGAGGAGAGGGGGGAGGGGTTGACGGTGGTTTTGACGTGGCCATTTGATGGTGTTGGGTATGTGGAAATAAACAAAACAAAGTTGCTCAATTATGAATGTTGCACTCTCTCTACATTCTTAGGTGAGTCAAAGACTGTTTGAACATGAAGAAATGTATTTGTTTCATTAAAATGACGTTATCTTGGTTTTTTCTACGAGGCACCGGCTACTTTTCGAGCGAACACTTCTAGTAAGCGACGATCATGGGCAACTCGGCCACCTCAAAGAACACTCCTGACCCCAGGACGCCGTCCTGATTCCTACTGGCCATCAACCTTGGCGATGTAGGCTGTAAAGCAACGGAGTTAGCACATGTCAAATGGAGATTCCACGAACAGAATAGAAGACTTACAGATCAGGTCGACAACACGGTGGGAGTAACCCCACTCGTTGTCGTACCAGGAGACGAGCTTGATGAAGTTGGGGTTCAGGGCGATACCGGCCTTGGCATCGAAGATGGAGGAGTGGTCGTCACCGTTGAGATCGGTGGAGACGATGTCGTCCTCGGTGTAGCCGAGGATGCCCTTGAGCTCGTTCTCGGAGGCCTTCTTGATGACGGCCTTGATCTCCTCGTAGGAAGCGGACTTCTCGATACGGCAAGTCAGGTCAACGACGGAGACGTTGGCGGTGGGGACACGCATGGACATGCCGGTCAGCTTGCCGTTCAGGGCGGGGATGACCTTGCCGACAGCCTTGGCGGCACCGGTGGAGGAGGGGATGATGTTCTGGGCCGCAGTGCGGCCACCACGCCAGTCCTTAGCGGAGGGACCGTCAACGGTCTTCTGGGTGGCGGTGTAGGAGTGGATGGTGGTCATCAGACCCTCAACGAGACCGAAGTTGTCGTTGATAACCTTGGCGAGGGGAGCCAGGCAGTTGGTGGTGCAAGAGGCGTTGGAGAGGACGTTGACGTCGGACTTGTACTCGGTGTTGTTGACACCCATGACGAACATGGGGGCATCGGCGGAGGGGGCGGAGATGATGACCTTCTTGGCACCACCCTTCAAGTGGGCAGAGGCCTTCTCGGTGGTGGTGAAGACACCGGTGGACTCGACGACGTAGGCAGCGCCAGTCTCAGCCCAGGGGATGGTAGCGGGGTCACGCTCGGCGTAGAAGCGGATCTTCTTGCCGTTGACGATGAGGCCGCTGGTGCCATCGATCTCGATGGTGCCCTTGAACTGACCGTGGGTGCTGTCGTACTTGAGCATGTAGGCCTGATTGGGTGAGATAGTTGTTTAGCTAATGCGGTTGGGGTAGTGGCATGATGTTTGGTGCGAAGCCTCAACAAGGAAGAATACAATCCCTGGCAAGTCGTGCGGCATCCCCGATCACCAACATCGAAATCGGGAGAGAGAGAAACGTACAGCGTAGTGGACCTCAATGAAGGGGTCGTTGACAGCGACGACCTCGACGTTACCGTCGGCGATGCTGCAAAGAGAGTGAGTTAGGAATGTTGTTCAGCCAATTGATTGTGCCACCAGGGCCGTGGACACCCAAGTGGGGTGGGTGGGATGAGGCAAGTCATCAAACTTACGCATTGCGGAAGACCTGGGGACACGGGTTAGCTCAAGCTTGGATAGAGCCTCTGCCCCGGAGGGCTTTTGAGGCGGAGAGGTAACCGGAAGAGAGCGACTTACAATGCGGCCAATACGACCGAAACCATTGATACCGACCTAGACGTAAAGAGTGTGAGTAGGAGAGGGCGGTGGCAAGAATGCGACCCGAAGCGCATACCTTGGGAACCATATTTGCGGTGATTTATTTTCTTCTGTTGGAGAGAGCTTGTGAGCTTTAAAACTGCGGATGGCCACAGGGTGGGGGCGGGGGTGACGGGAGGGAGGGGTAAGAAGGTGAAGGAGGGGAGGGGGAAAGATGGATCCAGGGAGGAGAGAGGAGAGGCAATAGGTGTAATTGAGGAGGAATTGAAGCTTACCTTGGAAGAATGTGAGAGATGGGAAAAGATGGGAGGATGGGGAGAGAAAAAGAGAAGAAGAGGATGAGAGGGGGGGGGAAGCAGAGGCAGAAGTAGTTTTTGGGAGAGGGCTGACGCAACGAGGGAATCACAGGGGACCTGTTTCGGTGGTATGGAGGAGTATATTCATTACGATTAGTTTACGAGATGCGTTACTATGTTACTATGGTGACTCTGGCTACTGGGTAGATCATGGAACCGGACGATCGATTCATTTACCATCAAGCTACACCGAGAGCTCCAGAGCTCTCTAGCTTCGGCTGCCTCAAGAGGCGAATTGTTCGACACTTGTGTCGTCCGATGAGGATATATTTTGGATCGTCGATGATTGGAATATGACCATTCAACGATGATCGATTCTACCATGTATACCCATGTATACGGGGATACAAAGTCCAATGGTGTCGATGGCTATCGATGAATAATGAATACCCTTCCCACCCAGAGGATCCAGCGTTTTCCCGGTCATTGCCGCCCGCAGCCCTGCCCAGCGCCCCTTTCCGGTTTCATACACCGGGGAAAGCAGGAAGCTTCACGATATTTCCTCACTGACTGCCCCTCGGTAGCTCCCGTACTGCTGCCCCTAAGCCAATAAGCGTTCACTGATCCTCGGTCGGGTTCTCGTTCTACCTCGGAGAACACTCTGGCTCGAGAATCTTTTGCCCGAGCAATCGGGTTGGGAAGGGGAAGATCATGATGGTTCACGAGAATGGCGGGGGTTCCTTTTCCGCTCGAGAAAGGAGCGTATTCCGGGGGTGGTAATATGGGAGGGGCCCGATGTGAGGCTATGACGAGGGAAAGGGAGGAGGAGGGGGAGGGGCAAAAAACGGACGGAAGAGTGGATGATGCCACGACTGAGGGGCACGCGGGAAGTATTGTGTACTTGCGATTGCGAGGGCTACCGCAGTATTTGCATGTCGAATCTACACTCAACTACCCGTCTCGACGATTTCGATTTGATATGGATACGGCCGAGCAGGATATAGTATGATCAATACCATCGCCTTCTACAGTAATCCCCTGTCAACGCCCGTAATTTTACCAATGGATCAACTCATCTCCCAACTGATATTCTTGCATGCGGCGCGTGGCCGAGTTAGCTCAAAACAGTCTGCGGTGGACCGGTGTATAAAGAGGGCGACCTCCCCGCCCTGAAAAGAGTCACCGGAGGCGGCCACCAACCACGGGATCCGGTAGACTTTTTGTTCTTAGCCCGTCTTTGTCAAATGCCGGATTACTGAGATCTGAATGGCTCGCATCTGAGTATATGACACCGTGGTATGAAGGCAATGGCAATTTCGAGAGCTTATAAATCCCGTCTCCCTGCTGATTGCCCCCGCGGCACACCATTTCCGAGCGGCGAAGAGGCGAACGAATTCCAGGTTGAGATCGAATGATCGATGACCTCGTGGTCATTGACCGCTGCAATGAATCATCCTAGAGCCAAGACCAGACTTCGATCGACTTTCGTTTTGATATGCCGAGCGCGCCGAATGTGATCTATGAGAGATGCGCGTCGCGGCTAGGGCCCCCGGGTCTGAAGGCGGTGGAACGGCATGGAAACTGACCGACCGAAAAAGGTCAACACAGCCCCCGTTGACACTGCACGGATGCCCAGATGCATAGATAATGCATGCCTACCGTTGAGGCTCCGACTCACAATCCCAAGTCATAGTTACAAATCAACGTACGGAAATCCTAGATGCATCGAGATATTACAAATATCGGAGAATTTTGGTAACGGCTCAACCTCGCTTGATGCCAATGCCACGGGAAGGTAAAGATATGAGATATAATACAGTCAAGAAGCCATCGCCGTGAACATGACCGGTCATTCTCTACCCTGGACCCCAGGAAGAGCGACAAGCAAGAACGTTCTATTTCAAACATAGACCCCAATCTACCAGCCCTTCCGCTGCTTCCCTTAATGCCCAATGCCATTTCCAATGAAAAAGAAAATCCCCCCCCGCGGGTTTATGTTTACTCCTCCTTGACACCACCCCGGTAGTTCTTCTCCGCGCTCTCGATCGAGGCCTTGTCGCTCTTGGGCTGACCCTGGGACATGAAGCCGCCAGCGTTCTTGAAGGGGCGGGCCAGGTCACCGGTGGCGGGCTTGCCGAAGACGTGGATCTTAACCAGGTTGGCCTCGAAGGCGCCCTTCAGGGGGATGATGGACTGGATGAGCAGAGGGTTGGTGTACTTCATGTACAAATGCATCACCGCCATCATACCCACACCCATAAGCTGGCTGCGGATCAGCTGGCGCAGCTGACCCTTGTCATAGTCCATGTGGGTCGTGGTGACCGGCTTGGCCTCCTCGCCGGTACCCATGGGGGCAGGCTCGACGTACTTGAGGGTAGTCATGTCTGGAGATTCAAGAAGCAGTTAGTTGATGTGATGTTTATTATCGGAGGTTGCGCATGCACGACTACAGATTGCGCGATGATAGGGGGGGGGGGGGGGGGGGGGGCATAAATATGGTCGCACGCGATCATCAACATACCCTTTTTAGCGTTGATCTTGGCCTGAGTGTAAAGATAGAGACCCAGGATCAGAACGTTGGACAGGATGTACAAGCCACGGACACCCATCAGGACCTGAGGATCCTCAAAGGGAACCTTCTTGGCCAGCTGCATCATCACAAGGATGATGCCAAGGTTGGTACTGTAAAGAGTAGTCCGTTAGTCAATTTGACAAGACAAAAGGAGATCGCATCATCGTCAAAACGTCAAGAATACATACACTTGAGCGGAGACCATTTTGCCGAGAGTTGAACCTGTAAACCGGGGTGGAGGAGCAGAGAAAGAATGAGGATGGGTGATCAGGGAGCGGAGAGAACGGTAAAACCCAAACTCGACGTTGCCTCCCCGGGCCACCTGGCGTTCTGGGGGATCGGACAAACTATTCTGCCGCTATCAGGAAGATTGTCACGTGACATATCACGCCTGCCCGTGCGGAGAATCAGCCCGTCCAGGATCACCGTTGGAAGAGAGCAGAATCGAACAACGACGGTTGGTCGACTATCCACTCGCATTTTGTGGGAAAGCGAGCTTGATCAGCCATGAGAACCTCTCTCAGTTCTCCCACCTCCGCAACCTTGTCCATGCCGGGATGAACCGGTCGTGGTGGAGGGGGAAAGTGAAAGGCCCGCAAACGGGTTCTTACTTTGCTCTGGCTGACGGCTCTCCACCCTTGATAGCAAAGGCTTCAAGAAAAGGTCACCGATTTTGATATGCTGGCTGACCACATTGAGATTAGCTCATGCTATCTCTTATGTGGTTCCTCTTGCATGGGAACTCCCATCTATTTCGACATCAAGGACGGTCTTTTTGCTGCGGGCGACCTTGAGACGATTACCGTTTTGGGACTAGCGCCGGGCCCGCGGTCGCAGTCTTTAGCGACCGGGAAGGTTGGACATTTCTGACTTCTCCATCCATCAACAACGCGCGTGCCTTCCGATACCTCGATATCGCAACTTCATCTCCCCGCTACTCCCCCGATCGCGATCTCTTTCAACACCCGCGCTTTCACTTGATATCTCCACAACCCCCACACTCGAAACTCTCTGTCCAAGATGCCTGGCGGAAAGGGAAAGTCTATCGGTGGAAAGGGTGGTTCCAAGGACTCGGCGGGGAAGGCCCAGAAGTCTCACAGCGCAAAGGCTGGTCTGCAGGTGAGTTTGTCGGATCGGTCAGGAGTCGGTGGGCGCGGATGGAAGGACATGCGATAGGGAACCTGGCAACCCCTCGATGGATGATGCAAAGACGCGTCGAATTTCAGACCCTTCCCCTCACTGCCGATAGTCGAGGTGATCGGAGGCGACTATTTTCGCATCGTGCCACCTCGTCGCATGTCCTTTCGCTCGCTCTCATTGCGATCCGGTCGCGCCTGCTTTAATCGCGCTGTCCTCGTCGGTCACTAACATGACTTTGCCCCGGTAGTTCCCCTGTGGTCGTGTCAAGCGTTTTCTGAAGAACAACACTCAGAACAAGATGCGTGTCGGTGCTAAGGGTACGTTATCTAAATCCTCCCTGCCTATTCATATTCGATGCTGACAAAGACTAGCTGCTGTCTACGTGACCGCCGTTCTCGAGTACCTCACTGCCGAAGTCCTGGAGTTGGCCGGTAACGCTGCCAAGGATCTGAAGGTCAAGCGTATCACCCCTCGTCACTTGCAGCTGGCCATCCGTGGTGATGAAGAGTTGGATACTCTCATCCGCGCCACCATCGCCTTCGGTGGTGTCCTGCCCCGCATCAACCGCGCGCTGCTACTGAAGGTTGAGCAGAAGAAGAAGGGCAAGCCCGAGCTGTAAACGGGGCCTGGATGGATTTTGTGAAGAGAATGACTGAAGGCGACCGACAGGTTCGGAACATGATGAGCCGATCTCTGTTTCTTCCGATGCTGCTCCCACCCTAAGGACGACTGTCCTCTCGCTCTCCCTTCCTCCCTCCCTCTCTCTCTCTCTCTTTCTGTCTCTCCTCCCGGGATCTCTTTTCTTGTCATTTCGTTCTTCACGGCGCGCGACTTTGATGTATTGTCTTGTCTATTCCCCGGCTTTTATTCTTTTGCTTTTTACTTTTTTTTCTCTTATGTTTCTTTACGTGTTGGATTCGTGTGATGTCTATTTCGAGTTCATAGGGCGCTGTAATGGGAAAATGGGGGATATCCTGGTTGTGTGGAAACTACTACTTCTACTTTTGATTAAATCTGACCAACGCGTAGTCTGTATTGATCATCTTCGTGTTTATCAATTTGTAGACCCATTATACATCACATCTGGCAAATGCAAAATGCATTCAATCAACCCACCGAGTTCCGTCCGGAACAATCCGAGAACTAAACCCGAGAGAAACAATAAACAAAAAAAGGGATCCGCGGGACATTCCTCACACCCGCCACAATGCTCAATGTACCACCCCCCCCTCTCCCTTTGCACATGGAATCCACAGCCCCCCCCCCCCCCCCCAGCTAGTTTCCACCCTCGCATCGCGATCGCGACGCACGAAAGAGTCATCGACCCATATCCTGCCAGCGGGTAAAACGGGAGGAAAAGCAAACGAAAAGTACTTCGTACAATTGTCTTAGCCATGCAGAGCCGCCGATTACCTAACTGGTTGCATGGAAATGGAATGGAGGGCCTGACTGGCCGTGCCGGTGCCGGTGGCAGTGCCAGTGCCAAGATCTCCTTAGTTACTTGAGGGTCGCACTGGGACTAGAACGTGGACGTGCATGGAGGGGACGGGGGATCGACAGGGACATTGCCGAGATGATCGTAGCAGGACCCCTGGTACTATGTTTTCGATGTTGGAAAGAGGGAGAGTGAAGAAGCGTGCTCAGCGGGTTTTTGACAAATGTAAAAGCGCTTTAGGGTTAGTGGTTCATCCGGGGAATAGTATGTGGTCCTTGATTGCTGGCGGGTTTCAGGTTGGGTTAGGCTTGTGTAGGTGGATTGCGGTTCTCAGGGGTCAAATATAGAGAAACAAGTCAGGATGGATTCATTATTACACACCTATACTTTTCTACTGACACGATACCGACTAAAAGATACAAGGATTTTCAAAATTTCGAGTTACAAGATTCAAAAAAAAGCCTCCTAACCGGTGAACAAGATGATCAAGAAAACTGATATAGAGAAGAATGGAGATTCCGGGATCAACACGGTAGAGTAGAACCTAGAGAATACCTACATGCACAGCTGAAGGTATCATAACAGAGATCTAGGCAACGCCACAAAGTCAACCCCGAAACCCCTGCTCAAGTGACCTAACCTCAACCCTCTTTCGAGTCTGCAAGATGGAAACAGCGTCCAAACGCCGGTCAGCTCACGCAGAAAATCGCAAGAGAAGAGAGAATCAAGTAAGAACACCGCTGCCCCATCAGAAATATGAAGAAGTACCACCGCTCCGATCCCCTGAATGTCACGTCAGACACCAGGGGGATCAGATACGGATGGCATCAAGAAAAAACAAGTGGGGAAAAATCGGGCCAAACATTAAATCGATCAAAAAATCGCCCCCCATGTACAAACTAGAACGGGCAGAGAGAAATATGCAAATGCTGAGATTGTCGTGTCTCCCGTCGTGTGGACGGGGGTTCTTTTGGTCATTCTTCGTATGCGTCCCGCGTCACCAAAGAGCACTGGATCTGGAAGTCTGGGGATCATCATCATCATCATGGGCGAAACGATAGCGATCACCAAGAGAAATCCGAGGGTTGCAGTGTCCGGGGAGGAGCCAAGTAACAAAGCCATGGAGAAGATTTGCATGCAAGAAACAGCGCCCGTAGAGAAACGGGGTTGGGAAAAAAAGGGCGAAGAGAGAAAAAAGACGGAAAAGAAGAAAAAAAGGAGACAAAAGTAGAAAGAAGAAAAGACAGAGCCAACAGAATCAAGTCCAGATATTCATTGGAAGAGTAAGGGGTGATCAATGGCCTCGAACATTCTCCAAAGAGAAAGGATCCGAAGAGCAAATCATCCCCATGGTGGGTGTATGGAGGACTCGAGACAAAAAAGGTGCAAGTTGCAGAAACAGAAGTGCAAGTGCGGATCGTTGGGCTGCCCCAGAATACAACAGAAAAAAATAAAACGTCTAAACTTGGCTAGTAAAAAGAAGAAAAAAAGAGTAAAGTAGATCAGATCAGCGACACAAATGGATTTTTCTGGTCTTTTTGGGGGCGTGTTTGTCATCTCGTCATCCCTCATCGAAATCGTAAGCCGGTAATTCGCAGAACAGGGCCTCGTGATACACGTTCGTATTCGTCTCGCGGCAAATCAGTCGGATGCTGGCAAAAAATAAGGGGGAAGGGAGTCGCCATCGTCTTGCACAAAAAAAAGAGAAAAGAGGTTATACAGAAACGGAGAAAATGGGTGATTCTTTTCCGGTTCCCTTTCTTGTTCTTTCCTTCTTCCCCCGGTTCCAACGGTAACGGGCAAAAAATCGTATAATGGTAGTATAGCAGTCGGTTCGGTTCTCGGATGGGGATCGGGTTGGGGGGAGGTGGTGTGATTCGAGAATATAAGGAGGAGGGTCGTGATCGTCTACTCCACGATGATCTCAACCCCCGAGGTAGCACGAAGCTCATCACTGCCACGGGCCTGATGACCGTTCTGGCGGCGGAAGCCGGTGCCCTTCTCGGGTGTCGGGCCACGGGGCTGTCGGATCGGCATGCGCTCTTGCTGGGTACTGTCAAAACCCATTCCCATGCCACGGTTGCTACCAATAGTACCAGCCGCCGAGGACTGGCTATCCTGCTCCCAAGAGAACATACCACGCAATCGTCGAGGGCTGGAGTTGGGGCCTCCGATGCCGGTGCCCAGAGACAGGCCACCAAGGCTGTTCACGAGCAGGTTATCATCACGCTGCATACCCAGAGAAGAGCCGGACGGCGCCGAAGTCAGAGTCGGGGTGTTGGAGGTGCCGGTCGGGGCACCCTCGTATTGCAGACGGGTTCCGTTGGACTGCAAGGCGGCAGGGAAGCTCGCGGAGGAAGGGACGGGGGACGGAGTGTACGAGCGCAGGTCGGCAAAAGACTTGGCGGCTCGCAGGTTTTGAGTGTTGGCAAAGTTACCAGGCGAGTCCATCACACCCAGGAAGCTAGAAGTCTGACCCCGCAGGGTGTTGAAGGCACCGGGGCCACCCTCGTTACGGGCCTCACTGAAGTCGATCGTAGCCGCACGGTTGAGACCACGGCGAGCGCTGTCACCGGGTTGTCCCGCGGGCGGGATGGCCGACAGAGGGGGGCTGACGTTGGTACCGGCCGCCACCTTGAAGACCTGAACCTGGCGCTGATCACCATTACCGCGGGAGGCATGGCCCAAGCCCATGTTGTGAGCCAGAGTGTGAACCGTGCGTCGCTGGGATGGGGTCAAGTTGGGCGGGAAGATGACCGAATCACGGGCGGTGTCCTCCTTGAACAGGAGCAATTGCGAATAGTAAGAAAGAGTCTGGCTATCGTTCAAATCCACCTCTACTTGTTCGTGTTGATGAGCAATCAGGTCACTGTCGGTTGTCGGGAAGTGCCTGATTGACTTACCCAGCTTCTGACCGCGTTGCGAGACGGGTGAAGGCGAGGTGGCCGGGATATGCGAGGTCAGCGAGGACATGGAACTCTGCGTCTGCAGCTGGGACGAGGCCATGGGCCGGTGCTGTTCTTCCAGTTGGCCACGGCGCTCCCGCTTCTCCCGTTCGATGCGTTCCCGCTCCTGCAGGGGGAGCATCTTCTTGTACTCTACACGTAGTTTGCGGCCCTGCAGTTCAAAGTGGTTGAGGACCTCGATCACCGTCGCAGTCTCCTCCGCCGAAGTGAAGTTGGCAAAAGCCAATCCACGGAACACGCCATTGTCAAAGTGGTAGTTGAAGGCGTAGGGGAGGGGCAGGTTCAGCTCGGTCATGAGCTGCACCAGCTGCTCCTTCTTGACAGCAAACGGAATGTTCTTGATCACGATCGCAGTTGGGATCAGTTCGTCGTCGCCCTCGGAGGAAGCCGATGCTTCCGGGCGCATCGCACTGCTCTGGATGGGGCCAGGGCCCAAGTTTGAGAAAGCGTTGGGCATACCGGGTTGCTGATCCAGCCAGGTCTAAAAAGAGAAAGAAAGGTAAGTTTGAGTTGGGGCACTATTTTTGGCCATGGGTAGTGGGGAGGGAAAAAAAACACCCCGGATGTGAAGAAACATCCCAAGGGAAGGAGGTGGGAGGAAAAGGGAGACGACAGCCACGGAAATTTTTTTGGAAAATTCAGCACGCCGGAGCATAACAAAACTACATACCGTAGGCAGACCGGTGCGTCCGCGAGCATTAGGCTTCAAGCTGGCCGAGGCCGACCGAATCCCACCAAGGGACTGGGCGTTAGCGAAGCCATTCGGGTTCCAGGTTTGGGATCCGGACAGATCATAGGCATAAGAGTTGTTGTTCTGGAGCGAAGGGTTCAAACGCTCGAGACGGGCAGACTCGTAGCGGGCCATTTGATCCTCGTAGAGATTGACAGGCATGGGGCCGTAAGCGTCAAACTGGCGAGAGGGCTGGCGGTGCAGGGGTTGTTGATGCCGCTGGGATCCAGGGGAACGCGCGGAGGGATCGTGATACATGTCCGATTGTTGGTAACTCATGGCGGAGGAACGAAGGATTCCCGGGGGTGGCCCGAGGAATGTGAGTACGTAGGATCCACCACAACAAGGTCCACGTCTATTCGAGTCTCCGAGTCCGAGTCCAAGGCCTTAATCCTGACTCGATTCCAAGTTCCCGTGAGGAGGGGGAGGATGTGGTCGAGCAAAGAGTCCGTGGAAAGCACGGAACTATTCGGACATGGGAGTGGGCCGGATAAAAGTGTCGAGGTCGGGGGGGGGGGGGGGGGTAGAAGGGATAGGATAAAAAAAAAGTGGTGGAGGTTTGGTTGTTGGGAGAGGAGAAGGAGAAGAGGGTGGAGGAATTTTGCGGAGGAAGCAGACAAGGCACCAGGGCAGAAAAAGCGTGCGGTGCAAAGAGGGACCAAACAGCAAATTCGCTCACGGATGCAAAGTTCGTGCTCGAGGTCGTCAAATGGGGGAGGAGGGAGGGAGAGAGGGGGCAGGTATGAGGCAAAAAGGAGGTTCTTTTTTGATTTTTGCTTTTTAGGGGGGAGGAGAGACCGAGACGCCCGAGAATTTTCACGGTGTCATTTAAGAGGCCAGAGAGGAGGGAGAAGACGAGAGGAGGAGGGCAGAAGGCAGAGAGCGGGGGGGCGAAAAGGTTTTTGGGAGAGTCGGCGGTCCCACACAGTCGAGAAAGAGAGTCGCCAAGAACCGGGAGTAAGGAGGCCCGGAGAGAGAGAGAGAGAGAGAGAGACAGAGCGTGTGCTAAAAGACGATGGTGATAATACACACGGATCGTGTACGAGACGGGCTGTTTGAATAGGTTTCTTGAATTTGGATTCGGAATAATAGTAGAAAAAAAGTAAAGAAAACCAGAGCAAAGTCTCGATCGTTTTAGGGGGAAGAGGTTGGCTCCGGCACTTATATAGTAGCCGCCCGCCAGGAGGTCTCTCGGACGCGCAGAACGAGCGAGAGACTATCTCCCGTCCAGCACGCTAAAAATGACACCCAGGCCACTGTGGTTCCTTTTGCCACGACTGGAGACCACTATGGGGAAGAAGTGGTATAATAATAGCATGTGAATGATCAATAAAGAAGCTGGAAAAAAAAGATTAGAGTTGGAATTAGACTAGCAGAAATTCGGAGAACTACTCGAGCTATTCGGATGATCGTGGTCCAATTCCAAATGTAATTCTATATCCAATAAGTGTCCGTCTACTCTCTCTATCATCATTCTACCTTGATGGTAATGTACTAGAGTCAGCATAATCTAGATAGTAAGATCAAGCCCATTACTAACGTTGACTACTGCAACATCGTAATCCATTGGATCATGCCCCTGGATGTGCTCAACTCCCTCTCTCTCTCTCTATGGACGTTCTGGACAAACTATCGTGCCAATCGGAGATTCAACGCAGCTCCTTATGGGTTCAATTTTGTCTCAGCTCCCCACTCCTCACTCCTACAACCCACATACTACTATGTACTCCCTACACGGAGTCCTCTTCCCCCCTATCCGACTTTCTTCTATCCCTTAGCTTCCAATCCGTCCGTTTTTCATTTCCTTCTTAGCCTTCCATTTCACCTTCTAGCACTATTCTCTAGTGCTCTTCGAGCTTCGCCTTCCCATCCCCTAATTTCTTCCCGAATCCCACCACGATCGCCCCCCCCCCCCTCCCCACTCCCCCCCTGTACATACAGTTGGAAAGTTCGAAATCGGGTCTTTTCCGGTCATCTGCAGTGCGCATCGAATCAGCGGGCGAAGAACGGGTTCCAAGCTCACGGAGCAGTCGCTCGGCTCCCCTATCCGTCATCCCTTCTCTTTCTTCCAGTCATAGTATTGCCGAATTTCATATTTCTAGTTCCTGGCGCCCGTGCTCCCCCTTCCCGGTGTCATACTTGACACGTCTCCGCTATTGGGGACATCGGCAAACGCAGGCGAGCAGGAGGCGCTGAACGCTTCCCTGTGGCTGTTGCCTGAACAGAATGAGCGTACGTATAGGGAACGGTAGCTAGTAGTGTATGAATTATGGAGCAAATCATAAGAGCATTATGAGATTGAAATTAATTTCGATCCTTGCGCAGATGGACCTTTCTTTCAAAGTACCAAATTCGGTAGAGTATCCGGAGGAGAGGCTACAGTCCGGTGATGTGCTCAGTTCCAGGAAAATAGCAGTACTCCGTACTCATTCGCTCCCTAAGGTCAATTGTTCACTAGAGCATGGACATCCCCAGAAAGTCGAGCAAAGCCACCTCGCCGTGGATCGCACAAGCAGTTTCAGAGTGACATCTTACCGGTCCAGCCCTCTTGGTTCACGCCGTGCCTCGTGCTTCGCCGCATCGCTACTTTATTTGATACGTTGACGGCTCTCCCGTCCCGCTACAGCTTTGGCATTTTCTTTTTTCCCTTTCTAACCGTAGGAGCATTAGTCGTGAGTATGTATGAATCGAGCTTTTCTGATGCATTACCTGACTACGATCACTATGGATTTGTTCTAGTTACTGTTCTTATCCCAGTATTTATTCTTTTAGCTTGTACAAAGTCCCAGGGCCGTTCTGCGTTCTATTCTGTTCCTCTTTTTCCGTATCTTTGAGCTCCCGTCGTAAACGAATCAACCCACCCCCTAAACGTTGGTCTCCTTTTTCTCCCTTTTCTTCCGAAGTAAATCCACCGGCCTGTCTTCCACAGAAGGTCTAGCCTGTCTTTTAGGGGATCGTCTCGATCTGTCCTGGCCGTGACTCTTTGCCACTTCAAGTGTACGGAGCTCAATTAATGATCATAGCTCCACGCATCATCCCTGGTCATAATTACCGCCCAATCATCCGCTGAATATTCTCACAAAAATGTAAACAGCACAATGATAATAAGATTGACATCAACAATGATAGCTAGCAAATATAATAAAAAGAAACAGTCCACCTCCGCCCACAGACATTGTAGACACCCACCAATAGTTTGGTTCGAACGGATCGGCCCAGCACCTCCCGGCAATCAACCATTTCTCTTGAAATTCCAAGTCGAATCTATGCCAAGCCGCCTTTTCTCATTATTTCTCCTCTGCCTCCACGAGTCCACGCCCTGATTGACGGCGCATGGTGCTATACCACGCCATCTCCACTCTCCCTCCACTAGCCACCCCCAAAATAGGCAAAGAAACCTGTGCTCGTCTCCACGATCCGCACATCCCCCGTTCCTAGTCTCCCGCGGAACTTGGCTGCAACCTGTCCGGCTCCTCCCAACCCATCAGCTAGAAACCCGCTAGAGACGGGTTAGAAAACCGTCCTAGTGGAAACGTCAGATATTCCGATGCTTCCTGCATGTTGGGTCGGTTGTGGAGACGTCCTGCAAGACTGGTTACTGGTTCTCCCGGCTCCCGAGTTGACGGTGCGCTTGCGCGTGGCGGGCGCCGTCGTGGTTCCGTGACCATGTCGAAGGGGTTGATGGGGAAAGCCTCCGGAGCTTCTGGTAGACTTTCCGTGTGAAGCTACCAAGTACGATTCTGTTGCCTGATTGGTGGTTTGCTGACTCGGTACTTGGTGAATGGGTGCCTTTTTGGGGTGCCTCCCCTTTTCTCTTTGTTCGAGATGTGCAGGATTGCAGGTGATATCATCCGTATGCAGCGATCTGCTCATTGTTACTCGTCTTGGGCATAGTGCTCGACATACGAACCCCCCCCCCCCTTTTTTTTTTCCAGGTCTACTGACGATCGTTGATCCTTCGTCTTTAGTGCTTTGATCTGACTTATGACGAAAGAAGCATCAACTTGCTAGTTGAGTATGAGAGCTTCGGCCAAATGTGGGCTTCGAGCTTGGCCTTCGAGAAGGAGCTTCCATGAGCGTTTTCCTCAGTGTGGCGATGAAGGGCCGTTTAAACTCCCAAAATATCTAAAAAAAAAAAAAAACATAGCCTTACGCCCTAGTGGAATGGGCCGCTTCGTTTTGGCGTCTCTCATCGTCTACCAGGGTCCGGGAGCGTCGGAGACGATGTTCTGCATTTCTTTGCATCCAGGGGGAACGAGGTCTCCTTCAATGGACGAGTGGGTCAAGGATGGCTACTCGCTGCCCTGGCGAATCTGGGTCCTGCAAGTCCCTACGGGTGCAAATAGTTCTTGCTTCCGGTACGGTGTACGGAGTAAAGAAGAACCTAATGATAATTAGGTTAACGACGTACTTTGTCCAAGGTACTAAATTACGAAGCTTTAGTGCCTATTATTGTTGGCGAGAGCGAATCCCGACCATCTTGTCACGGGAGTAGGACTCAAAAATATCGCTCACCAGAATTAGTGCTCGTTCTAGCGGAGTTTTGGTATAGATGCGACGATCGCCAACCAGCCATTGAAGCACAGTCGACTCGGTGGTCCGAGGGGTCAATAGCTTAAATGTTTTCCACCAGTGTCTCATCGTATTATACGGTGTTATTAAGCAGGGGCCCAGAACTCCCACGTGGAAGTGGATTTGATAAAAGAAAATTGCAGTGAGGCATGTTCCAGGCCGAAAAAGGAGTCTAATCATCAGCAGGAGCTTTGGTCAGGAGTCCAATTCACCTACCTTACGGCCTAATAGTTAAGAGGTCGGAAGCATGAACGCAACATGGAAGCAGAAGTTGCGGGAGGGGAGGCACACCTAACTTCCCCAGAGTATGTTTGGGGTGCTCGTTTCGAATCGCTCAGCTAGCGGTCCGTCTCCCTTGCGAATAAGGCGAAGGGGCAAGTGGCGAGGGAGTGCGTCTGTAGAAATATTTCCAATGGTTGAGAGAGAGAAAGACAAAGAAGTATGGGTGGAATGGGCCGAATATGAATGGTTGGCTGATTGATAGGCTGTAACTATCAACTGCAGTTCCGGTTGTTGAGTACACCTTCCGGTTTCAGTTTTAGAACTCTTCGCGAAATCGCTTACGTCGCCAGTCCAATATATATCACCACCGAGTCGGATCTTAATTGAGGCGGTGACATATCCGAGCATGGCGATGGGATCAGCCTTGCTCTACCCACTGGCACGCTATCTGAAGAAGAGCGCTCTTTTGCGATATGGCTCATGATTTTTCGATCCGGGTGCTCTGTGTCAGAATATATCCTGCTCCGATAAAATGCCAGATCAGGATGCAGTATGACAATATCCAGGGGTCCATTCAGGGTCTTCAAAAAGGTCAAAGTAACTCATACTATCCAGGCCCATGATAGCCTATTGTACTACGTCAGAAGGGTTTGCCGAGAACTTTGTGCCACATGGCCATGTCAATGCGACCAAAGGTAGACGTGAAGCAAATCATGTAGACTCCATAAGTTTGGAAAGTGTCCACAGGCGAGCTTCTTGCGACGTCAGTCGGCCCAAGAGTCGATTTACTTTGTAAAGTTCCTCATCCAGCACAATTGGCGGAGTTGCATCGCTTGCGTGATCCAATGTTTATCTCGTCGGAGATGGACATCGCCTAGACCGAACGACAGTCTAAACGGTCAACTCCATACATCCTCTAGTCCGTTGAAGACGCGCCCGTGGTGATCACCGCCAATGAGGAGAACGGCCGTGGCGTAGACAAGAGTGCGGGCCGTGACCCAGACATGAATCGTGAAACAACCCACGGTTCCAGGGTTCCAAGGGGTACGAATTGCTTACGAATTGGAGCCCCACTGAAATCCGATCGTTGCATCTGAGGATCGTTAGAGGACGTCAGTATTTTGCTGATTATCATTAGAAGAGTAGACTATTGCTAACTATCGGGAGTGAAAGGATGGGATCACCGTCAAGATGTTGGGTCGTGCACTTCAAAGCAATGCCTTGAGGACAAAATATAGCCCTCGGAGGCAGCCATCGGCGCTTGAATGGCGCAAACCGGCCCTCGTACGCGGCCCCTGCAAGCCACCTCGAGCCCGGTGCCGATCGGCTGGGGCGGGAACCATGAGGATGTGTGGACGAGCCCAGCCAAACGACCCAATCTCATCGTCGCCGTCGTCGTGAGTGGGGCCGATGATGCTTGACAGAAAAAGCTGGCGTGTTTAAAACGTTGCCAGCCTGCCCTTCATGGTGGAAAGTTGCGGCTGAAGAAGCTGGGAGACAGAGCGAGTTTATATTATTTTGTCGTCCTTCTCGTCCGTGGCTCCTACTGTTCGATCAAGAGACCTCCAGCAGGAGAAGCCTCTTATATCGGTCGCGCAACGATGCGCATTACTTTTCGCGTATTAATCGCTGTCGCCTTGGTCGTCACTATCCTGCTAGTCAAGAATCATTTGGATTCTCTCGAACCACAATGGCAAGTCGATCGCGGCGCTGACCTTGCGCCGGAGTTCGTGCTGGATAGCGCAGGCGCACATATCGAGCTGGTCTCGGCAAATCCCACACCACTTTCACCAACGCACTCTTCACATTCTTCACAAGCGTCATACTCTCCTTCGCCGATTACACCGCAATCAAATCCTGCGCCGCCGTCAAAAACATGGCCCGAGCCGACGAAGGTGCCCGTGACGCCGACCAAGTTTGATCCGAAATCAATCCCGGTGGATGTGCCGGGCGCGTATGATGATATTTGGCAATATCCGTTCTGGATGGATAGAGATGATAACAAGGGAATGATTCATAATCTGAATGTGAAGCCCAAGCCCAAGCCCAAGCCCAAGTCGACTCCCAAACCCAAGGTCTCGCCGTATCCCGATCGCATTGTCGTCTTGGGTCGTATGTCGTGGGAGAACTCGGATTGGTTGGAGGAGGAGTTGCCCGAGTGAGTTTCTGTGAATTGAGATCCCTTAAGTCAGTGCTTTGAACTAACCTCATGTGAATCCTGCAGATGGCAACATGCTGTCTACGTGGTCGACGAGCCCGACTCGGAACATACCGTTCAAATGAACAAGGGCAAAGAATCCAACATTTACCTCCAGTATATTATCGACCACTACCACAAACTCCCCGAATATATGGTCTTCCTACACGCCCATCGCACGTCCTCCCATGTCGAATTCTGGGAGCAGGATAACGCCTTGACCATCAAACGCCTCCAATTGAATTACCTGAAGAAGGTCGGCTATGTCAATCTTCGCTGCGGTTGGTACCCAGGCTGCCCGGATGAAGTCCATCCATTCCGCCAGTTGGAAGGGCGCACGACGGAAATCGCCTTCGCAGGCGCCTGGATCCGTATCTTCAATAATACGGATATTCCCGAGGTAGTGGCTACCCCGTGCTGTGCACAATTTGCCGTGACCAGGGCACAGGTTCATGCTCGGCCTTTGAGTGACTACCAGTCTTTTCATCGCTGGCTGATGGAGACTGAGTTGGATGACGAGACGAGTGGTCGTGTGTTTGAATATTTGTGGCATATTATCTTCGGGCAGGATCCCGTCTTGTAAGTTTGGCCTTAACTTGTTGCCTTGTGGGAGAATTGCGCTGACGTTTCGCTCTTTCTAGTTGTCCCTCAAAACAAATGTGTTATGAAAATGTATATGGAATGGAGTGGGACTCTGCCTACGAGGATGTTTTGGAGGACTGGGATGGTGATGATTTTTGGTTCGCACGATGAGTGATCTGTGTATAGACTGTGATAGAAAACTCGCTCTGCATAGCATTAATGCATCTCGAGACGAATAGATACGATAGATACCCTTATGTCCTTTTTTCTTGTTTATATTGCCCTAAAGTTCCTGTTATTACTCTTTTATTCTTAAGCCTGGGACTTTTTCTGACCGAAATTGGATTGAGAATAAGGTAATGCATGCCTCGTGCTTGTGCCCCTGGAGAAATTTACAGTGCCGCCTTGGCCGGCTATCAAGCAGGGTCCAGTGGTGAACCCTACCTCATGATGTAAAGGTCTTCAATACTGCACAATCTCAAAAGAACGAACGTAACCCAATGATTAAGCAGTGATAATACTCAAAAAGTCAACACTAGATCTGAATAATTCATAAAACCATCCTCGTGAACATTCTCGTGGCCACCCTCTAAGCAACTCATAGCGTGCCGTGTTCCATTCTCATTCACATCATATCACATTGATATCCAACCAAATTCGGAGATCTGTCATCTACAACCAAGCGAGAGGCATGAGACCAGCAACTCCAACCAGAGAGAGAACTCCTGGAGCTGTCAAGCCCACCGCAGCACCGGTGGAAGTGGCAGCGACCGCGCTACTGGTAGTCCCGGTGGAACCTTGAGACGAGGTACTAGCAGAACCAGCGACGGAGGTTGTTCCACCAGTTGCAGTGGCGGTAGCACCTGCCGCTGCGGGATCAGTAGTGCCAGTAGCTGCGGCACTTAGAGTAGTGGCAGCAGCAGCGTTGTAGGTAGTGGTGCTGAATTTGCAGGAGTGGACGAGGTCAAGGGCTTCTACCGGCGATACATCAGTATGTTGTTATCCAACAATGAAGATAGATCAAAAACAGTTCTTACCATTGTCATCATCGTGATCGTCGTCATCATCACGGTCATTGTCGCGGGGGCCATACTGGGTGATACAGGCAGCGCAGAGAGGAATCTGTGTCTTGGCTGCTTCCCAGTTGCAAATGCACTGCAATTCGGCAGAGTCGTTGTCATGTTGATTATCGCAGCGTCTGGAGACTCCAACTACAGAGCCACAGGCATTCCAGCAGCGGTTCGGAACGTCGTCTTGCTCCAGCTTGGCTGCAATTGCGACGTTGCCGGCGAGGATGAGGCCACCGAGAGCGAGAAGTTGTTGGGCAAGCATGATGTTGAGTCTGCGGGGTTTGAAACGGGAAACTATAAGATTGTTTGTTAAAGGAATTGATGAAACTGTTGATATGACTTTGGTTGATGGAATTGAGCTCTCTTTATATGTTTGCTATCGCAACCAAGACCCTGATGTTTCTATAAATGAAGTTACCATTGGGCGATGCCGATCCAGGACATTGCCTACTTTCTTAGGTTTCCCTCCTTCGCATGTTGCCGATAGACTGCATCAAGTTGGGAAAGTGAGCTGCTGAGCCCCAGGGGATAATTCAGACCCTTAGTATCGATATAGAAGCGAAGCTCCCCGGCAGGAATGATCCCCACATCGACTGGAATAGAGCCAATGTTCTCGAAAGAAAAGGCGTTGCCTGGCCCATCTCTAGATGAGCCCAGAAATAGCCAAGAGCTGCACGGCGGGAGATCATTCAATGAAGCGGAGACTCTAGAGAAAGGCAATTCTGTTACATATCATTTTTGGTTGAGAATTCGGTCTAACTCTTCGGCTGGTGATTCTGGGCCTACGCGAGGACATCTCAATCTTGAATTGAATACTACGGGGCACACGACTGTAGGTATAGCCTTGACGATATCTCTGGGAGAATTTTATTTCCAAGAATCCAAATCTCCAAAAGTAGCTTGTCTGCCAAGAGCGATGCACAAAGATATTCATCTAAGCCACCCTGTGGGGCCGTCTGTCCTCGGCATGATGGCTCTGCACGACAGTACGTTTAGGCCTCCTTGTTCACTAATGAAACCGAGAGGATGATCTGGGGCATAATATTGGAGGAACTACACAAACTACATTTTCTTTTATCAAAGAAACAAAGTGTGGCTGTTCCTATCATGCACGGACCCTGCCTCTAACCGAGCCAAAATGCTCCATCAACCCGATCCAGTAGTTATATATAGATGGCGGAACCTGCAGCTTGCATCTAGGCTCCGACGTTATGAAAAGGATGCTCGCGAAGAATTTTACCTTGACTATTAACCAGGAAAAAAGACGTGGGATTGAATGAGATGGAGTCAAGTATCTCGCTCGGGCTCTGGTTGTGATCCTTCCAGGAAGTGGCCGGCTACTGCACTTGGCGGGGGTGTCTGGCACGATTTATATAGCCAAGAAAGCAATCCATTTCTCGAACTGATGAATTTAAACTTTAATCAAAATCCCAATAATGTCAGTAGGGAAATGTTAAAATTTCTATTTGATGTAGTTTTCTAACGCAGGGGCGATGCCCACTTAGTAAGAACACCCGACCCCGCGGAAACCTGAAAACATCCTAGTTAAAGATAGACATCTTTTGCCAACCACTGCGGGTTACATCTTGGCAGCAAACTCCCGAGTCGAAACATCATCTTAGTACCGTTCATCACAACATGGCCCGAGCAGTCGGAAAAATGTGGGAGAGGTATTGTTTGCGACCCGTTGGAGACTCCAATCCCACCGTTCTCCCAGTGTTTCTCTACGGGACAGCCTGGAAGAAGAACCGGACAGCCGATTTGGTCTACGCAGCGGTCAACGCCGGGTTCCGTGCCATCGATACTGCTGCACAGCCTCGTCATTACCAAGAACCTCTGGTCGGGGATGGGATCCGCAAGGCGATCGCGGATGGTGTTGTCCGCCGAGAGGACCTTTACGTGCGTGGAAACCAACCTTGCGGCTGAGCGGTTTGGCCAGATCCAAGAGGCATTCGGTCATTAATAACATATGGTTGCAGGTGCAAACCAAATTCAGCCCCATCTCGGCACAGGACCCGGATAACATGCCGTATGATCCAAAGGCATCGGTGACCGAACAGGTCCATGCCTCTATCAGGTCCTCACTGCATAATCTTCGTCCTTCCGAGGATCCGAAGACTGCGGATGATGCCTATATCGACACAGTGGTAATCCACTCGCCACTGCGAACTCTTGAACAGACAATAGAGGTCTGGTTGGCCCTAGAGACCTACGTGCCTCATCGCATCCGCAATCTGGGCATCTCCAATTGCTCGCTACCCGTGCTTCGTGCATTGTTTACCGCTCCTGAGGTGAAGGTGAAGCCGGCAGTAGTGCAGAACCGATTCTACGAGGATACATTGTTTGACACCGAGCTACGGATGTTTTGTCGTGAGAATCAGATCATCTATCAGAGCTTCTGGACCTTGACAGCGAACCCGGATCTGGTGCGGTCTAAGCCTGTCCAGCAACTCGCCACGGAAGCTCAAATTAGTCCTGCGGCGGCGTTGTACACCCTTGTGATGGGTCTCGGGGATATTGCTGTGCTGAATGGAACTAAGAATGAAGACCGTATGAAGGAAGACCTGGCAGCTCCACTTGCCGTTGAAGAGTTTATCAAGAGGCATTCAGGCCAGTGGGAGCAGCTTCTCGCGGCATTTAAGGCGGAGGTTGGGGATCCTAATTGATCTGTGTGATTTCTATGTATGAGGCGGGCAAGGTAGTGATTACGCAGAAAGTCTATGAAATTGTTTAGACAGAGAGCGAGGCTATTGCCTCCCCTCTGGATTTCTCGTTCGCAACCTCCCTCCTCCCCGGGGCCTAAGATTTCTGGGCATGATCACACATTGCACGCTATCTGGTACGCCACCACCATCTGACTTGCACAATAACATACAGAGTTTTACCCATAAAAAATCGGATTGAAAAGAGGTCATGTCGAAAGCAACAATTCTTGTACGAAACTAGTGAACTAGTGCTGCCGGCCAGTTGACAGACCGTGCTGACTCAGCCGAACGCTGCCGCTCCGCTCGAATTGACCTCATCGTCGCCAGCGCAGAATTCCAATTTCCTCGCGACGCCTCTGCTCTCATTCTATCGGCTCTGGTCGCGTGGTTATATGCATATTCTGTCCTGGAACTTGTCCATCGGCCTAGTATATTCCAAGAGAGCTGTTTCCACACACGGTCTGGATGTCGCATTTTTCCCTGTCCTGATCGTGCCCTCAACACGGTCATTCCTGATCGCCATCACGCTGCCTTCCTCAACTACCTCGTTCTCCCGAACCACCACCTTCTAGCCACTACCATCAGCCACCGATTGGTGTGCCTAATCTCGTTGCATTTTACGCGACCAGCTCCACGCCACAATCCGTCTTATCAGAGTCGACTTGTTTGCTCGCCTCATCTGTGGACCCAACCTTATTTTTTTTTAAGCGGGCCTCAATATCACCGGGGAATATCAAGGCCGCGATCTTGGAATCCGCGCCTTCTGCCTTCGCTGACGCCTACAGTCGCCTTGGCAGGCTTGCGTAACTAGCGCTTGACCAGCCTCATATATTTATTCGACCCTTTCCCACCACTACGATACCTTTCACCCCACCCAAAACGCACTCCAATCTTCACAACCTCGATTGACTTTACAACATCATGAATTCTCAGGGCATCACTCGCAAAAGGCCGGCCCCTGGGACCACCCCGGCGGTACAGCATCAGCTAGGGAACTACCCAAATCCCACTCCCAACTCTCAACTATCCAATGACCAGTTCCTACAATGGGGTCAAAACCCTCCTGCAAATGTCGCCAATGCCTCCTTTGTCGATCCGTCCGCCTACAATTCCGCCGCATATGCATCCAGTCAAGACCTGTCTGGACCTGCAGCCTCTACTTCTAACCAGTTGACCCGCCGACCGCAACCCAACCAGCTGGTCAGCCGGAACCGTGGCTATGAGCAAGCACCGGCGACCTACTCGGATAACACTGCTGGAGCAAATAATGGAGAGGGCGCATGGGGAGAATCAATCGAAGAACTCTACAATCGGGCTCTGGCTGCCAAGAGAGAAGCGCAAGCCAAGAGGAAGCAGATTCCTCCTTTTGTGCAAAAGCTAAGCAGGTATGTCGAGATGTGATCACACGAACACTTGCAAATATAAATACTAACAATCGCCCGTCCTAGTTTCCTTGATGGAGCCAAAAACACAGAGCTTATCCGATGGTCCGATGATGGCAATTCGTTCATTGTCTTAGATGAAGATGAGTTTGCGCGGCGTTTGATCCCAGAACTCTTCAAGCACAACAACTATGCTTCTTTTGTCCGACAGCTCAACATGTACGGTTTCCATAAGAAAGTGGGACTGTCAGACAACTCTATGCGCGCTAGCGAGCGCAAGAACAAAAGCCCCTCCGAATACTCCAATCCTTACTTCAAACGAGGTCACCCAGAGCTGCTCTGGTTGATCTCTAAACCGAAGAATGCAACCGGCCATGCCAGCAAGGGAAGCAAGGGAGGCGCACGTGTCAAGACGGAAGATGCGGACGATAACGAGCTGGACGACTATGAAGAAGGGGGATTTGGTGCTCGCGACGATCGAGCCCGGCCACGCCCACTATCCCTTTTGACCGACTCGGAAATGCCCAAGGACCAGCTTGAAGGAGTTGTTCAGCAATTGAAGGCCATTCGTCACCAACAATCGGTCATCTCGAGTCACATCGCCAGTTTGCGCAGAGAACATGAGCAGCTCTCCGCGCAGGCGGCTACCTTCCAAGACCAACATACCCGACATGAAAATTCGATCAACGCCATCCTCACTTTCCTGGCCACAGTGTATAACCGCAGCTTGCAAGGTCAAGATGGCTCACAGAACATCGCCAACTCCTTCGCTGGAGCTATCTCGAGTGACCACCCAGGTAACATCGTTGATGTGGGCGATGACTTCTCTTTCAGCCCACTGGCCTCCATGACCAGCCCAACGGGACAGCGGATGATGAAGAAACAGCCATTGCTGCTCAAGGCACCCCCTACTGTGAACGGTGGCAATCGGGCAACTACACTTTCGCCTGCGGCTAGCGGGACTTATGATACTCGGTCCCGCAGCCATGCTCGCCAGCCCAGTGTTTCTCAGCCGGGACACGTGGAGGAGGTCCTGGATAGCAGCCCTCGACAAGGCCCGACCAATGTTTCCGCTGGACAGGTACCGGATGAGAAATACCCGCAGAAGGATATCATGTCCGTGATCCAGAACTCGAATGCACGCAACGCCAGCCCCACCACCTTCTCCCAATTCCCCGATGTGCTCTCTTCGCTTGAGAGGGGAGGCAACGGTCCTCTGACTCCTGGCGTTCGCGCTGACATGCTTCGATTGATGGCGAATGACACTGGCCACCACAGTGATTCGCCCGGCTCGAACAATGCCCTTGTCATGCCAAACCCGCCGCCCATGCCACAAGACTACTCGACTCGCCTTTCCAACACCCGCCAAGAGATTGACAGCCTAGTCAAATTGCAAGCCGAGCAAGACCGTTCCGTCCAAAACTTGACAAACCTTCTCCAACCCCTGAGCCCAACCGGTGCTATCCCAGGGCTGGACAATGACGCCAATGCCCCGCCTCCAATTGACCTTGATCAAATCTTCAATAATGACTACTTTACCGATCTGGGGGACACCTCGGGTGCTGACCAAAAGCACGACCCTTCCACCCTTGATTTTGGAACCGGCACCAATCCACACGATACCCTTGCTACTACTCAACCCGATGCCGGTGACACCAACGATCTTCTGGACTTTGGCCACATGCCGGGCGATGACGACCTCTTCAACAGTAATCAGGGACCGACCAATTCGTCTTACAACTATGGCTTCGACGGGACTGGTTACGGCGTGGACGCGGGATCTGGAAATTTCGACTCTGGGCGAATTGTCGAGCAACTGACCGATAGCGAGGCTACTAGCCCTGCGGCTGGTGATGATCCTTCCGTCGAAACGGAAGATGGCGGCAGCGCTGTTAAGCGGCGCCGCAAGGCCTGATTTACGTAATTCTAAGGAGCTGCAATGAAGCCTGAGACTGCTATCCGGGAAGTTCAGGAACGATCAATTTGCGGGATACCCCAGGGAGAAAAATGGCGTTATCTGTTCATAGGGTTCTGCTTCTTTGGAGGGTGACTTTCAAGTGGTTTCTAGCTTTTTATGTAAGGATCATTTGTCATGACAGCATGACGATTTCATTCAAAGGAGTCTGCATAAGACTCCATTTTAGACTCTGACGTTATGGCCCCCATTCTAAAACCCGGTAGACCATAACTATATTTCTCTTCTCTGCTCTCTTCCAGGTAGTTGATCCAAATGTCCAGTACCCTTTCAGCAATATAAGAGGGACCACCAGTCCAACCCAAGTTCTGATATCTCCCCCACTTTCCTAAACATCGCCTACTTCCCCTCCCGATCCCACTCCCTCTCCCCAGCCCTCTCCCTCTTCCTCTCCCTCTCCCGATCTCTCTGCAACCCTCGCTTCCGTCCACCACTCGGACCCCCCAAATCCCGCTCCTTCTCACGAGGATCGATAACCATTAACGAATCCGTATCATCAGGATGTTCTTTCTTCCAATTCAAGTCCTTGCCTAACGTATCTTTGCCAAATCGTAGCGTATGGCTCAGCCAGCCTGAGTCGTGGGCATCTTCGTCTTCGTTCGTCGCGGCGTCGGGGTCGTCCCATGATTGGCAGGATTGGCAGTTTGCGATGAAATGGAGGTCGCAGAGTTGGGCTTCTTCGTCGTCTGGGGTTTCGGCGCGGTCTTTGCCTTTTTCTTTGGTGGTGTGCGTGTTGGTTTCGGATTGGCTGGTGGTGGTGGTGGTAGTGATTGTTCCTTCGAGTTTGGCTTTGAAGGCGTTGAACATGTCCAACGCTGCTTTTTCCGCGGAACTTCGGGTCCCGGAGAGAGTTGAGCCATTCGTAGTGCCCAGTGCTGGACGCTTGCGGCCCCGTGTTGCGGTTTCTGGAATCATTGCTTCTAGGGCGGACTTTTTGCGGCTGGTATCGGCTGGGCCTACGTCGACGTTTCGGCGCATGGATGCCTTTAACGAGGCGATTTCGGCGTTTGTTCGTGATAGTTTCGATTCCTTGGCTGGTGGAGATGCTGGCGTGGGAGAGCGAGAGGGGGATTCGGGATCTGGCAGGGGTAATTGTGTCAGGGGGTCTGGTGTTTTAATGCGCTGCTTGCGCTCTGGCGAAGGTTGACGATTGGGAGATGGAGAGCGCGGTCGTTTGCGTGGTGCTGACTGTGTGCTTTGTGGTTTTGTTGCCGCGGTCGTGGTCGTATCGTTCGTCAAACCAGGTACATCCGCGACGAGTTTGGTGTTGAACTTGGGCTTCGCGGGTCGCATGGGCATACCCTCGTCGCCTTCTTCGTCACCAAAGCTCAGCAAGACTTTGGCTCCTTTGGCTGTCTTTTTCTTTTTCTTGGGCGCTTGCTTTTCCGCTCCGCCTGCCGTGGTCGAGACCACCTTGCGATCCTTCAGTTTCCCAGCCAAGGGTCCTAGCTCTCCAACCTCGCAGGACGTCACTTTCACCGGATACACGGGTCGGTCCGTACCCTCCACACGCTCAGCTTCCGCAATCTTCAGCACATTATAAATGCTGTCCCCCTCCAAGCGTCCAAACAGTGTACACTGCCCACTCAATTCGCGCTCGGTATTGGCGAGCGTGATAAAGAATTGACTGCCATATGATCCATCCTCGCTCTTCGCCATACCCAGCTGCCCACGCCGATTGAATCGCAATCGACTGTGGATCTCATCTCGCAGAACCACGCGCTCGTTCGGGTCGCGCGCTTCCGGGTCGTACTCGAACTCGGGATATTCGTAAATGGACGTACCGCCGGATCCAGTGCCCGTGGGATCGCCACCCTGGATGACAAAGTCCGGCACAATTCGATGGAAGATTGTTCCTGCATAGTAGTTGTCTTTGCAGTGCTGAAGGAAGTTCTTGCAGGTGAGGGGAGCCTGGTTGGCGAACAGGGCGATGTGAATTGGGCCAACGGTCGTGTGTAAGGTCGCCGATGCCGTTGGGTTTGGCTCACTGGCGTATTGAGTGGACATGGTGAAGGGGAGATAGGAAAAGAATATGCGGCCAAGCCCCGGCCCGTCAACGCTTCGAAGGCGTTCAAGAGGAGAGCGCGTTTCTTCGGGCGATTGGGAGCTTCGAGAAAAGTGGACGTCATGGCACGTGACCTTTCGACTGATCTCGATGGGGATTGGCCGGGGATAAAGTATATGCATTTTTGAGCCAGCAGGGCAGAGATATGTACAAGAATACGAGAATATACATCCAGGACGATCCGCTTTTTCTATGTTCAAATATCCATAGGATTCCGTGATCGCTTGGTAGAGTGTCGCTTTCGGCATAAGTATCGTGTCTGTCTCAAGGTCGAGTGGAGGGCATTTAAGTCGCACGGCTGGGATGATAACGGTGTCTATGGGGGGTCGCGAGCGGTTTGTTGCAAAGGGAGAGGGTGTAATGTGTTGTCTAGCATAGCGCAGCAGCATGTTGAACATGTGCGTTTCGTCATGAGAGCGTCGTAGTGCCCATGGCCTGTCCACCCAGAAGCGGTAAGCGAGGAACCAATAGGCGTGATGCTGCCATAGATGACAATCAATCAACTTTAGCAGGGTTGACCATACAAGCAATATATGGTGGACATGGTGATGACGAGAATGTAGATGATGGCGCATGGTGGGGGTTGTTTTCAAGCCTTGAGAGGCAGTGCTGAGCCAGCAGCATAGAACTTACTGCAGGCAATCCGGTGGAGGGAGTCCTTGAGTTGTCGCGTAGGGAAGAAGACTCTAAGGAAACCGGAAAAGAGGAGTTGTTTTGTCGCGTAGGGGTCGCATATGGGAAGTAGTGTTGGCGATGTCACCGGCAAAGGAAGCACCAGGGCCACACGGAGAGGGGAGCCATCCCCAAATGTAGGACATCATGACTCCCGAAAGGGCCTCCTTGCAACCGACGGGTCAAAGGCCTTGACCATCTTTAGCTGCAATCACCGGCATTGACATGGCAACAGGAAAAGGAACTGGAATCGGGCCAGACCCCCGTTCCTGATCAAACGTGGAGGCCCTCGCATGAAGCCCAAGTTGGAATCGTAGCCGACGAAGCGTACGCTCCGAGATGTCATAGCCATCTTGTCGCAGTAGCTTCAGCATTGCCTTATCGGTCAGCCTGTCTTGCATGAAGAGCACCTTGATGCGCGCATGGAGCACCTCGTCCGCAGTCGTGGTCCGACTGCGTTTGCGGATACCCCACTTCCGTAGCCGCGATTGAATGGTCCGTTCTTTGACCTGGATATTATACCGGCTCTCAAGGGTGCGGCTGATAGAGTCGCTACTGATGCCGTGTTGAAACAGCGTAATAATCTCGTCCCGGTAAGGTTCGAGGTTGATTTGTTGACGCGGCATGGTGAGGATGATGATGTTAGTGTTGTGTGTGGGGGAGGGGAGAAAGGGGAAAAGGGGAAAAGCGGGAACGCGGGAAGTTCGGGTCGAATTGTGGGAAGAGAAAAGGCGGTGCAAAGTGCGGGATGGCCATTTCCCTGTTTTGGGGAACTATTTGGAAGTTAACCATCTTTTCCCGGATGACTGTAATGGCCATGAATGATTGGCTTCTTGTCTGATCTATACTCTGTAATGAAGGCTAACGAATATGGACACCAACCATGCGACGTTTATCGTCCCAAATTTACTAGTCTACAGTGGTAGATAAATGTACTGGTATGGAATAGATGATTATAATCCCCTATTTGGCATCGAGTCGTAACGCATCTCAGATTCGAATAGCAAGTCTCAATCAAGAATGATACCCACAGACATGCTTATCAATCGCATAATAGATACTATGTAACGTGTTTCACTTTGTAGAGCATGCTGCAGATTTTACTTCTTCTCCGCGGACGCACTGTCGGAGGTGACCATCTCGGGGCCGGCCTTGTTCCGCTTAGAGATACGGAATCCACCGACCAGGAAGAAGAGGGCCTGCAGACCCAGAATCACGGCCAGAGTCACCATGGCGCCAATCACACCGGCAACGGCCCGAGACATGCCACCGGAGCTGGAGTCGGATGAGCTGGAAGAGTCGGAGGAGCTCGTGCTGGCAGTGGAGGTACCGCACTTGCCCTCAGTGTTGCCGCACAGGTCACACCACTGGGCATCGGAGGTGACGGCAATCTTCTCAATGCCAGTCTTGAAGTCAGACCACGAGAGGAGATCCTTTGACTGGCCGAACAGAGGGTAGACAGTGGGCTCGGCCGAGCCGGTGATGGTACCGTTGTGGAACATGAAGCGCACGCTGAGCTCGCTCTCGGCGGGAATGCCCGTGCCAGTGGCATTGGTCACGAGCTCAAAGACCATCGAAGAGGCATAGTCCGGGATACCGGTGAAGTCAACCGAGGCAGCGGGCAGCTGCATCAGACCGAAAAATGACAGGAGAGTTCCGTAGGAACCAAAGGAAACACCCAGCTTGGACACACCGCCGGTGGTAATGGTGTTGCTGAGGCTAGACAGAATTTCACCGGCCAGCACGGCCCCGTCAATAGCACGAACGGTGTCGGACTTGTTGTAAGCCAGATTGTACTGCTGGTTGTTGGCTAGCTGAAGCAGCTGGGTGTAGTCCTCATCCGTCAGCTCCTTGAGGGCGGGATAATCGTCGGTGGAGTTGTGGATCTGGGCCACATTCAAGTAATCAAAGATAGAGTAGGCATTCTTAAATGTCATCTGCGACGAAGTGAAGGTCGAGTTCAGCATGGGGGACAGTGACTGGTAAAAGTCCTTGGTGGACTGGAGCATCGAGTTATACGAGTCCGACGTGTAGTAGTTGTTGCTGCTGACGGTAGCCTTCTGGCAGTCACTCGAGCCTTGCAACCAGGTAGCTCCCTCATTGCTGTTACTGGAAGAGCTGGAGGTGACTTGAATCAGCTGGTAGCCCTGCAAGGGCGACACGACGGTCGTCGAGTTAGCCAGAGTCTGGTTGGCACTGTTGCCAGCCGGGGGGTACACGCCCTGCAGGAAGCCAGTGGCCGAGTTTTGCAGCACGGCATCGGCCGGGGAGCTAGCGCTGATCTGCTTAGAGTTGACGATCAGAGAGCTGATGCCCTCGATGTGCTTGTCCGAGCTGGAGAGGATATACCGGCCATTGTAGAAAGAGCCAGCAGCATAGACCTCGCTGTAGCCGAGATCGGTCAATTGGGTGTTACCGAGAATCTTGGCAGTTCGATCACCGTGACGCGCAAAGAGATATGCCCCGACAACGCGCTCTGCCTCGACCAGAGAGGTCGATAGAGAGGCGGCCAGTAGAAGACCAGATTGGATGGAAGAGCGCATGGCGAAGGCAGTTCCTGACGTAACGGCGGAGTGGCAGCGGCAGCAGAGACAAGGGAGAGAGGTAGAAAGAACAGCAATGCAACCGAACCCCTCATCAATGCTGCAGGGCACGCCTACTTATACAAGACGGCGCTGATCCGCGAAAATGGAGTTGGATCGAGAACCATGGCGGGTCAGTCCAGCTGGTTCTCCCGCCGAACCAGACCGGCTCCGGGCATTTTTCTAGTAGTGCATGATGCGGGGGGTCGTAGAGGCTGCAGTTTCGGGCAGCGGGCAGCCCATTACTGGATTGATTTTATTGAAATGATTGGGTGTCGGAGGATGCACGGAGACGACCGAGATGACTAGTATATTTCTCCGTCACCGAAACAGGCGCATTTGGGCAACACGTTCCAGGGTCCTCCGATAGTGGCCTTGTAGGGCATGCAGGCCAAGTCCGAGGAGGAGTTGGCACACCACAAACAATTAGCTAATAGGAAGAAAGCGGGCACCAGCCTTAGACGATAAGACGGCGGGAAAAAGTGGGTGAGAGTGGACAAGAAAGAGACCGAGAGAGAGAAAGAGAGAGAACGAGAGGAAAAGAGTGGAGAAATAGTGGAGACCGTCCATGGCCAGTGCAGTAGTACAGGATGTACATGTCCAGTCCTCCGTCCTAGTCTCGGCATCCTGCAAGCCAATTCCCCAGTGCTGATAGGCGTTCTCTGCCACTTTGGGACTGCCGTGACTAACGACCCAAACGGGGCTGGTCCAGCCAAGGATTACCGAAAATGTACGAGATTCTCTCAGTCGCTGACGGAGGGAAGCGAAGCATGGTCCAGTTCGCATCGGCATGCCTTTCTGTGTGTGAGAAGCCAAACAAAAAGACACGGGAGAAGTCCACTCGATCGTCCACGAGCCTAAGGATGAGCCTAACTACAAAATCTAGATCATATGCCTCTGGATGGGTCTCTACAATTGTTTTTTTTTATTTTTATTTTTAATTTTTTTTTCCGGGTAATAATCGATGCTAAAAGGAATTGTAGGGCGTATCTGGGTTGCAATTGGCTGGAGATTCTTCAATCAAGCTCATGTCATTTGCCGAGCTTCATACGGAGTAACTGCTTATTTCACCGGTCGTTCATCTCGTTCATGCCATGGCGATGCCTTTGTCGCCCATCAATTCGCAGCCATTTCGCACGACGCCCACCATTCCGCCAGTCTGAACCACTTCCGATCCGCCACCGGACAGACGCCACTCGATTTCGGCGAGTCCCTCTAACCAAGTGATGCGTGTCTGGGCCGGCACTTCTAATCGCTGCAATTGATCCGCCAGAGCGGACAGAATATCAGCCAACGCTAGACCCTTGGTGGACTTGAGCGTATTCACGGTGTTGAGACATGAGGTCACGTCGCTGGTGGAAAGAATAGTGCTCATAATCTCCTGAATGTCGGCCGGATGGGGTGCCGCAATGCAGTCGTAGATTGTGGCGTTGGTGATCATTTCGGGTTCGGGTAAAGGTGCCTTGGGGGCATCGCGCATGGGCAACGGTATACCTAAGCTCTGGAGTTAGCTCGTCTGATAAGGCAGGGAGGATTTGGGTGTGACAAGGGTCAAGCATTTCCGCGGAGATGGTGGGGCACCCACTACTGGCATGACAGGCCTGAAGGACGTTCAACGCCCTTCGCATATCGCCCTTGCTGAGTCGTACGAGACTATCCACCGCGTCGGGTTGGATGCGAACGTTCTCTTTCTCAATCACTTGGTCGACTAGCACTCGAATGTCGGCTTCCTTGAGAGGACTGAACCGGAATCGGGTACATCGTGAGAGAAGTGCTGGAGAGAGCTTGTGTGTATAGTTGGCAATGATGCAGAACCGCGTGTTCGCCGTGTATTTCTCCATGATACGGCGCAGGGCCATCTGTGCTGTGGATGTCATGGCATCGGCCTCGTCGAGAATAATCAACTTGAAGCGGGCAAGGGCAGAGTTGCCGTCCGTTGCTGCGGGGGCCATAGAGAAGATTTGTTTCGTGCCTATGCGACGTGTCAATCAGCATTCAGTGCGTCCACCAGGATTTTTTCTATTGCTTCCTGGATCTCCATACTAGCAAAGTTTTTGATCTGCTCTCGGACAACGTCAATGCCACGGTCGTCACTGGCATTGAGTTCAAGAACCATCTGTCGCATATTCTTTGTGCCGTATATCCGCCGGGCGAGCGCGAGGATGGTGGAGGTCTTTCCGGTTCCAGGAGGGCCGTAGAGGAGTAAGTGAGGTAGGCGCTGTAATCTCTCATGAGGATTGGTCGTGTCAATTCGTCCGAATAGTACGTACATTCTTCTCAATAAATTTGTTGATCGTGGCGAGGATGTCTTGATGACCTGAGACATCGTCTAAGGTATTTGGGCGGTATTTTTCCACCCTACCAGAGGATATTAGCAGAGGTTTCTTCCACCATCTGAAGATGCCATACCAAGGGAGGTTGTCTAGAGCTTGAATGGGCAGGTCGGCCGCCGTCCTCTTTTTCCCACTGGCATTCTCTGAGCTGAACTGCACGTCCTTGGAGGGCGCATCCACGTCCATTTCATCCTCGTAGTCGGACATTGTGAACGTATTATCCGTGGGTGAAGTGATGAGGTGGGTTGGTTGAGCGGGCAGAACGAATCGCGAAAAGTGAAGCTTGACGCGTTGCGCGTAAAGAGGAAACTCGGGGCGGAAAATCAAGGGGAGGGAGCTGGAGCCGATGACATCCTCTTGCCCAACGGCACCGCCTGCACCGCCTAGCGACTCCGCAACATCACTCTGTTCCCGACTCCCCGACAATTCCTTTGTTAACCATCCACCATGCCGGTAAGATCAGACTGCCATTTGGTATATGGTCTATTGATCTAGTTTCTAACGGACTCGCCAAATTCAGGCATACCACTCCATCTTCCTAGAGGACCGCGATGTCCCCGTGATAGGTACGCTGCCCCGCCGACAGCTGTCCCCTCCATGCGACATGCAACGACACTCATGAAAGATCATGCATTGACTGTCTATGATATAGGGAACTTTCCTATCCTGCCACTGCGCACTCGCACTCGTGGTCCCGCATACACTTTGCCCGCACTTCCCCCCAATACCCCGGACGTGGACGTCACCCCCGAGAATGAGTCCTACGATTGTGTCGATGAGATCCTGTCCCTCTTCCGGGCAAACGTGCTGTTCCGTAACTTCGAGATCAATGGCCCCGCCGACCGGATGCTCATTTATGGAACTCTCTTCGTCAGCGAGTGTCTCGGCAAGGTCAAGCCTACGATGAATGCCCGGGAGGCTGAAAAGGTAGATGCTGCCCGCTCTTGTCGCATCGTATCTTGGAGCTATTGCTGACATCTGAACTTGAAAGGCCTTGATCAATGCCGCTCTGGAGAGCTTTGCCGTTCCCGGCGATGTGTCTTTCCCGCTGAACCAGGCCTTTGAGCCCCCACGCGACCGCCAGGATGCGGAGAGCCTGCGGGCGTACGTGAACCCATGGCCCCCTGTGAATGATACCTCCCTGTCGATCCCAGCTGCTAATTATTTGATTAGATACATCTCGCAGGTTCGACAAGAGATTGCCGTCCGGCTACACGCTAGATTATACCCCGGTGGAGAGGGACCATCCAAGGTAAGCCCCAGGCAACAACAAACATTACTGATTGAAAGGGTTCTAACCCTTCCGTCTCCAGTTTTGGCTTAGCTTTACGAAGAGAAAGTTCATGGGAAAGAGCCTGTAGAGAGGCAGAATGGTTGTATATTGTTTCATGAAATTCAGCGCATCAATGGACCTTTTTTGACTACGCGGCGTCATCAGACCAAGCTCCCTTTGTAGCTTGCTGCCAGAGCCGGTTCCCGGGCGGCAATGCTTCCTTTTCTAGTCTCCTCTACCAAGATCACCCCGATTCAATGACTTGTCATCGAATCTATCGACTGTCATGATGGATTTGCCACGGATTTGCTTACGTTCGTCTAACAGATCAAGAAATATCGAGGGTCAACGTTCAAAGAATCATTATTTTCGTACACATTTTGACGCCTATCCCATGCTGATATCTAAGAGGTCATCGCCATGTCTCCATCACTAGCAGGCGTCGAGTTGGTTTCTACCTTGCGCTTCTTCCGGAATGTGCCCGCAGCCTGAATATTGGCCGCGGCGGGGATGACGTGGACGCCGTGGAAGAGATAGCCTTCTGCTCCTCCACGTCCGGTCATGAGAGGATGCGTTCGGCCTGGCAGGACTTGCCAGGCGCGAACGCGGGTGGTGTGTAGCGTGGGGGGCAACAGCCGGGTGGGATCGAGAGGGAACTCCTCGGAGAGTGACGCCCAGTCCACGGTCTTTCCATCGGAAGTCTGCTGCATCTCAAGATCCCGTTTGCGATTGATAAATGCTGTCCGCCGGGCGGTGGAATACAGATCCACGAGCTCAGTGAGGGGTTCAATGGTGGGAGAGTAAATAGCGACCGCGGCAGAGCCCGAAAGAAGCGGAATGGTGTGCTTCAAGACACCGGCGGGTTCGAGAACAGTAGCAGCGATCAAGCCGTCGAAGCCGCCCGCGCGAGCCTCATCCGTCACAGCCCGGAACTTTTCCCAGCGGTTACGCTTAAAGTGATAAGCGGTGCGCTTGCTGGCCTTCAACCCTGCGAGCTCTTCGGCGGACAAGGCAGGGGGCTCATTGGAAAGAATGGGGTCTGCCGAGGGATCCACAAGCTGCAACCACGACATGGTCTTGAGATGGGTGTGAAGAGGATGAGACTCATCGGGAGTGTTGATGTCGTAGCCAAAGTATTTCAGCAATGACAAGTTGGGTTGCGAGTAGGCGTGGATGACGGTGATTGTGTTTCCAGAGGCAGACATTGGTCTAGGACGTTTACGCCGGGGCGTTGAGGCAGTCTTCTTCTCTGTATTTTCCGTACCCTCTTGTGCCAGAGAGGAAGAATAATCATTCAGTTCCTCCTCCTCTTCCTCTGCGGGATACAGAATCCCCATCCTCTCCGCCATTGCCGCGACAACGAGGCCACCAGTTTCGTCAACCACGAAGTATCGACCATTCGGCTTGATCGTAGGAATGGCATCTAGGGTCGAGTCTCCGCCGTGATGCACGTTACCCAAGCAGCCGAGCAGGCCCACGTGCTCATCCCGCAGTTCCATCGTTCGCTGCGCGTCCCGTTGCTCAAGCAAATAGTTGGTGAGGAAGCCGACATCTAATGGCAGAACCGTGAATCTCCGGATGTACTTCTTGCGCTTACGCAACGTATATTTGGCGAGTGAGAAAGCCGTCTTCTTGTCTAGGTTGGTATGCGACTCGAGGAGTTTTGCGACAATATCCTTGCCTGCGCCACTGGCCTCCTTCTTCAACTCTTCAATCTCCTGGGTCGTCAACTTTTGAGTCGAGGCATCGTCGACAATGTTGCGGTTTGTACGCATGGGGGTGCTCGCATCCGATTCCCCTTCTTCGCCCTCGCCATCTGCCTCGGCTTCTTCAATGAGGTGTTCGGCATGTAGCTCTTCGGCAGGGACCACACGCAGCTGGTAGCCATCACTCTGGGGCGCGTCGAGGATCTCGAAAGTGAAGAAGAAGGGTCGACCGATAATTTGATTCGCGGCAAAGCTGCCGGTTTTGCCTAACTGCACTATACTATACGTCACAAAAGTTAGCCAATTTGTCATGTTCAGTAGCTCCCAGTCAGCGGACGAACGTATTTGGAACCAGCTTGACCATGCGCGTCTGATCTGACGGCAGCTGGATAACCACAAACTGATTCGGACGGATCGAGGAATGCATTGTGAGAGAAGGCCTCGACACGCGACGGTTGAACAAGCGACCTTCACAATCCCAGCATTGAAGCTCCGAAAAAACGACTTCGGCAACTTTTTTTTGGAGCCTTCGGGCCAATCAGCAGTGGCCTTGATAGGAAGGCGGGGAGGACCCGGAGGAACCAATGATCCGGACAGGTCGTTATCACCAATTACATAAGATGCCCTGGGTCTTGGGAGAGGAATGTACTGTATTGTAACAGACCGTATTACTGCCCCGCCCCAGCGGATTCATGGCTGCTTTTCACTGTTGAGTGGTCTGATCCCACCCAATGATTGATGGTAATACCAATACGAAAGACCCAGCGCACGGTTGATCGACGGAAATGTGGGTGCCTGTGTGAGGAGCAGCCACGCCGTGATATCATCGCCAGGCTGAGAGCGGAGGCTGGGTGAAGCTGGGTCGGGTCGTTCTAAGCCAACCGGTGCTTCAGCCTCCTTTTCCGTCGATTGCTTGGGGCGCGAAAGGCAGTTTCCATCCACAATCCAATGGATGATTTGCCCGAGACTTGCACGTGTATTTTTGGCATCGCTAGAGATTCGGAAGCCCTTGTTGCCTGGCCAGTCTCTTGGGGGGGTTGAATTGCCACGACGACACATCCTTTACATTTATCTACCTCTACCAGGATACCAACAATAGTCCTCCACCCCTCCCTACTCGTGATTAGACTCCTTCATGGTGCTCCGAAAGCCTCCCCCACCGCGCTTGGAGAACCTTCATAAGTGGAATGCTCGTGCAGCTTCCCCGACATCTCCCTCGACATCTCCCTCGAAATCCTCACCTTCGCAGTCCCGGGCCCGCCTGAATCGAGCTCCTTCCGAGGACCCTATCTACTCTCCCGATCTCAATACCTCCCCGGCATTTGACCTAATGCCTCTCGAAGAAGCCCAGAGGTCCCCGGTTGGCTCCCCAGCCAGCCATCCGCCAAATCCTTGGACTGAGAGCTTTGGAGACCGGGCCAGTTATGAGTACCCAGCCACACAAGCACAGTCCTCCTATCTCACACATACCGGAGGTGGGATCGCGGGCTCACATGCGACGGAGAATAGCTGGCACCAAGGAGCACTTCCGGCTCCGCCAGGTCATAATGGCTCCACTGGAGAGGTTCCCGCGCAATTACGGTCAAACAACCCATTTTTGAAGCCACGAACCGCCAATATGCGGCAGAACTCGTTAGATTCCAATGATTGGAACGATCGGCATTCTCATACCACCGCCAGTAGTGACCCTCTCAGTCAGAGTACGATAGATCCTCCTCGCCCTTGTCTCCTGCCCCTCCACGATCATGCTGACCCATTCTAGCCGAAGGATACATCCCTATGACTGCTCGCCTCTCCTTGTTGAACTCCTCGGAGCAACAAGAGTCCCCGTGGGCTGATCACGAACATTCTCACGCCGGCGGAGCTGCCCGCCCGATCTCGGTGGACCCGCCCCACGATCCATCCCCGTGGGGTTCCCAACATTCGATCAAGATATCGGCACCGCAAGAAATTTACCTCAAGAATGGACAAATCAACCCCTACGCACCAGCTGCAGCGGTAGAGTCCTCTGACAGTCAGGCGGGCGGTTCTTATGGACTACAACCACCACATGCGGGGGGTAGACTCGGCTTAGATGCGGGTATCAACACCCCTTCTATGATTTCGACCGCAACATCCGCAACGTCACACGAATTGATTGATTTGGAAATCCCGAGCGGCGCATTAGGATCGGAAAGCGGATTCCAGCAGGGCCAGTCATCCGTGTACGCCTCTGATGAGATCGGAGGAAAAGGCGAAAAGACACAGTTAGACTCCCGATTACCGACCAGGGACCTTGCCCACGACAGAGCTCCACCGTTGCCGAGCAGAAACCTTTCTCCCGCCGAGGTAGCACGGCAAAAGGAGCAGCGAGCGGAGACCTACTCCATTCGTCAAATTAATTGGACAAATCGAGAGGGAACTTTACTACAGTCGCCGATCCTGGTACAGAACAAAAATGGACCGTGCCCCCTACTTGCTCTCATCAACGCCCTCGTCTTGCGTGCCGATCCAAATTCACAGCCGCCCATCGTGAGAGCACTGAAATCTCGCGAGCAAATTTCACTGGGACTTTTGATCGAGGCTCTCTTCGAGGAGCTGACGACTTGTCTTGGCCCAGATGAAGAATTCCCAGATATCGAGGCACTCACTCAGTTTCTCACTATGCTGCATACTGGCATGAACGTGAACCCACGTCTGACATTGGTAGGTGAAACGGGTAAATCTGTTAACAAAGGCAAAATTGCTAATATAGAAGTAGGAAAATGTGGAATCTCTTGGTACTTTTCTTCAAACCCCAGACCTTCGCTCGTACAGCACATTCGGTGTACCTCTCATTCACGGCTGGCTCGCCTCGTGGTCAGGCCCCGAACATACCGCCATGACTCGAATCGCTCAATTTCACGAGGATATCCAACTATTACCTTTTCGCAAGCTAGATCTTGAAGATCGCATCATGCGAGGGGAGTCTTTGACCCAGGAGGAAGAGCAAATCATGGCAGACATTCAGGCTATTCAAAACTTTGTGGACATTGAGAACGCAACCCAATTAAGCCCATTCGGCTTGACACAGCTATCGACACGGTTGGCCCCAGGCTCTGTCTCTATACTCTTCCGCAACGATCACTTTTCGACTCTCTACAAACACCCCCAATCTCATCAGCTCTTCACCCTGGTAACCGATGCAGGCTATGCGAACCACGCAGAGGTTGTGTGGGAATCCCTAGTTGACGTTACTGGCTTCAACTCTGAATTCCTGGCGGGCGACTTCCGTGCTGTTGGCCACGGTCCCTCCAGCTCGGCGGGCCCAACTAGTCCTGCTGATCCACACACTTCGAGTGCGGCTGCCCTTGATGCACCATCCGACCGGGAGGCCACTCAAGGCCCGTTGACACCGCAGGAACAAAGTGATGCAGATTACGCTTACGCCCTCTCACTTCAATTCCAGGAGGAGGAACAGCGAGAACGTACTGAAAGTCAGCAGAATGGTGATACTGGCGCTAGAAGTGGGACTGAAAATGGCACTGGAAACGGCACTGGTCGTGGTAATCGCAACTCAGTACCCGTTCGCTTGACCGGACCTGCAGCTCGCATGGACCATCCGCCTGCTCGAACCTCTAGCACCGGTCTTAGAACTCGACCACCGCAAGGCAATGAGGACGCTGGTGATCCAAATGCACCTCCCCCTCCCTACGAACACGCAGCCAACGGCCCACGACAATCCCCTCCTGATAGAAGGCCGACTTTTGATGACATTCAAATCGACCCGCACATGGCGAACAACCGGAACTCACGCAATCGATACTCGCAGCCGACATTAAATACGAACCGGCACAGCTATGACCGGACCAAAAATAAAGACTGCATTATGATGTGAATGGCTGATCTTCAAGCGAGCATGTATTTTTTTGCTTTCCTTTCTACTCTCTCCCCCCTTTCCCTTTCCGTACATGGCTACGATGATGCAATTACGAATGAATGTAACGAAGAAATGGCAACGAGATGTACCTTTAGACGAAATGCAGCGTATGCAGCGCAAAATGTGGCATTCCCATGTCTTTAGAGTGGCTTTGTCTTTGGAACTATACGCCCTACTTCTTGTTTCTCCACGGCATCATAAAAACCAACACGGACCGTCTCCGCGTAGTGTGCCTGGCGAAGAACGGAGACGAAGGCCCGAAGGAGTGGAGAAGCGGGGAAATCACACCTTCTGTAGATTCTTTAATGTCCTGCAGAGAACAAGGGCGTTTCGTCACGGCGATTTAGTCCGAATGGGGAAATGAAGGGGACGGCAATCGGCTATTTTATTGGAGGGTTTTCACAGCTCCACCGTCTCATGCCTAGCCAAGCCACTGTCTCTTGGAGGTTTATTATTATACCTAGTAGCGAGACAAATTCTACGATCTAGAGAACCGCCATCAGGGCATAATTGATACTCACAAATATGTCACTTGGATTCGTCTGGATCATATGCTCGTACAACCACCAGAGACCAAGCCTAGTGGTTTAGCGGCCCCGTAATTTGCTCCTAACTAGCTGAAGAATATCGCGGTATATTAATTTGACTATAAGCGGAGGCATGCCCTTATCCCTCTTGTTATTAGCCTAATACCCGGCGGATGTATAGAAGCCACCCCGTCTCTGCAATCTTAGACAAGGAGCTATAAAGACGCGGGGATTACCTCACTGTTTGTGAGCTGTGGTGCGGATTACGACCGAGACTTGTTTTTTTGTTGTTACGCTGCTGCACAGGACTTGGCCATGCATAGCCTGTGTGTAATAGCCATTGCGGCATTATTTGGGTCTGCCGGCGCCCAGGTAGCAGGCTACGGGCAATGTAGGTCAAAATCATTTGCTATTCAATGCTAAATCGGCAACTAATCCGACAATAGGTGGTGGCACTGGCTACTCAGGTAGCACGACATGCACATCGGGCTTTTATTGTACCTCGCAGAACCCTTGTCAGTATGAACAGAGGTATTTGATATGAACTTCTCTCATAGATCTGTAGACTATTACCAGTGTATTCCGGGAACTGCAACGACCAGCACAACAACCACGTCAAAGACCTCCGTCACTACTACTACTTCGACTACTACCACTACTAAAACTTCTAGTACTACTTCGGCATCTACAACGCTAAAGACGACTACTACTCAGACAGCGACTCAAACCTCCTCTGCTACTGGAGCGGCCACTTGCACCGGGGCCTTCAGTGCAATTTCAGCATCCGACTTTGTTGCAAAGCTTCATCCAGGTTGGAATCTCGGAAACACCCTCGACGCAACCCCAGATGAAGGTTCCTGGAATAATGCACCAGTCGTGGCCTCTACGTTCAGTACTGTGCAAAAGGCGGGCTTTAAGAGTGTTCGCATTCCAGGTATGCTGTCTGGTTCAACATGTCAGATTTGAGACAGATATTCATGAGATGCAGTTACCTACGCGTACCACTTCACTGGCAGTTCTCCGGACTGGACTATTGACCCAACTTGGCTCGCTCGAGTGTCCGAAGTTGTCGACATGGTCACTTCATTGGGTCTGTACGCCATTGTGGATGCTCACCACGGTAAGCCCTTTCCCTATATACTTCCACTTCTTCGGGTAGCTCAAAACGATTAGATTCTTGGATTTGGGCCGACGTGACTGCTTCGGGTGCCAACCTGACCATGATCGAAGAAAAGTTCTACCGATTATGGTATCAGGTTGGAACTACGTTGGCCTGCAAGTCGAGTCTCGTTGCCTTTGAACCGATTAACGAGCCACCATGCAACACTGCCACCGATGCTGCTGAGATCAACAAGCTCAACCAGATCTTCCTTCAGGCCATTAATGATGCGGGTGGCTTCAACCCTCAGAGAGTCGTGACTCTTGTGGGAGGTGGAGAGGATAGTGTGAAGACTTCCGAGTGGTTTGTTGCACCGACTGGGTTCTCGAACCCGTATGCCATTCAGTTTCATTACTACAGTCCCTGTAAGTACAGCCATAGCATGGCAGGGTTGAACAAACGCACTAATACTACTCAGATGATTTCATCTTCAGCGCATGGTAAGTATACTGGGAAAGTCACAGCCCAGATACGGAGCTAACAACCTTCTAGGGGAAAGACGATTTGGGGGTCCGACACTGACAAGACCACCGTGCTGACGGACTTTACATTGATACGCAACAACTTCACCGACGTTCCTATCCTGATCGGTGAATACGATGCGTCACCAACCAACACCGAGCCAGCGGCCCGCTGGAAATATGTGGACTATCTCATCCGTTCGGCTCGTAGCCTCAACTTTGCCTGTGTGCTCTGGGACAACGGCCTGGATCATCTCGACCGAAATGCAGACACCTGGAGAGATCCCAATTCCATCTCGATCATTACAAAGTCCACGGCCTCTTCGGCAAATAGCTTGCCCGACAGCTCTGAAGATTCAACTGCCACGTCTCAGTGGTCTTCAGCCTATATTTTCCACGAATACGGAACTAGCGTGGTGGCTCAGAGCCTTTCATTTATCTTCAACGGGAACACGCTTACTTCGATCAGCGACTCGACGGGCTCTACCTTGACGTCGGGCACAGATTACTCCGTCTCGGGCGCTAACATTACTTTCTCTGCTTCTTACCTTTCCAAACATATTACCTCGACGACTTCACCTGGCATCATTGCTAATCTCACCTTGACCTTCTCGGGTGGTCAGTCATCGCCAATTGTCCAACTTGTTCAGTGGAAGACGCCGACTCTTTCGTCTACCTCTGCGGTTGCTTCTTCAGTCTCCGGCTCCGATCTTAGCATCCCCATTACCTGGGGTGGTCTCCCCGAGATCGCAGCTGTCAAAGCATTGACTACCAGTGGAGTATATCTGGTGGATACCTGGACAGTCTATCTAGGCCCGTTGCAGCAGGCGAGAACGGTAAGTTTTGAGATCGAGCTCACCCATTCGAACGCGCACTTACATTTCATGACCCATCACAGACGTACAGCAGCCAGTATAACTGGGATTCATCACACGTGATAATCACTTCTTCCGCGATCAGCTCGGTGATCTCAGCTGGAGTGTCTACCGTGTTCACATTCGAGTTTTACCCGCGAGTTGAAGGCGGCGTCAACGCGGTGAACTTCACCTTGACCGTCTAGTTTACTCCATTGGAAGATATCGATTAGGAACTATTCGATTGTGGATTGATTGTGCTTGATATATCCTGATATCACCCCATTAACGCCGTAAATTCCGTTAGATCGCTTGCTCCCAAAAAAACCCCCAAACAAGCCGACATAGTCACGCCTTTAGATCGTACTGTACAAACCGGCAAACGTCCACCTCAAATAATCGTCGGATCGTCATTCTTGTGGCAGAAGCCAGACCAGACAGGTCAAGGAACCACAAAACTCATTAATAAAATGTCTTCAACTCTCTCAATGGAAGCGCGGGGTCATATTTGTCCCAGACAATCTTGTTCTTCTCATTCAGGTGGGCACCATCGTCCGTGATATTGATATTTGGATCGGTCTCCAAAACTTCGTGGCGACTGAACCCCCACTTATCGCGTGGGATCCAGAGTGTGGGCGGTGGAGAAGCAACGCACGGCTCAAAGTATGCGGTGCGAAGTTCTTCCTCGGTATATTCGACCGGGTCCACATTCTTGCGTACCTTCCGACGGAGAGCTGCGTAGTCGTTATAGACATTGGGATGAAACCAGGACCAGAACGCCATGACTCGAGAGCGACGTTGTTCATTGATTTCGGCAACGGCGTCTTCTTTCTCTTGAAGGAGGTCTTCCTCTGCGTCTAGAGAGCGCGGGAGGAACGTGTTGAGTGGAGCCAAGGCTTCGTTCAGAGATAGGTGTGCCAGGATGGTGGCAATCGCGTAGAGCACCATGATGATCACGGGTCCAATCGCGCCCTTGATTGCGAAGAGGCCGATCATACAAATCTCAGCCAGGTAGATGCCGGTGAGTAGGTGTTGAAGTGCGCGCGGATATACCAGACCCTTGGTGTCGATCTTGATGTCATAAACGAAAAGGAAATTGTAACGGTACGCTTGATAGACAAGATACAAGCCAACGAAGGCAAAGCCCAGAATCAAGGGTGAGATACAAGAGTATGTTAAGGCTGGAAGAAGTTAGACAATGCAGGTATCAGGAGATGGGAAAGATGTCTTACCAATTACACCCATGTTTGTGAAGACTGGAAAAACGTTGCCCCAACTAAGACTACCCAGCTCAGCCCATCGTTGGAACAGACGACGCGGGGAATAAGCGAAGAAAGTAGTCACGAATTTGAACAACAGAGCGCTGACAATCTGAACAAGAGCCATGGAGCTCATACTGAGACCCTGAAGCAAAAAGTAGGAAATGTAGAAATTGGTGGCTTTGGGCAGATTCTGAGCCAATAGGTCCTTGGTGGAAAGAGGGTCCTTGATGATCTGAGCTGTAGCAGCAGACGCGGCGGAGGTCAAAGTTGTCACCAAGAACACCTGCACGACTTGGAACACGAAATGAGCACTTTGGGTGAAGAGCTCAACTCGAGCCAAGGATGGCACTCCAGCGCGACGAGCACAAACTGTGCGTTGAAGTTAGAGAATACATCTCGTGATTGTGATGTTAAGGGCAATACGTACTTCGACAGATGATCGGAACTAGTGACATCAGTGCCACCAGTGCAGCAGACGGAAGAAGACCCTCGATCGCACCCTTGACAAAGTCAGGAAGCTTCAGGATGAATTTCAAGGGGGGTATGATTTTTGACAAATAGGTGATGTTCGAGATGGTTCCAACAAGGGCGGCTGGGAACGACCAAAAGATGACCATTGCTGCGAGGCCTCCTTGAACGGCAAATTTTCGGATAATACGCTGCCACCAGCTCAAGTTCAGAGCCGACCAGACAACGTCGTTTGGGGCAACGCCGATGAAGCGCGGTGTCATATGGAATGGCTGGTGGTGTGAGAGGGTTTGTAAAGCGATCTGAGCATCGGACTGCGAACCGAACTCAACAAACATCGCAGAAAGCTTCTTAGCATCGCCATCCTGATGCTTTCTTTGAAGAACCTCAACTTCTTTAGTGACCTTGACAAGCTGTTGGCGGTACCACCGGATAGAGTCGACTTTCTGGCCGAAAAGGAATCTCAGACGATGTGTCGGACGTCTAACTTTATGTGACCATGCTGGGTTGCTCGACTCACAGTCGAGGCATGTGTCGGAAGCGAACTCGCCATTTTTCATGGCTTCTTGGCGGACTTTATTCGATCGCCGAATGAATTTGGTCTCTGCAGTTTCCAACTTAAAGGCTAACTTGTCACGCTCATCGACCAGCTTGGCGAGCTTCTTGCAGTCTGATGTGATCCAGATGCGAGTAATGGTGTCGCCAAATACCTGCCGCAACTTTTTTTCATTCTTATACGCGTCGGGTACAGACATGAAAAGGACAGTCCTTGAGGAGATTCGGGTAGCGTAGGCGGGGGAGTTGAGATATGCCTGGCGTAGGTTTGCATAGTAAAGACTTTCACGAGTCACGACGTAGAACACGAACGCTAGCCTCACATTAGAAAAAGCTCATTTGAGGCGAAATTCACGCACTTACTGAAGTAGATCAGTGCCACGACGGTGTTCGCATAATACTTGATAGGGTTTGCGACGTTGCTGAAGCTCAAGAGGTCCAGCTGATCGTTCCCATTCCCGCCCGTCGCGTGTATCGGGAGAAGGATAGGCCAGGTAATCAAACAACCAAAGGCACATATCGCGCACAACACGCGCAAGAATCGCAGGAAGAGATATCCATCGAGCGACGAATGGTGCATCACATGATTGTCTTCAATCTTTAAAAATGTGCCGAACCAGTTGACCCAACCCGATGGTAATTCAGGACTCCGTTGATGTTCATGAATGTCCGGCAGATGAGATCGGGGTGCGTACCAGCGGCGCTGTGTTCGGCGAAAGATAAGAAAGAGTCCAAACCAGAATGCTGCATATATGAGTGCCGGCAGCAAGGTCATCATCAAGGCCGAGGCTGACGAGCCGCCTCCGCCAGTAAGACTGCTCGCGATCTCGCTCGATGTCGACGAGGCATTGCCTCGAGAAGAGCCGACATTCGGATCGTTACTGGGGTCCTATTCACAGTGGATTAGCACGCAGCTCTATCATTGCTTTTGAAGTTATCGGTGGATATGGTTTATTCACATACAATTGACATTCTGAACAGGTGCCTGGTGCCTGATCACCCTGACGGGAGTGGTGACAGGAGCCGGGGGAAGCACTAATCAAATATGGAGGGCGGGTCTGGTCCAAAGAAGTTTAGAAAGAAAAAAAAGTGACAATGATCCATAATTTCTCCGTCGCAAAGCATGACGGCCTGCCTCCTCTTGACATTCAATTGTCATGGTCCCGCATTTCGGACCTGTCACCTTTCAAGGGGAGTGGACATAGGCTGCACGCGTCGGCGATCGCTGATAGGTGCGTCGCATTTCACCAAATCCTCGAAACGCCATAGTTTGTTGATCCCATGGTTTGCGCGCCCGCAGATCGTCGGGTTCGACGCACTGCGCTGCATCGTCCAGGCAGACACACCTTTCGTTCCAGCGACTCGATAGGTACTTCTTTTTTTCTTTGCTGTCAGTTCAGCCCTACATGATCAGTGCGACTGACCCGGTACCTGGAAATGAGGCGCCATCACCCTGGCGGAGGGCAAAAGCCAAGAGAGCCGCGAAAACAACCCTGTGGGTCCCCTAAGGAACCAAACTATTGAACAAAGTCCGACGATCGCGATTTGGTGGATCGAGGGCCTGGCTCTCCCGCCCCTGAGCGTGTGGACGCTAAGTCTCGAACTAGGATTTGGCATCTGGAAGGTGCAGCCCGTGCTTCTCCTAAGTGCCTTCACGAGGCTGTGGACCAATCGATCGCGAGCGACACACCTTGGTATGCTGAAGTGTACTGCAAAGTCTTGATGGGCGCTGGTCAAAGTATGCGCGTGCTGCAGGCGGGAGAGGTGGGCGTAGCCAGCGGTGATGAAAGCCGATCGTTGTTCCAATCTCTAATATCATTGCCCACCTCCCACGGGACAGACAATCGTCTTTGTGTAACACACGCGCTATCTTCTCCCAGTCCAGCCTCCCACTAGGGCTGACACGGTGGGTGAGAAAGTTTCGTGACGGCGTCATGAGTGTTGATCCATTCTTCTGGGGCTACCCCTCCGGGGTTTGACAGCGGTTGATTCCTTGACCAGCCAGACGCAAGGGGCACACATTTTCTGGTAGTGCAGGGAAACTGTGGCGGCCGTAGACGAGGGCAATGTTGGAGGCAGACGGGGCACATTCTGGCAACTGCCAGAAGTTCTAGGCCTAGCAATCATACAGTATGGCTGGTGGCTGGTAGATCCAGATCCTCATGGGTCTGAGAGCAGATCGAGTGCCTCAAAACCAGATTTGATATGCTGTTGTGCTTCCCATGGAGTCTTGGACGAGGCCGGATTTCCTGCTTTATCTCGTCCACGCGGGTACTTGTGTAACAAGAAGGGATTGACCTTGATGTCACGGTGTAGCACGTTCTGCAAGTAGGTGGGAACAAGCCAAGACGAAAGTCTAGATGTCTGGTCGGGTCGACTGCCGGACTGCTGTGGAGTCGTGGACGCGACGACCGGGAAAGAACTCGCATGAACGTCTGCGCATCGTGCTCGATACGGCCGCGTGCATTGAGCCACGGAGAGCGGGTGCGTGTCTTAAAACTCCCTGCTTGGATCGCTCTTCCGGCTCCATCATTACGAGAGATCGAGGAGGCTTATCGTCTTTGCTGTTGATCTGGAGTGATCGGATGCAGGAGCATCACGTTGTCGTGGCCTACGCACGTGTGCGACTACGACAATGGCTTATGAATTCTTATGCAAACTCCAACAAAAACGGTATCTTGAATGCTGACGACAAAAATTGACCAATTACATCTGTGTTTTGTTCATGCTCAACTCGACTGATTTGACACAATCGATCGGCCTTCTTCAAAAACGGCAGCAGCTTTCAACAACGTCGCATCCTCCCAGCGTCGGCCAACAATTTGCAACCCAATTGGCAATTGGACCTCGGGTTGATTTGTAGGACTCTCTGCACGGCTAAACCCACAGGGCACACTCATTGCAGGATGTCCAGTGACATTAAACGGTGCTGTGTTCGTAGTCACCCCTACGGCGGTCGAGAGCTTCTCCAAGATGGTCGATCCCGGCCCATCGCGATCGGCCTTCATCTTGGGATGAGGCATTGCAACGGTGGGAGCGCATGGCGTGACGAGGATGTCAACTTGTGTCAATGCGTGATCATAGGCTGCTCGTAGCTCAAATACTTTTCGGTGCGCCTTGGCTTCCACGCTAGGGCCAAAGTGTTCCTGAAGAAATGGTCCAGATAGCATGACATTCATCGCCGCCGGGTTGGTCGTGGTGAGTAGCTCGTACATTCGCTGGTCGGGTGGCCATCGGGCTTGGATGTGGGGTGGTAGGAAAGACAAATGTCCCGACGTCTTACCCTGGCAGGCCCATTCAGACATGTGCATCCTCGTAGCGGCAGTCCAGATGAGGCTGCCTTCTCCGTGCAGAGGAACGGATACGTCTTTCACCTCGGCTCCTGCGGCGGCAAAGAATGACCGGGCAGATCCAAGAACTCTCTCACGAACTTCTTGGGATAGCCCCGGGACCTTGAAGGACTCGGTCAATAAGCCAATCTTCATCCCAGAACCGATTCTATCCCCGTCTTTCAGGTTGCGATTTCGAAACTCCGCCAGAATTCGGGGGTAGTCTTCTACTCGGTCCTGTAATGGAGATTCGGGGGTCATCCTTGGATCGATTCCATCGTATCCGGCCATCACTTGCAGCAACAAGGCGATATCTTCGAGGCTGGCCGCAAGAGGCCCCAAATGATCAATCATGGGAGCCAGTGATACCGCACCGGTATAGGGAACGAGGCCAAATGTGGGCTTCAGACCATAAATACCACTATAGGACGCTGGATTGCGCACTGATCCAGCTTGGTCCCCACCAATCGCAATATCAACCGTTTCGCCCAGAGGTTTACCTGTCTCATGGTGTATGACAGTCGCTGCAACGAGCGCAGCGGATCCACTGCTACTTCCGCCAGAAGTATAGCCAGGCGCCAAGGCATTATGGACAGGACCACTAGCAGCGCTGAACGAGAGTGGGGAGGCACAATAGTTCTCGCAAGTAGAAGTCCCTTTGATGGTTGCACCCGCTGCAAGTATTCGCGAAACTACAGTTGCATCGATGGGAGACAATGGAAGCAGGCCATCTTTGCAAAGCAGTTCGGTAAATGTGCCCACGGTGGTTGGTAGCCCACCAACTGAGATATTGTCTTTGATCACGATGGTTTTTCCGCGAAGTAAGTTGCTCGTCGGTTTTTCAGCGATAAGTGCGCAACGAAATTGCCAAGCATTCAAAGGGTTTTCTTCCTTTGGAGGATCCCAAAAGACACGGGGAGTTGTCGTTGCTACAGGGGATAATGCAGGATGAATGTAATCGTCACTGCTCTGGATGCGTCTCATTACAGCCTCGACTGACTGGAGTAAGAGCAAGTATGCTTCTGTCTCTTGGCCGTCTGGAATCTTGATACCGAGCTTGGTAGCTGCATTCTGCAAATCTTTGACTGATACAGTGGATCTAACCAAAGTTAGCCATGCTCGACAATTGTTGTGCATCAATCGCATACTGAGTAGCCTCAGCCAAGAATGCCACTGACATCGTGAATAGCTGCGAGTGATAAATTTTTAGGTAGCGCAAACAATCAGTCACTATGAAATAATCAGGTATCGTAGAAGTTTATCATTGACAACCCGGACCAGACGAAATAATCCGATAATTCAAGAGCACGCCGTCGGACGTGCCGCTTCGCTTTGGCGACAGTGCGCGGGGTCCCCGATGACAAGGCTGTACTCTCAAGAGGGCCAGAGAAGTGAAGCGCAGACGAGAAGAGTCTACGGTTTCACAAGAAAAGTTTATGTCCATACTTTGAGAAGAAAAATTTTGGAATTGCGATGTCATTTAGAATATCTTGCAATTCTCGTCTCATTCCTGTCCATTCGCTAACAAAATCCGGCCACCATCAACACATAACGAGACGCCATCCACGTATGCCTAAGACCGTCTGCTTGTTAGTATTTAGTGAGACCAAGGCATACTATGAATGATTCTGGAGCCACTTACACCGGCTTTGCTCACAAGATATAGGATCGTCCCCGCCATATCCTCGGAGGCGCCCGGTCGCTGTGCTGGAACCTTGTTAAACAACGAACTGAAAATATTCCCTTCAGCACCGACAGGATTCATATTGCTCGGAACAACTAAAGATATGATTGCATCAGTATTCGGCTCAAGGCTGCATGTTCAGATCCGTCGACTCACATCCTGGGTTTATGCCCACCACTCGGACATAGAAGCGATTATATTTGGCTGCCAGCAACTTGACTAAGTGGTCGGTGGCGGCCTTGCTGGTGGCATAGCTCGTCAAGTCGACATTTGTGACATTGTGCATACTGGCACAGGAGCTGGTTATGACGATCACTCCTCTTCCCTCATCGCGACCTTTTCCTCCGCTCCCCGTCTGCTTCTCGGCTGCTGCAGCTAGAAGGGGAAGGAAAGCAACGCTGAGGAAGTAATGAGCTGTCGAGTTCACTCGAAAGGTGTCTTCCCAGTCTGTTTCCTCGATAGACCACATCGACTTTTGAAGCTCCTCCAAATTCGCAGTCAGGACATTGCATGCCTGTGGAGGGTCGCGACGAATGCCCGCATTAGAGATTAGGATGTCCAAGGAGCTCTCTTTCTGAGAAACTTGCTGGACAAGTCTAGATATGGATTCTTTAGATGATACATCACAGGTGAATCTAGATATTCAATCAGCTTCTGACTAAAGATCTTCCGTATCGTTCATACCCTGCTGCGGTACCACCAGTTTCTTGCCCCAGATGATTGAGCTCGGTAAGAACGTCGGCGATGGGATCGCTTGGCAATGCAGCGATATAGACCTTTGCACCATTCTGGACAAGTCCCTAGCCACATGGTCAACGTTGGTGCAATGACATCTCCAGCATAATACTCACTTTTGAAATCATGAGTCCTATCCCATTACTCCCGCCTGTGACTACCGCGACGCGGCCTTGTACATTGAATAAATCTAAAGCTGCGAGAGATGACATTTTAAAATGCAGACAAAGGGGGCCATGTGAGTCGAGGAGGCTGCTATAGTGAACAGCATAAATAGTTTAGACCTCTTGAGAGAAAGTGGGGAACCGTATTTTGGCCCGTCGGAGCGGCCGAAAGGGCACAAAATAGCGCGGACATTCCAAAGATGATAAGATCTCTCAGCTTAACTGCTATCATAGCAAAGTACGGCGTATCACGTCGAAAACCTTTGCCTGCTCGCCATGGGGCTGATTCTCTATACGGGTTTCTAGATTTGTTGTTCAATGATTCTGATCACATTCATATTGTAAGTTGAAGTAGAACTGTCGGAAAAGGAATATCTAAGTAACAAATCATAAGACACTCTGAATCCGTACCCATCAATAAAGAATGATTCGAATTGTATTTTACCATCCTTTACCCCTCTCACTCCTTATAATGCTCCTTCGTGCGAAGCTCTGCCAAATTCAAGCATTCACTAGTCATAGCATCATCTCTGGGGATCAACCGGACCTTGAAATCCTTGGGAATGGCAACAAGTGCAGTTTTGAACTGATTATACTCGACGTAGTCCGTGTTTGGTGGATTCTCTTCGCTGGCAACGATCTTATAAGAAGAGAGAAGGCGCACCAGAGCACTATATAGTAGCCGCGAGGCGATGAACTGACCCGAGCATGCCCGGGACCCAGATCCAAAGCTCAGATGAGGCAAGCCACTTCCCTCCGTCTCGACTGGTGGAACGATGGACTGCAGCCACCTTTCGGGGTCGAACTTGCCACCGTCTAGGCCAAAGTGATCCACATCTAAACTTGCCATCAGTGAATTCCAAGTGCCTATCTGTATCGAGTTGACTAACCGTGATTGCCTGCCTGGGCATTTATCAGAATCATCGTCTTGGGTGGGATGATTGCTCCGTTCCAGTTCACTTCCGTGACGGTTTTCCGCGGCAGGCTCATTGAGCTAACTGTATAATAACGTCCCGCTTCCTTTATAATGGCGTTGACGTACGGAACTTTCTCTTCCGAAATAGCGCTTGTCCAGGCCTCGCGAATATCTGGGTAATGACGTTTGATGTCCTCATACGCACGATCCTGCCAGATCTGTCCTTCGGGGGTGGACAAAGAGCCGATGCAGGACGTCAACGTACCAGGAATTGTTTCGAAGCCACCGGAAACCAATGACAAGCAAATGGAGGAAACTTCGACTCCCGTGAGCTTTGTCTCTTCATCCTTGAGAATAGCAGCAGATATACATGGCTTGTCGGTGCCCTTTTTGATCATTGCTCGGACCTTGTCGAGGAGGAGATTGAGATACGCATCGCGACGATCACGCAGCTCTTTTGATCTGGCTGTTTTCTCATTATTGGGCAGGTAACGTAGAATGGGAATATAATCCTGCAGGTTCTCAGAGGCACTTCGTAGCAGCGAAATGGCAGAGCCGACATGTAAAATCTCGCGCAAGAGGTCGTCATATACGGCGTCCATGCGGATCCCATAACAGAGTGTCAAAGTGGTATTCAGGGCGAAGCGTTGAATGTACGGTCGCACGTTGAGTTCAACTTGACCATTGTGACTATCTCGGTAGATGTCGCGAACAATGCAGAAACTTTCAAGATCAAACATCGGATGATAGTTTCGAAGAGCAGGTCTTCCCAGCGCCGTGCCTGCTGCCTTGCGCTTTTTCTTGCATGAATCATCCCAAGGAGACGAGCCGATGGTAAAACCCTGGGTGCTGCTCACGACCCCATGGAAGGTGTACAACTTTGGGCGATCGATAATCGCATTCTGGTGACCAAGGAGCATCTTCCGGCAGTCGTCAAATGAGTTAACCACAACAGCTCTGGTATTTCCAAGCTTGATTTGAAAGACCGAATGGCCATATTCCCGCCACCATCGTTCACAAACAGTTGCATGGTCTTCGCCGAGTTTGAAGAGATGGCCGAAAATTGGAACTGCTCCCGGAATTTCTGGAAGGCCTTTAATGTGAGGGATATCGGTCGCCAGCGTCCACTAGGAAGTAGCAAGATCAAATTTCATGATACAAAAACATCTAGACATGTGAGGGCCATACCTTGTAGATCAAATAAATAAGCAACGGTATAATGGCTAGAGTATAGCTCCGAGGATCAAACCGCAGGGGAGCTAAATGCTCCTCGAGTTTCATCTCAATCATATTGTCGTCAGCCGAGGCTCGCTATGAGAATATAGTCTTCGCAATGTGGACCGCTCAAATTGACTCCTTGGGTGCCCTATCTTATGGATTAAATAGAATTTGTTCAAAGCGATAATCTTTTTAGAATCGGGCCCGTATCCCTCTTTTCGCGCGATATTACGTCGGACGAAGATTGACCCCTCATCGTTCCTGTTAAATTCAATCGCAGGACTGTCGGACTGTCCGACCACGGCTTATCACATTATGATAAGGCCCTCACATGCCTGCGTCGTCCTGTACTGTATTATCGAGTCAGAAAATGCAGCGTAGAAAGCATAGACACGGTAAAGAACAAATGTACTAGATCTTCGCTATATGGCTGGGAATCTGCTATCCCGATATTCGAATGAATTGTCCATAAATGTTCCCAGGCAGTTCATGGCATTGAATATACTATACACTGTACACCATCAAGTTCAAGCGCTACTCTCCAGTCTCCAGAAACTGGGCAGTTCTTCGATCCATCCACTCTGTATCCTCTGGATTCGCACCGCCTCCACTAATATGTCCCCAGATCGATGGTATCACTGCCAGCTCTCCATTCTTTAAACACGATACCTCTTTCTCGCTAATTTCCCATTTGAAGTACTGGTCCGTCTGACAAGGCATAAGAAGAATCCTTGTACTTAGGCTCTGGAGCGCTTGTTTGATGGGGACTTCCTCGGAACCGGATCCCAGAGCAACCCCAATATCAGATCGCTGCCACATTCCTAGCATAACGAGGAGATCATCGGCATGCCAGCCCTCATAGCCCTCATCACCCGCCTTGCTCCAATCCTCAAGAGTTTTAAAGCCAAGCTTCTTAAATAGTTGTTGTTCAAACCATTCCGCACTTGTTAACCAGGCAGAATATGCGCGACTGAAGGCATGCAACCCACGAAGTGGCACACCTCCTTGAGATCTCATGGTGCTATCGTTGTAGTCAATTGAATGAGCCAAAGCCGCTTTAGGCCCTTCGAGGAACTGGTAATTGTGCAGACTGGTCTTTGCTGACGAGCAGATAATCACGGCATTGTGAAGGATTTCAGGATACATGGCAGCCCAATGATAGGTGCATTGTCCACCCATGGAGAAACCAATCATCACGTCGATGGCGGGGAGGCCGAACTTTTTGGTGATCAGCTCGTACTGAGCTCGAACGCAATCTCGATAGTTGAGGGTAGATGGAAAGTGACTGGTGTTGGAAGGACTCGAAGATTCGCCATTGCCAAACAATGCCACGACGATAACTCGATGGTCGCGCAAAACTCCCGTGGTAAAGTTCAACGTCGTATTGATCTTCCCGCGAAAACAGGTGGGAATCAGTGCGACCTTCTGAGCAGTCGGGTTGAACTCTCGATAGGCGAGCCGCACTTTGGGAAGTGTGACTCCATTTCGGAATTTGAAGTCTTGGAGCTCGAAGTATTCGATTCCGGTATCGTCGTAGGCCAACGGCATGGTGAGTTACCTGCTCCGAAGGAAAAAGAAGCGGATATTGAAGCTCTTTGACAACTATCAGCCCAGATGGCCCACACCAATCTGAGATTTTACGAGGTTAAGAGGACCGGATGAAGAGGTTGTTGGTAGTTTGGTAGTGTGGATGGATCTCTTTCTCTTTTAAGTACAGAAGAACAAGAAACTCCACTTTTACCCCTCACGCGATTCATTCTCCACAGCCTTGTGGACATCTCAAGCCACGAAAATTGCCGTCGCCTTGATTTCCACCGCAAATCGAGGATCAGGCAATTCTTTTACTCCGACAGTCGCGCAGCTCGGCGCGCTTGCACGATCCGACCAAATCTTGTTCCATTCCTCATTCATATCGGCGTATTGTGTCTTCATATCGAGGATGTAGACTGTGGCATCCACAATATTATGGAGACCTGCCTTTCCATTGGAAGCCCCCTTGATGATGCTATCGATTCGGCGTAGAACGGCCGCAGTCTGTTCCCTTACGTCTATTGCGAAAGATCCGTCCGCGTGTTCCTTTACGCCTTCGTATGTGCCCTCCGGGGTCACGGCAGCGATGCCCGATATAAAGATTGTGTGGTGCATTGAAGGTGCCACTACGCGGGCGTGTGAGTATCGGGTCGGCCCAGCGACCTTTTCGGGGTCGAGGAGAAATGACTGGCCGTTGGCTGGCATAATGAGGAAATGCCGAACAGCTGGACGGGCTGGTTCTGTTGAGAAGAATGACTTGAGTAAGCGGATGGCACTCACTGCTTTCCCCTATGACTTCCTTATATTTGATTCAAAATACATCACCACAGAGTCGGCGAAGCGGACCCCCCGACGTGGAGAGCCACGGGCGGGAAAGCCGAAGGATAGAGGCCACACCTAGGACAGAGTTAATGAAAGGTGGATGATCAATGATGGTCAATCATTAGCTGATGATTTGAACATGATAAAACCTATGCCTATTGCTTGGTGTGTAAGCCACTGTCGGGTTAGTTATCCTACGTGAGTAGTTGTAAGGACTTTTGTTCTTATACACTGGCAGTTCGGCAACACGAAATGTCTAGTTTTTGGAGTGTTTTTACCAATCATTCGAATCGTCTTTATAACACCCTATTGGCCATCTCTTACTCTTTCGTCTAGCTTGAGACTGATGTGGTAATTCCCAAGTGTGTGATGTGTGTCGGTTCATACTTGAGGAAGGCCACCTAAGTGGTAACGATAAACTAATATGGAATTCTCCAATTCCTAAACTACGATCTCTCGAGGGCTTCTTCTATAGCTGCAGATACTCTAGTGCTCTAGTATTATGGATCTTGTCAGGAGTTCATGGACGCCTTCGTGACGTATAGTTCCTGCTTCCCCACACGAGAGCAGATCCAAAAGGGCGACCCCGCTACCGTCGATTCTTAGCGTTTGATTGGCAATTGGCCCTTTCTCTCCCCGCAGGCGCAGGGGCGAGGGCGCCGAGGAGATACCTCGCCCGAAATTAGAGAACAAGCGGAGATTCAAGGGAAAAAAGCACTGCTGTAGAGACTAAGATCTTGATCTGCAATGCAAATGACAGAAAGAATGGAATTGGTTTCGGATAATAGCAGGAGTGGTAATAGACAAAAGCTATCAGGAGTATGCCACGGAGGATGCCTGAAGAGATAACGCGAGATAAGTAATTCATTCAGAAGTCTCCCCTCTCCCAAAGACCTGATCTCCTCTTCCCCCGCTCTCATCAACTTGGGGCCTCATGCCCGGACGAAAATGATGGCAGAACCCGCTGCTCGGGCGGAAAGCTCCTGCAAACGTTGCCATCGAAGAAAAAAGCGCTGTGATAAGACTCTACCACAGTGTCAAGCATGTCAACATGCCAAGGTCTCCTGTAGCTTTCTAGACGATGAAACACAGGTGGCCTCTTATCCAATCGTGTACGCAACTTTGGTCCATCCTAACAAAAGCTTCCGTGTTGCCTAGATTGAATGATTAACGGCGAATAGATACGTACGCGGCTTAGAGAGAAGAGTCAAAGAACTAGAACAACAGCTTGCGTCGTCGCTCACAACCCAGAATTCTCAGACCGACCCATTGTCCTCCCCGTGGGATCAAGATACGGACCTCCATCTAGGTGAAAACTCGATGAACTTGGACGACCTCGCCGCAAATCAATCACCTCCTGCGCCGTCCAAAGATCATCCGCTACCTCGGTCCGATACGCAACCTATGTCTTCCCCGTTGGATATTGCCGGACAGAGGAATGGTAATCTGGCCGATGAGCTCAGGTTGCTGTCCTTGGAGGCGGCCGCAGAGAGATATTTGGGCTCCTCCTCCGGTCTCTCCTTTGCCAAATTGACCCAGACAGTTCTACAACGACTCTCTCCTGACCAAGAAGGGTTTATGTTTGACGGCGGTGTCACAGATAATTCTCAGCAGAGTTGTGATTGCGATGCTGAGCCCGAGTTGCTTTCCAATTCAAACTCTATCTTCTCCGAAATGAACGCTGCGTTAACAGGCCTCCTTCCTCTAAACTCGATCTTTGGCAACCCGGTGGTTGAGGACTTTGAGGACTCGATGGGGCTCGCCTTGTTGGACCCTTCCCATATCAATTCCCTACTAGAATTTTATTTCGCCCATTCGCATACCCTCTATCCTTTTATTCGAAAGAGCGAATTTGAAGCCGTCTTGTGGAGGATATACGGTGACCCGCTCGATCCCATGGCCCAGTCGCCTCTGTGGCAGTTCCGAATCTGGATGGTCCTAGCGACTGGATCCACGACTTACTGCTCCGTATCTCTCATGGACGAAACTGAATCTATCCAATTCTTCAATAAAGCTATGACCTATTTTGAGGCTGCAATGGGATGTGGAGACTTGGTGTGACTTGTCTCCGCTGCACTTTGTATGGTCAACATTGGCTAATTCTGTGACCCAGGCTGGCTTAGAGGTACTGATGCTGCAAGTCTCATATTCATTCTTCAACAAGATTGGGCCCAGTACGTGCGAATACTCTCTCCCAATCTGCTTATCAGGTATCAAGTCGCTAAACATGGGAAAGACACCTGGTTCCTGGTAGGTGTAGCGGCTCGCATGGCGACAGGCATGGGACTCCATACGTCAGACGTATACCAGACTCTGGCGGTAGACGTTTCTGAGCAGCAGAAGAGACTTTTCTTTTCTTTGTATATGATGGACCGGTATGTCTCGATTTAATACTGAACAGAGTCCTCGGGGCAGTAACTCGGCTAACTTCTTCCCAGTGTGGTGTCATTGGCTTTAGGAAGACCGTTTGCCATTCAAGACGATGATATAACAGTCGAGGTTCGTCATTTCACGCATAAACAACGCATGTGCCACAAGCTCTCAACCAAACTGACCACTCACCCGCCCATGCTAGCCGTTTGCCAACGCCGACGACGCAAATATCCAACCAGATGGTATCGTTGCTGCATCGACACTGGAGGCGTCCACGATGGCAGTTCCCCTTCACATCCTAGCGCTGCGGAGAATTGCAAGTGATATCGGCAGTCAAGTCCATTCACAGAATTACAGCCAACGTCAAAGCCCGGGGGCTCGAGAGGAAACCATCCAAAACCTCCATCGGAGACTTCTTGATTGGCGCCGCAGCATGCCATTCCCGCTTCCCGACCTTCAATCCAAGGTACCCCATCTATGTACTAGCTGGTTCGATTTAAACTACTATACCCATGTGATCATGCTCTATCGCCCATCACCACTCAGCCCGACGCTAGACGCGGCACGAATGAAGATTCTTGCCGAGGCATCAGGCATGGCAATTCGACAGGCCACTAATCTGCACCGACAACGTCGGTTTGCGTATAACTGGCTTAATTTGGTAGCCATATTCAATTCTGCATTGTCACTTATGTATACGTCTACGGCTCACTGTGAGAACCTGCCCTTGATGGTGGATCACTCACGAGCCATTGATGATCTTGAATTGGCTGTGGAATTATTGGAAGTCTTTAGTGGAAAGTTTCCTTCTGCAAAGAAGATCCAAGGCATGATCCGGACTGTTTCAGCGAAGTTGAAAATGTACAATATACCTTCCATAGGGTTCTGAGGAACCAATCCAGTCAAGGTCATGCGGAAGGTTGTCCATGGTCGGGTCGTCTCCGAATGGTGTTATATCATCGGACAAGGACAGAAGAGACTGTCGTATATCTCGCTGGCTTTGTCTAGATATTTCTTAGGCTTGAACATTAGCTTAATGTTCATTCAGGCGAATGCCTCCGAAAGCAATTTTCTGAATAAAGAAAACATTTATGAATAGACACTTTTGGGTGTAGAGGTCTTGGAAATCAATCAGGGACAAGTGTCTAGTGGCGCAATTCTTAGAAGGCTCTCATCTTAAACAAAAAAGAGCGGGATGGTCAGCGGTGAAGAAAGGAGAGGCAGAAAAAGCGGCCGTCAACAACCATCTCCGTAACTCCTGAAGCTGCCAGTAATTTTGGCGCAATCTCCTCTTTGCGACAACGTACGAGCATCGGCCTCATGGGAGACCGGGCAGCGAAACGGCCCGGATTCGAGGCGCCATTCGAGTCCAAGCAACCCTTCCCGCCGTTGCTCGACGAATTGGCGTCATCGGAGGAGGTACGGGAGAGCTACGCGGAGGATGAGAGCGTTACCTCTCCGGGCTACGACGAGATTGAGGTCGAGGACGATGCCGACTTCCAGTCGCACTACTCCCTAGAGCCACAGTCCTTCTCGGACTCGGAATCGGAAGACTCGGCGGACGATATTGGGAGAAATCACCCATTTCGACAGTCAACAGGCTCCCTCCATGGGCCCAATGCCTTTGCGCCTCCTTTTTACAATCGCCCGCCAACCCCTCTACCACCGTCGCCTTCATTGACATCCCTTCTAAGACCACCGTTCTCCACCACCACCTCTCGGCCCACTACGCCAGACAGCTCCGATGTGGAGACCCCCAACGACACTGAGGCTGCCGTGGCCAAGTCCGCGCGACGTGCGACTACCGTCCCTCGAGCCAGCCCCAAGGTTCCAACCTATGAGTACTACGGTTTTGTGCTCTACTTGGCTTCCTCCCTCGCCTTTTGTACGTTTCCCCCAACTCTGTGGTGTCAAGTGCATGCCAATGTCGATTACGGACATGCTGACCTTGTCGCGTTCTAGTGATATACCTGCTATGGTCATACCTCCCCTCCCCGTTCCTTCACCAACTTGGTATCTACTACTACCCCAACCGCTGGTGGTCCCTGGCTATCCCATCATGGCTGGTCATGTCCATTGTCTACATCTATATTGCTCTCGCTTCATATAACACTGGGTACCTCACCTTGCCAATGAACAGCATCGAAAACATTGTCGATGAGGTCGCAAATGTAGCTGTCATTGATGGAAAAGCAAGGCGACGGCCCGGGGGGTCCACCAAAATGAAGCCTGGGGCGACTTCATATCAGATCATGGGTCCGCAGAATCGAAAGGTCAACTGGCGGGAGATCTGGAGCGAGGGAACCGACGCGGTGATGGATATCCCGGTTGGGGGTGTATGTGAGGTGTTGTATGGTCAAGAACGCGATGAGGATGCAGGACTGGCGAGTTTTCATAATGCGGACTCATAATTGCCATTTAATCAAGAACACCATCAAAGTTCAATTCTCAATGACGTGAGCGTTCAACACAAGGGGTCCCGGTCACGTGCTGATAGGTACTGCCGCCTCCGAGACTCTTGCGCAGCTTTCGCATCTCATCCTTCGTGGCCGAGACTTCCCTCTTTCTCTTTCGGTTGTCGGTGATTTCAGAAAATGTCAGCAGAGAGTCCCTCGACGCCTCCTCGGCAGAATGCTGCTGGGCCTGGACAGCTTCCTCGCGGACCGTTGACGCCTGAACAGAAGCGAAAGATTGTACGTCCTTTCTGGAGCTCTCTCTCTCTTTTCCCATCTGATCCAGCGCTAACGAAGCTTCCATTCTTCCTCTAGGAGGTAAATCGCATGAAAGCTAAGGCTCTTCGTGAGCAACGTGAAGCCGAACTAGCCGCGAGCGCTCGCGCGGCAGGGACATCCCCCAATACCTCTCAATCTGCCCAAGGACTCAAGCGTTCTCACGCCTCGATGACAACGAGCGAGCCAACTCCCGCCACTGTCCGAGATGCCCGTACGAATACATCTTCCCGCCCACTGGACGAGATCAAGCCCGCGCGCAACTTCACCCGATATGTCGAGTACGATTTCAGCAAAATGACGGATACCAAGGGTGGTTTCTTGACACAGGAGGATGATCCATTTAATAAAGCACTTCATGTGTCCGACGAGAAGGAGGCTCAGAAACCTGCCAACATGACACAAAGGGAATGGGAGCGCCATCAATTGCTTCAATCTCTCCGACGGAATCGCGAGGGACCTTTCGAGCCGGGATTGAGTGTTTTGGATGATAAAAGCAAGCAAAAGACTTGTCGTGAATGCGGCAGTCTGGAGATTGACTGGAAGTGGGAAGAGCAGCTCCGATGTCAGATCTGCCAATCCTGCAAGGACAAGTATCCCGAGAAATACAGTCTTCTCACCAAGACGGAGGCGCGAGAGGATTATCTTCTCACAGATCGTGAGTTCCACCCATTCTTCCCGTGTTGTCTGCCCGCTCTCTTTACTGATACTCGTCAATAGCCGAACTCCGCGACGAAGAGCTACTTCCTCATCTTGAAAAGCCTAATCCGCACAAGTCGACCTGGAACAGCATGATGTTGTACCTCCGCTACCAAGTGGAAGAATACGCATTTTCAGACAAGAAGTGGGGGTCTCCCGAGGCATTGGATGCCGAGTTTGAACGTCGCGAAACCGATAAGAAGCGACGTCGAGAAGCCAAATTCAAAACGAAGCTGCAGGATTTGAAAAAGCGCACTCGGGTGGAAGCCTACCGACGCAATCGGCAGGGTGCTGCAGGCGGTGACTTTGGCGATGATCTGAGTACCAATCGAAAACATGTCCATCAATGGGGTCGAACGGTAGATAACCCAGAGACGGGCATCGGAGTGAAAACCTGCGTGGACTGTGGCATGGAGGTGGAAGAACTGGAGTTTTAATCGACATCCATCTGTACATTATATCACAACGTTTCGATACGATCATGAGACCACGAATTCCAAACCTTGTCCAGCCGTACTCATTATACTGGAGGGATTTAGATCAGCATCCGTAAAACTCTTAAGGTATACCCAGCTAATTCCCCAGCTTAGGGTTGTATCCTTTGTTATATATTTCCTGTCTTCGGAACCAAGTGAGACTCATGGATGACGGGTTGGCAATTCTATCTGACTATTAAGACATATGCGGCGATTCCCAATGACAGTGAGTCGCATTGGTATTCGAGCCGCAAATCTTGATTCACCGAATCCATTCCTCAGACCCGAGAATTGCACAAGGTCGTGGCCAATTGTCCATACCCGTGGAGTGATGGAGTCGACACCTTACATATCAGGCTCAAAGCCTCGCCCGACGTGGAGATGAGCTTCATTTCACTCCGGAATCCCCTCTCCCCCAACAACTCCATTGGCATCGGACCTTCACCCCTTCACTCTTATCTACCCCCGGTCAATTGCCTCCACTCTTCTCCTTCTCTCAATACCTCCGTCCATCACTTTTGCTTCCTTTTGTGCGTGCCCACATCCTCGTCCTGGCCGTGGTCCTTGTCTATCATTCCCGAACAAGCAGGCGGTCAGCTTCTCGTGAAGCCCCCGAAAAGCCACCCAGACGCGGCCATAACAAACGAGCGCACGCACTCGAACGTCCTGCAGTTGATCAGTGGCCTTTTAGTCTTTCCTCTTATCTGGGCCCTTCTCCCCCTTTCACTGGTGGACACGGCGTGGAACGCGGTTCCTCTGCTGTTGTCGCTCCCCGGGGGACCTGATCTCGCTTACTCCGGTGCGGATACCACGGGGTTAGGAGAACGAGCTGCCACAGGTCGTCGCTTTCGATTCATCGCGGTATCGCTTCACTATAGCTTGACTCGCCACGGCTGAAGTCGACGTGTCTGTTCTTTGAAACTCTGGATTACATGGCTTGGCAATCTTCCTCCGTTGGAGGGATGTCCGGGGCCATGGGTGACTCGAATGGCGGGCACCCGCAGGGAACGGAGTATACTCTGCAAGGTGGGTGTGCCTTTGATTTTATCTCCCGTTATCTCTTACTGACGTACATAACTTAGGTGTGATGCGCTTCCTCCAGACCGAATGGCACCGACATGAACGCGACCGCAATGCATGGGAGATCGAACGCGCGGAGATGAAGTCTCGTATTGGCCGGCTGGAAGGAGAGCTACGTACAAGCAAGCGCATGCAGGAATCATTGGGCAAACATGTTCGGTTGATGGAGACGGCGCTAAAGAAGGAAAGGGAGAAGGTCAAAAAGCTCTCAAACAACGAGTCCATTGAGGATCTGCAAGATCCCAAGGACATCGCGCGCGAGAGCGTCAACTTCCTCAAGGGTAAGCGGCAGAACCCTTCACCCATAACATTTACGAGCCAGCGTACTGACCTACCTGTCAAAGAACAACGATCTGCTTCCAAGTCGAACCCGGATGCGAACCCGGATGATCCCACAAACCCCGAATCGCAAGACCTCACCTACGAAGACGAGCGAGACAAATCCCGAGTTTACCTTTCGAAATGTGCACAGGAAATTGCATATCATGTTATCCCCACATCCCATCCCGTTCCCGATCTCAGCGACCCAGATCTCTCGGGCCATCTGTATGGAAACCAGCAGCTCTCCCAGCAGAACCTCGAGGAGGCATTTCTCCAGCAACAACGACAAAAGGCCAACCATATGATTTCACGTGAGGCGGTGCTTTCTAATAACCAGCAGAGTGGTAGCCAGTACCCTGAAAATGCGCCTCCATCGCGCGCCCAAAATCAGTACAATCAAGTTCCCCTCACTGTTGAGCGGCGTCAAATCGAGCAGCAGCAACAACAGCAAACTCCTGTCACTGCGATTGACAACCGGAAACTAGCCTACGAGCAAGGAATGATTGATGAACGTGCTGCATCGGGGACACAGCAGTCTGCGCACGATGCTCCAGGGCCTTCAGTTGCCATCAAAGAGGATTTGCAGTCTCATAATGTAACTGAGCAGGGCACTGAGGATGTCGACGGCTGGAACTTTGATGAGCCTACCGAGGTGGTGCCCGCTACCGAGTCCATTCCACCCCATCGACCTGATACCGACGCATTCCCCAATGCCAATTTCGTTCGTGGCAAGTCCCCGTCAAGGGGCGGGTCCCTCTCCCATCGACGAAAGAGCTCAGGCGCTCGGCGGAAGAGTGACGGCAGCATTGAAACCAGAGATTTTGGCGCGAACGCTAGTCAGCAGGATACCAACTTCAAGGTTCGATTCGCCTTGCGCGGACATCTTGATGTTATCCGTTCTGTGATCTTCACCGGTGGTGGTAGCCCGTCTGAGCCGGAGATTTGTACATGTAGCGATGATGGTACGATCAAACGCTGGATTATCCCTGCAACCTATGGAACGTTTGGCGCTCATGGGCCGAGCTCGAGCAACGATTTGGACATTACCAGCTATTTCACCCACCGTGGTCACGTTGGTGCGGTCACCTCGCTTGCGGCTTGTTCCCCATCGCAAAACATCTCCAACGGTGGTCGGGCTTTGGGTGATGGGTGGGTCTTCTCCGGCGGACAAGATGCCAGTGTGCGTGTTTGGGAACGTGGTCGGGTTGATCCCAAAGCCACCTTGGACGGCCATACAGATGCCGTGTGGGGGCTCTGCGTGCTTCCGGGGACGGCAGGTTCTGTCTTTGGGGACTCGAGTAGTCACTATGGAGGACCTGACCGAATCCTGCTCGCCTCCGGTGCTGCAGATGGCCGAATCCTGATATGGGCTGTTAGTGCTCCGCCTCTGGCATCCGTCCCCCAGGCCGGTTCGCGCCGTCAAGGTGGAAGCCGTCGTGCAAACTCCATCTCTTCTGGATCCAACTTCCCATCCTCTCCGCAACCGAGTGTTGCCACATCCACACCATTCCATTATACCCTCGTTCATCACATCATTCGCAGCGATTCTCCTTCTCCAACCTGCATTAGTCCGTTGTCTTTGGCCGGGGTGAACTTTGTTGTGTCCTACACTGATGCATCCATCCTCGTGTACGATACGCGAACTGGCGAAGAAATCGTGGGCATGGCCAGTCTGGAAACCTATGACGGCACGCCCTCTACTGGCGTTAATTCCGTGGTCACCACAACCGTCGGATTTGATGGATCCGCAAACTTGGACCCTAGCCGCACCATGGCTGAAGAAGAAGTCGTACATGGAGCTACTGGATCTAGTAGTGGGGAAGGCGTGATTATCAGTGGCTATGAAGACCGTTACATACGTTTCTTTGATGCCAACAGCGGTATGTTTTTATCCGTAGCCAAGGTTCCCCGTCAGTTACAGTTTATTAATCCCTCATCCCAGGTCAATGCACTTACACCATGCTGGCCCATCCAGCCGCTATTGCCTCGCTGTCCTTGTCTCCAGATGGCCGTGAGCTCGTCTCAGCTGGCCACGATGCAAGCTTGCGCTTCTGGAATCTCGAGAAGCGCAGTTGTGTTCAGGAGCTGACTAGCCATCGTCTCATGCGGGGCGAAGGTGTCTGCGCCGTTGTCTGGAGTCGCGATGGCCGCTGGGTCGTTAGTGGTGGTGGAGACGGTGTTGTAAAGGTCTTTTCCAGATAATCAATCGACCGGACGATGAGATGACAGCCTTGTATGATCCTTCTATTCTCTCTTCTTTCTGCCTTTTATCTTCCATTTGCTTTCTATTCTGGTGTGCATTTCTTCGGTCTTTTCCCCATCGTGATAGGATCTCACAAACCGGATGAGCAATTGGCCGGGCCAGATTTCCGTTGAGCATTTGCATTGGTGTCCTATCCAACTGTTGGCATATGGAACTCTTCTATGTGGTTTTTATATTTTTCTTCTTCTACATGTGTACTTCTGACCCTTGACACTCATATGCCGTCTTCGCGATGATTCCCTGGCGTACATTCCTGAGCATCCTGTCATCCCTGCATCTCTTGCTCTGCTCTGCTCTGCTCCTGCCCTTTGCTTCGGTGCATGACCGTTGTCCCACTTGACATGGCCATGCTCCCTCATCAGATTCCCTTGTTATTTGATTTCTCGATGACTATTCCGCTTGCACTATGAAGATTCCATACCCCCCTGGTCGCCGTTCTAGGGGCTAAATAACTGGACATTCTGGATTTGCTCTTTTCTTTATTGGGTTGTTGGAGATATCCCTCCGAGACCCTATCTATGTGTGTATAATAATGAAATCCACATTCCAAATTTACGATATTCAGCCATGTGGCTTCGTTGAAGTTCCATCAATTCATGGGTATTATGAAGGCCATACATGTAGCATTAAATAGGTATTTGCAACGTTGTCAGAGTAGACATGCCCTGTTTGGGCCCTCTATTGATTGGAGCTCCAAGCACCCTTGAAGAGCACTGCTAAGCGCTTCGCCTCATCAGCATCCTTCAACCGCTGCTCCATGAATCCCTGAAGATCATCCCAGAAAGCATCCGTCTTCAATAACTCTGCACCACTGGGCCCCACCGCTGGCTTGGGTACATCTTGTTCTGCGGCGGCCTCTGGCTGGGACTCGACCGTTTCGACCACCTGGGCGCCTCCAATAATCATGACACCGAATTCGACCTCTTTACCTCCGGTCAGCATCTCGGGCTCATCGGACAAGACCTCGGCCACCGTCTTCCCAGTTCCAGGTACGGGCTTGCGGCGATATAGGATCTTGATCTTATCCAATGCTACCGGGTTTCCTTGTGCGTCGGTGACACGTTCCCGGACGGCATCTTTCAGGTCTTGGACGGAGGTAGTTGTGATGGGCGCATTGGTAATGCTGAACTCGAGGGTCGGGTTACGGGCAGACTTGACTCTGATATTCACCGATTTCGACGCGCCGGGGGCCTGTGTCTGCTTTGTTTTCTTGGGCATCTCCGGGTGCGGGGCTTGCAGGCGGGGGAGGGTGTACTGCTCATGGATAAGAGGTTTCTCAATTAGAAATGATTGTCCTGAAATAATTCAAGGTATCCTTGGACCTCAAGGAGATTGACATACTGGTACACGCAGACCAACTTGTTCCGGGTCAAAGACATGATCGGAACGGATCTTGATGGGACGAGCGTCCAGCGAGGACAGGAAGGATTTGGCAAAGGCGAGCTCGGACATGATGTAAAGCAAGCTAGGTCGTAACAGGAGGGGAAGGGCAAAGTGGTGGAGGAGTGCAGAGATCGGCTGTTTCAAGGTGGATGGAGGTGCTTGAGGTTCTTCTGAAGCCAACGTTGGTGATCTCCAAGCGGCGCGGGACAGCTCATTGAAAGCCTGATCGATAAGGCAGCACACGGGCACTACTTGTAATCCCGCGATCTTGGTGACTCACCGCCTTCTGATCCGCTGGTTACTGCCTCTCTCCACCGCCGCCGAGAAAAAAAGCCTAAAAAAAAAGTTGCTGGGCAAACCCGCAAACCATCCAAACCAAACTCGATCTACACAATGGGAGTAGGACGTCGCATGAAGAAGCAGGGCCCTCCTGCCCCCCTGGATGAGTCGAAAATTTCTTCCCATTTGAGGAAGACCAAGGCCGTTGAGAGCGAGGTAGCTCCCAAAGTTGTCGCAGCCAAGAAGCGTCGGAGATCCGATGCTGATGAGAAGGATGTTGTGAGGAAGAATGGTGCTCCCAAGAAGTCCAAGGTGAACGGTGCGGCCTCCAATGGCGCTGGAAAGGAGAAGAAGAAGGCTGTCCCAGAGAAGAAGAAGCCCGTTCCAATGGATTCCGACTCCGAGGATGAAGAGATGGCCGATGAGTTTGGTGACCTTGATGATGTTAGCGAGGGATCATTGGATAGTCAGGATGGCCTTGAGCGTTTGTCCGACTTGGAGGATGATGAGGATGATTCGGTCCTTGATTCTGATGAGGAGGATCACCCCCGTGGGACCATGTTCTCCGACGACGAAGACCTTTCCGATGCCGAGGAACGATTGACTGCCGCCAATATTGAGGGACTTTCTCGGAAATTGGATCTCCAGAGACAGGCCGAGGAGGAAGCGGCCGAGCAAGAATTGCAAGAGTCTGCCATGCAGACCAACATTGCCGGTGACCGCCCCGATGTCTTCACCGACGAGACCCGACCCGATGGTCTTGCTCCGGATTTGCAGCTCCTGCGCCAGCGTATCACAGACACAATCCGCATTCTGGGTGACCTGAAGACCCTTGGACAACCCGACAAATCTCGCGCCGACTATGTCGATCACCTTCTCAACGATATCTGCACCTACTACGGCTACACCCGATACTTGGCCGAGAAGCTCTTCAACCTGTTCACCCCCATGGAGGCTTTCGCCTTTTTCGAAGCCAACGAGACCCCCCGTCCTGTCGTGATTCGTACCAACACCCTGCGAACCAACCGTCGTTCGCTCGCTCAGGCCCTGATCAACCGTGGTGTCGTTCTCGAGCCCGTCGGCAAGTGGTCGAAGGTCGGTCTGCAGGTCTTTGAGTCTCCCGTTCCCCTCGGTGCCACCCCCGAGTACCTGGCTGGTCACTACATTCTGCAAGCGGCATCTTCCTTCCTGCCCGTCATGGCGCTAGCTCCTCAGCCCGGTGAGCGTGTTCTCGATATGGCTGCCGCCCCCGGTGGTAAGACTACCTACATGTCCGCCCTCATGCGCAACACCGGCTGCGTGATCGCCAACGATGCCAGCAAGCCCCGTGCCAAGGGTCTGATTGGTAACATTCACCGTCTCGGCTGCAAGAACACCATCGTGACCAACATGGATGCCCGTACCGCTTTCCCCAAGGCGATGGGTGGCTTCGACCGTGTCCTGCTGGACGCTCCTTGCACCGGTACCGGTGTCATTTCCAAGGATGCCGGTGTCAAGACCTCCAAGGATGAGAACGATTTCTTCCGTATCCCTCATATGCAACGCCAGCTGCTTCTGGCCGCTATTGACTCTGTGGACCACGCGTCCAAGACTGGTGGTTACGTGGTGTACTCTACTTGCAGTGTTACCGTGGAGGAGAACGAGGCCGTCGTGCAGTATATCCTGCGCAAGCGTCCCAACGTCAAGATTGTCGACACCGGCCTGGGCGACTTTGGTAGCCCCGGTTTCGTCAGCTACATGGGCAAGAAGTTCGATGCCAAGATGGCTCTTACCCGCCGCTACTTCCCTCACCGTGAGAACGTGGATGGTTTCTACGTCTGCAAGCTGAAGAAGACTGGCCCAACCCCCGTGGCCCAGCCCACCGACGACACTTCTTCTGCCGCTGACCGCCACCCTCGTCGTGCCAGCTCCAAGGCTTCCTCTACCGATGATGAGGTCATTGACAAGACCCCCATTGTCGATGAGGATGGTGCTGCTATGGACTTTGAGGGCGGTGCTTTCGGTCCCTTCGAGGAGGGCGATGATGATGCCGAGCGCATTGCCCGTGCCGAGCGTAACCGTCTGCGTCGCAAGGGTATCAACCCCAAGGGTGTTCTGAACAAGCCCAAGAAGAACAAGGACGCTTCGACTAAGACCGAGGCCAAGACTGAGTCTACTCAGGAGGAGAAGAAGGAGGAGGAGGAGCAGAAGGAGACTAAGCCCGAGGCCGCCAAGAAGTCCTCCAACCAAAGCAAGGGAGAGAAGAAGACCGTGACGAAGATCGAGAAGAGTGAAAAGACTGAAAAGAAGGGAGAGAAGAAAGAGAAGAAGGCCAAGAAGGCCAGCAAATGATCTAACCCGTGAGCGTCTTTGGTTGTATCTATATAGCTCTGGCACGGCAAAAGCATCTTCTTTGTGTGGGTGGACTGGCGTCTTGGACATATACCTTACTTTTTTATCTTGATTAGTTTTATGTTTAAAAGGTCTTCAATATCACAATCATAACATGTTTCATTCAGTGTCAGAAAAGAATCTATAATGCGTAAAGCGGTCTATGTCCACCCCCTCCAATATATCCAAGGCTGGGTGGCATGCAGATGGTGTATCCCCCCCCGAAGATCCAAAACGAACGTGAGCAAAGAAATGACAAAAGGGGACAGAAATGACAAAAAACTCCAAGCCTGAAAATGTGAATGTATCTCTCGCCATAATCCCACCAAATCAACCAGTCAAAACACCACCGTTCGCTATCAAACCAGCGTAGCTCCAACGAAACACCGATTGGCACATCAAAAGGAAAAAAAAAAAAACAATAGAAGCCAGCGCGTGTTTATAAACCATAAAAACCATCACACATGAAATGCTCAAAACTCCAACATGCTTCGAAGAGGGATAAACGGATGAAACACCGGTCATACCCTACGTCCGATAAATCTTAATCACACTCTTGATAGTCTTGCGGCAGATCGGGCAAAGATCGACCTGCTTGGCACAAGTCACGCAAGAGCAGACGTGCCCACAGTCGCAGAAGACGGCGTTCTGTTCCTCGGAGTAACAGATCTGGCAGAGATCCGCTTCTTCATCGGCGACTTCCCAGTAGCTGATGCCCTTGCCGTGGCGTTTACCATCCTTGTAACCGCCGACGTATTTGTTGCCCGTCTTCTTCTCAATATAAGTACCCTGACCGTGGCGGACATCTTCGATCCAGTCACCGTCATAGGTGTCGCCGGTGGGATACTCCATCTTCCCTTGGCCGTGGCGGCGGCCGAAGATGAAGTCTCCTTCGTAGACTGTGCCCGTGCCGGAAAAGTGCTTGCCACGACCGTGATAGTAACCCTTCAGGAAATCACCGCTGTAGAAGTCACTGGTGAAAGTGGCTTCGACAGTCTGGGTACCAGTGAATCCTTGAATGGGGTGTTGTCGGGACTCTGCCCACAGGTATTGGATGAGACGATCAGGGCTGGAGAATAGACCAGAGACGCCAAGCTCAGAGCGCTTATCCTTGCTGAGCTTGTCTCCGATAATGATGCAGGATCCGTGGGGGACCACAACATCCATGAAGTTCTCCGCCGGAGATACGCTTGTCACGGTGGTTCCATCGACTCGCTTCCACATAAGGAAGTCCCGGCGAATGGGCCACTTCATATGCTTGCGAATCGAGGCCTTGACATTTGACTCGAGCTTTGAGAAGAAGGAGCCCACCGTACGAAGGACCTGGTTGTCCGGATCAAAGAATTGGATGAAGTAGTACGCGTGCCCAACGGGCAGAGCCACCGCGGGCTCCACGGACGACTCGGCTAAGACTTGTGAGCTGGATCCAGACAGGTCTGCAGGGGCTGATGTTCGCTGATCTGCTGCGCTGGTCTCTCCCACGGCGGGAGCGTTCCCGACCGTAGTAGCGGCATCGGTCTCGAGAGCTGCAATGGCTGCTTGTAGCCCAGTGCTATTTTCACTAGCGCTGGACAGTTCGATGCGACTCGTGGAGACCCCAGCGCCAAGGTATCCAGAGGAGCTGGCGACAGCGTCTCCATCAGCCGGGGAGGGTATCGGCTCTGGAGTGTCCAAACCCGACCGCTCAATGATCGACTCTTCCATCTTGTCCTCAGTGGTCGTCGTGGACTGGGGATCGGGGATGGCGAAGAATTTGGCATCATCTAAAATTTTAAAATTAGTTCATGATAATCAGGAATTTGTAGGAAATCCGGAGATTGCAGGACTCACCCTCTGAGATAGTCTCCATCCAGAATCGCAAAGTACCACCCGACGAATCCAGCGGGACGTTGAGATCGGTGATCAGATCAAATGCCAACGTGGAGCCGGACTGAGGCCGAGTATGTCCAATATGCCAAAGACGAACACGTTCGGGCCCAATCGTGTCTCCTGAAGCAGACTTCCACATGGAAATCTTCTTCCGCAGCTCAGCCAGACGAGAGGAGCGAGGCAGTGTCATATACATGACACCGTTAGATGCTTTAGCGTGCATCATCAGGTCGTAACTATCAAACAGGCTGTTCAGATTTTCGTACTCGGACATCGAGTACACTTCAACCTGGACATCCGTCTTCGCCGTGGCGTCGGCGGTCTGGTACACCCCAGTCTCGTAGTATTGCTTGACTGGCTCGGGTACATCCCAGGGCCCCTGAGGACCGGGGAGCAACTCCGAAACCATGTCACTGCGGACGTACATCACATTGACAGGAACGTCGTGGCCCTTCTTGTGGTCCACGGTCTCGGAAGGCTTGAGTCCGAGATGAGGGCCCATTGCGGTCTTCTGAGTCAGGCACTCCACACGATTGTCGCTGCCATCGTCGAATGCGAGCCATTTCGTTCCAGGACCCGCTGGACGAAGAATGCTGAAGAACTTGCCGGAGGTTCGGCGACCACGGTGAACCACGTAGCCGTAGAGGACGTACTTGGAGCCCTGGCCATCAACCACGAAGGGAGCCAAATCCAATTCCTCGTCCAGTTCGACCCTGTTGAAAGCCAGTTGCCAACGCATCGACTTGTCCAAAGTATGACGGCCAAGTTCGATGTGAAGCATGGGAGGAAGAGACCACCGGCCGGGCTTGGCCTCTAGGTATTCCCTCAAGGCCTGACCCGTGGACCGTACCGAGTCGGCGCGAACGCAGATTCGGGAATTGTACTGCGTTGGCAAGGCATTGACCACGATGGGCTCCTTCATCTCGGGCAGTGAGGCTGGCGCTGGGCTATCAAATAGCTTGGCAAATTCCAGACCCGCTTCAGTGCCGGCAAGCTCCAACTCCAGGGTACGGCGCAGGCGTTCCCAAAACTCAGAGACATCGCTCGAAAACTCACGCAGGTGACGCAGAGTCGAGGTGATGGCATCGGTGTCCACGTACTGGAGAGGTTGGGTCCGACGGCGCAGCTGCCACAAGAGCTTCTGTAAGGCATCGCACAGAGGCTTGGGCTTGACATCACAATTGGTCAGATGTTCGAGCACGTCGACACTCTGGATGATTTTGCAGAAGGGCGCAACGTGCAGCCATGATGCTAGACCCGCCACCTCGGCACTGTGATTGATGACCGAATCGCCCAGCGGACGGTAGCCGGTCAGGGCGAGACTGTCCCACGTGGGCTCGGAGTCGCTGGGATGCCACCAGAGGGACTGGGTCGGGTCGTCGACCACCCGGATATACGCATCGAACGCAAGCGTGTCGTTGTTCAACAGAGCCCGGTGCTGACCACGCCGACGGGTGTGGATCTGGTCCCACGGACCGTGGAAGTAGGTCCAGCCCCAGTCCAAATTGTGGGGATTGAACTGGTGGCAGGAGGATTGCATCCATCCGGTCCGCGGCTCTTCGGGGTTATATACGATCACACCAATCTGTGCAGCCACTCGCCAAGGGCCGGACGATTCTTCCTCGGGGGTCTCCAGCGTAGCGGACGAAGGGATTGTCGTATACTTGGTCTTGTAGTCATCCAACCAGGCGGTTGGCTCCTGAGTTGCGGGGGTCTTCACATCTACGTCGGGGGACGCTGCGTCGAGTTTCGCATCTGCCGGGCCTCGACGAACGGTGAATTCGGTCTCGGGAAGCGCCTCGTCGGGAGAGGGCATGGTTGGCGAACATTCCACGTAGATACTCAGGGAGCCGACATTGTTTCCACGCGGGTAGAACTTGATTCTCCACCAGTAGCCGCCCACGTAGGCTGCGGGAGACCGCATAACCTTGGCGCGGTTGGGAGCATCGGGAGTGCCTCGAACACCCTTGAACTTCCATGTCAGCCGAGCCTTTTCCTGGGGCACATATTCGGGGTCGTCCAAGTTGCGGAAGAAGTTGCTCTCCCAGTACGTATCTAATCAGTCGTCAGTTCCGTTCCCGTCTTCGATCTACCGACCATCCTCGATCTTGGGATGAAACCTACGGTCACAGGCACTGTAGTCTTGATCCGAAGTATTGATCTCCTTCATTTCCTCCGCATCAGGGGTCGAGGTATCTTCCTCAAACTCCGCCCAATAGGCATGTTCGACCTCCTCGGCTGGGCCAACGGGCTCGGTGGGGGGCGGAGTGGGCGCCCGAGGTTGTGACTCAGAGGGCATCTCTGGCTGTTCGACGACGACGGATGGGACGGAGTCGTCCAAGGATTGGACGGTGGGAATTGAGGTCTCTGAAGGAGTCAGGGGTGTATTGTCGGACCCCGGGGCCTGATTGATCTCTGGGGCGGTGGGGACCGAGATCGGAGGATCCATGGTGATGGGTGAGGACCGAACTGGCGAAGCGAGGAACGAGCGGGAAAAAGAACGAATGCAGAAGCTGTTCGAACGGTGAATTTCAGAGCCGAGTGCAGACTGCGTGCCCAATTGCTGAATGGATCTGGTGCTTTGTCGAACACTCTAGACCACCGTTGGGAGCGAATGTGGAGAGATAAGCCTTATCCTTTAGGGAGGGGAGGCTTATCGGCGAGGGACCGCGGAGGGAACCCGTGGAGAGAAAATCCCGCAGTGTGTAATGTATGAGGACCTCGCGAAGGTGAAAGAGAGCGTGTATGATGGAATGGGAAAGGGAGGGAGAGGAGGAGGAGAAAGAAGAAGAAGAGAGAAGAAAGAATGAAAGGAAAGGGAGAGAGAGAGGCAAGTCAGGCAGAGAAAAACCGATAAGAAGTCCGGGGGGAGAAGAAAAGAAACGGGTCGGGATCCAGCGAGAGACTCCACTCCGAGACTGACGGGTTCCGCCCTCACGTCCGGTGGTCGATCCACGCGGCAGTCCTCATGGTCGAGTCGTCCGCTACGATAATGTGCTACGAGGCTACGACGGAGTATACCACTCCCTGCGAGCATTTAATGATGACCACCATGATAAGACGTTGATTCTCTTCCACTGCTGGTCAAACATGCACCGCATACAAAGGACTGGACGCAAGTAATGCAAATCGCGGTGAACCCCCCCTCTTCCTCAATTCTCCTGAGATCGGCCGTGGAGCCGAACAGAAAAAAAGGACGGATCCACTTGCCCCTAGGGCAGCCAACGGATCCCAACCTTAAACCCCCCGGCGGTGAACGGATGAATCTGTGAATGGATTGTGAATGGATTGATCTCCTAATTTTCTTGTCTAGGTGGCAATGGTGGGTTATGATTGGCTCTTGTGATTGCTCATCTTAGGGATCCGGCTATACAATTATTCTTCAAGCAAATCGATAACGATGCTTCGGGTTATCTTTTCTTCGTCCTCGCCACCTCCGATCGCATGCCGAACTGCTCTTCCCAGTGGCCCCCCAGAGTCGCCACTCCCCCCCTGCTTATGGAATCCATTTCGCTTTGATCGGATTCGCTGGACGTTCGCTGGGCTCCAGTCAGAAACCCTTTAGTCAGAATCTGCGAGATTGGTTACACCCTGCCAGAGTGCCGCCAGACCCGACCGGTCTCGGGGGCCTTCCCAGGCCCAAGTGGTCGGCACTGACTACCGGCCACGCGGGCACTTCCCACCCTGCCGGCACCAGCTGCGCCGGGTCACTTGCACGGAATGTTGGGAACTTGGGGGGGTCAGGCCTGCCCAAGGGTGGTGCTCACCGACAAGCCACGGCAGGTGCCCATCGTATTTCCAAGCCATCCCTCCCATCTGACAGAACACATGGACACTCATACAATCATACAATCATGCAGCCAATGTCCACTGGGCTGAGATCTGTCAGATTTCAAGAACCGACTGGTCCAAGCGCGTGGGAAATCACGCTCTCCTCATGATTGGGCGGCCGTGCTGTGTAACACGGGACCCTGCATGCGCCCGGCAGCCGAGACAGCGAGAGCGAGAGCGAGAAATTCATGGATGATATGCTTTCCCTTTCCAACAGGATGGAAAACACCCCCCTTTCGCCTCCCAATATTTTTTCTTAGTTCTGCGAGGGAGTCTGTGAGGGGGGTTCCGCCCTCGCAAATGAAGCAGCGACGATGAGGGGGAATGCCACGGTCGCTTCCGCATAGACCTTGACGGCTTTGGCATCGGCTTTGATCTTGCCCCAGCTGACGGCTTCGTCGGGACGAGCGCCGGCATCGCTGCCATCAAACTCCTGCGCCGTGTTCACGTAGACGGCATGCTCGGCCCCGTTGCGCATTAAACAAGCATTGGCAATATGGTGCTTGACCACCCCGCCACCGAGAATGATCATGCCGGCACGGGCGGCCCGGACGGCCATGGTGTTGATGCGGCGGACATCGTCTACAATGTCCACACGCAACCGTTGTGGTGAGGACTTGAAGGTATGGAAGTAGAGCATATCTCCCAGAGAGCCATCCGTCAAGGCGGGGCAGAAGACGGGGATGTTGTTGCGAGCAGCCCAGTAGAGCACCGAGTCCTCGTTATTGATCTCCCGGCCCAACCGCTCAGTGATGCGGCTGGGAGTCCAGTGAAGTTCGTCCTCCTCGTCACCCGTGCCCCGAGCCTTCAGCTTAGCAGCCTCTTGTTCTTCCAGCATCCGGTCAAGGATAGGGACCACCCAGTCCTCAAAGGCACAGTAGTTGTTATTCGGGACCAGCAAGTTGCCAATGCGGTTCAGTCCCTTGGCGCGGAGACCGGCACCCGGGGTGCTGAACGAGCCCATGTACGTCGGAGCCAGGCATTTGATCAGATCTTCTTCCACACCACCGGCCGTCGTCACGATGGCCGACACGTGCTTATGTTTGACGAGGTACCGGAGGGTGTCTCGGAGACCGGAGGAAATGAGGTTGGAGGTGTAGCCGAGGAAAATGGTGGTCTTTTCGCCGGTTTCGGGATGGCGGAATGCTCGCTAATGAGAGGAAGAAGGATTAGGTTCGAGTCCAGTCCGAGGGCCTGGTGGGAGGGTCTCACCATCTCGTTGATGATACGGGCAGCCTCAGCGACCGCACTGCCTTGGAAGCCCATGTGAGTCATATTCTCGACCATCTCGGCGACCGTGATATCTCGGCCCTGGAATTTATCAAAGTCTACTCCACGCACTTCCTGTGCTCCCTCGGGCATGGGGCCCGAGGCGACGAGAACCGACTCGGTCGCCGAGGTGGGGGGCGCGGCAGTGCTCATTGTGCCGGATGGGAGGATGAAGAAGGAGGATGGAGAAAAAGAACAGAAGAAACTTCGAGAACGAGTGACGGAAAGAATGTCAAATCAGATCGTTACAATTGAATGGGGATTGATGGTGATGTCGAGATAGGTATCTGCAGCGGGGGATCTAGTTGAAGATTTGACTTTTTTTTACTTTTTGGCGGGGAACAGCCCGTCATCGCCAGGCACCATTTCTGGACACCTTAGGCAGGATTTGTCCCAAGCACACGATAGTCAAGTTCGACCCAATCGACACGCAGTTTGTTCGACCTGTCACCGTTTCAGATACATGTTAATCCATTTGTATTATACTATTTCCTGTATCTGAGAAGCCACCGGTTCTCCTTTGGCCATGTCTCCATTTCCGGGCCCTCGTTTCATCTGGCTGCAGATCCCCAGAAGTCTCACGAACCTGCCAAGCTCCTCAAAGAGAAGTGGTAGAGCGAGTACCTTTCGAGAGATGGTGACTGATAGCAATCGGACATGATTGTAGCACTACTTTAGTACCCTAAATGGAAAATACTACCCAAGTGTACCTCCCACGCACCTCGATGTATAAAATGCACAAAAGTATACCGCCCGACTCTTAAATGGAGTCGTCTAGATTCCCGTGCAGGCGTCGTGCACGGACCCCCTGTCCCTTTTCCACCTTCGATCCTTCGATTCTTCAGCTCCGTCGTTCATCTCTCCCTGTTCACATTGCAACGAAGTTCTACACCCTAAATCGCATGAGCCCATGTTGGTCAGCTCCTTCGTCCCAGGTTGACTACTCTTCCAACGAATTCTCCCATCCTATCCCAGTTCGGACTCAAAATCTCTAAAAACGCCCACCTCTTGAAACCCCTGCCCGATCGGGGGTATCTTCACGTGGCCCGTGCTGCAGATCACGTGTGCCCCCGTTCCGTTGGTTCGGCTCTCAAGAGGCTGCAAGTTGGAAAGTTGGAGATTACCCTGTCCAAAGATTCAGGAAGACATCCCAGACATTCGCCCCATTGACATTCTCTCCCGCAACAAACCACGATATTTGGCATACCCTTTCTCAGCGATTTGAACCCTCCACTTCATTCCCCCTCCCCCTCTCCCTCGCAACTGATCACGCCTCTTCAGTCTCCAGGTCATCTCAGAGCATGACCTGGTAATGGCGTCTCGATTTCCCCCTTCGTCCGGGTTTAACTCCCGCGACCGCTCCCCTCAACGGCTCGGGGATCGTCGCCAACCCGGTGGCCCCCGTGGCCTTGACGACGGGAGTCCTTCGTTCGGTAGAGAACCTCCGCGCGGCCCCCGTGCACTCGTCGACTCCCCAGGTCGAGGCGGCTCCTTTGGGGCCAGTGATCGCTTTGGTGGAGGTGGAGGTGGTGGCCGAGGACGAGGTTATGGCCGTGGCGGCGACTTTCGCGACAGAGATCGAGATCGAGACCGCGACCTTCGAGATCCCAGAGATCGAGACCGCGACTTTCGCGACACGCGAGATGGACCGCCGTTCCGGCGCGATGTTGATCGCGACTATGGTGGTCGCCGAGACCGTGAGTTCGATCCTCGACCCGATCGCATCGGTTTCGGTCGAGGTCGCTCCCGTTCGCCGACACGCGACTTTCGTGATTTGAGAGATCCTTCCGGCCGCGATTTCGATCTAGTGCGCATGCGACGGAACTCGCGGGATAGCATCCTGTCTGCGTCGTCCGGAGGTCCGGATGGGCCGCCTTCGAGTGGTGGTCATCCCCATGGTGGTGGCTCGATGCGTGGTCGTGGCCGTGGTGACTGGGAAGGAGGCCGAGGTCGTGGTCGTGATCCATTCCGCCGTCGGAGTCGGTCTCGCGACGGTCGTCTTGGCTGGCCGGGTCGTGGACGGCCCTCCATCTTGGATCGTGACCGCGAAAGAGATCTCATCGATCGTGACCGCCCAGTTGATCGGGAGCGTGAGCGTGAGCGTGTGCTCGACCGAGAGCGCGATCGTGATACTGTGCGGGAGCGAGAACGTGACCGTGACATGGACCGGCGCGATCGATTTGAGCGAAGAGACGAGTGGGAAGTTCGGCGTCCAGATCGTGAGGATCGTGACCGGCCGCTGGAGCCTTGGAAACGTGATCGTCCTCCCAGCCGAACGGACAATCGTGGCTCCATCGCCTCGACCGTTGCCTCTACGTCCACCCCCACCGCAGTGACAGGTCCGACGGTACCAGATCGGTTGCCTGAGCATGAACCCACTGAACCAGTGCCCCGAAAAGCATCGATCATTCCTGGCCCCCCGACGACGGAACTTCGACGTGATAGTGATCGACCAGAGCCAGCTCCAGTTCGATTTGAACCTCCCAAGGATGCAGGGCTTCTTGGCCAACAGTCTCCTCCCCCCTCTGCTCCCCAAGTCCCCGCCTTTGGCTCGGTGTCTGCGCCCATTCCAGCCGTACCCCCTGCCAAACCACCATCGGTCGAAGATCGGACGAAGCCTGAGCCACCACCCCCAGTAGAAAAGGACCGACAACCGTTCCAACCACCCACTGGCCCAAGGGCCGAAAGAAGCCAGTCATTGCAACCTGTCGAATCTCGTGTGCACTCATTCGATGGCAATCATCGCCAGGAAGAAGCGGCTCGGGCTGCCAGAGCCTCTACTCACCTATCCGACCGATCACCGCCAACTGCCCCTGCTGCAATGGCAAAACGAGACTCGATTTCGGCAAACGTTGAACTCTACGCACCTGGAAAACCTAATGTAGTGACAACCTCTCCAACCTTTACTCGACTTCCTCCGCCTGCTCCTCGAGCGCTGTCCCGAGACCCTTCCATCTCTCCTCGGATGCAACCCTCGAGTATCCCAACCGGACCGCGCGCGTACCAGCGGCGGCCGAGCTCATCACCGCGTGGTGGTGGTAACAAAGGGATCAAAGCATGGGGTCGTTCTAGTTTTGGTCGCACCCCATCTGTCCCGAGCGCACCCAAGAAAGAGTCTGATGAGCATGAGGGGAAGTTCTCGGCAGACGATAAATTGCATCAGCACGTGTTGCTTGAAGCATCACCTGCAGCGGAGGAGCCGAAGATCATCAAAGATGCTTCACCGGAGGCAGTGAAGACAACTCCCCCGCGCCGCGCCTCTATGGAGCTTCCCATCAGAACTAGTCCACAGCCCGTCTCATTCGCGGAGGCTAGCCCAGTGAGAGAAAAAGAAGAGGTAGTCCAAGAAGACACCACAGGGATTCAAAATGGCGTACGAGCCAGTGATGACCGTGAAGCAGATGAAGAGACAGCGGAGGGCCCGGACGCAGAGATGGAGGTTGATGAAGAAGAGGAGGAAGAGAAAGTCGTTTTCACGAAAGAGTACCTGGAAGAGCGAAAGCAGACTTTTGAAAAGGAAATGCAATCTCTGCGGTCTGAAATGCCTCTTTCGCCATTGGAGGATCCAAACATCGTGTCTCTTTTGCTGAGGATTCAGATGCTTGGGAAAATTGCCCAGGAGGAGCCAGTCGAGCAGCCCACCGCGCCGATTCCGTCTGTGGAAGAGGCCGAAGAGCCGTCGACTGTCCCAACCGAGGAGAAAGTGGTTTCGTTTGCCCCGACGGTTCTTGATCGCGATTCAGAATCCGTTCCCCTCACGGTTGTTCCTCCAATTGCCACTCGCGAGCAAATCACCGTCGAAAGCCTGCCATTCTTGCATTCGGGGCCTCCCACTCCCATTTCTGATCTGGAGGTCTGCCATGAGAACAATTCCACCCAAGAACGTCTCAAGGATATGATCCAGAGCGAGCTTATTCGGCGGCAGAAGGAGGTTGCCAAGAAGAACGCCATTCTTCGAGAGGAGTACATGTCTTATTACAAGCGTTGGCGTTTGGACGTTTGGGAACTGGATCGACTGAAGGAAAAGAAGCCCATGACGCCGGGTCCTGCTTCCCCTCCGGCACCGCCCATTCCCACTCCTCCCGTGGCCGTTCCCGAAGGCCGAGAAGGTCGACGGTACAAAGGAAACAGCGAACTTGATTTCTTGAACGCATTGAAGGCATCCGAAATCTCGGCTCAGGAGGAGCTGGAACGCCGACGAACGAAAATGGCGACGGCTCGACCTGACTTGGCCCGCGAAGCGGTGATTCCAGATATGCTGGAACCCCGACAGGTGAAAGCAGGCATTTACAAGGATGTCAATAACACCATTGAAGCAAGCCACGCGATGGAAGTATTTGGTTTCCTGCCACCACCCAACGATTTCACACCCGAGGAGCACCAATTGTTCACAGATGCGTTCATGGCGTATCCGAAGAAATGGGGCAAAATTGCAGAGTCTCTGCCTGGTCGTGATTTCAAGCAGTGCATCATTCACTACTATCTTACCAAGGAAGAGATCAAATACAAGGCCAAGCTGAACAAACGCTGGAGTCGACGAGGCAGAGGAAAAGCGCGGTCTTCTCGACCCAAGTCTAATGCTCTGATTGCCGATTTGGGAGTCGTTAAGCCTGACTTTGACGGCGAAGACGAGCAGCCTCCTCCTGTCACCGACACTGGACGCCCACGGCGTGCGGCAGCTCCCACTTTTGGTGATTCCAACGAAACCGAAGGCTCAACCCCCAGTGGTCGCCGTGGCCAGTCCGCCAAAGATGGCGAGCTTTCCGAGAAGCCCATTGCTCGGCGTGGCGGACGAACTGCTGGTGCCCGGACTCAACGACGTGGTGCCAAAAGTGCCCAACCAGATTCAAAAGCCCAGACTCCCGTACCTCCAAGCAATCCTCCTCTTGCGGCGGCCCCCAAGGTGGAACTGGGCATGGACGGAATGATAGAGGCCGCCCCTGTGCCACAGGAAAAGGAAGTCGTGGAGAAAGAGGCTCCACCACCTGTCTCGCGCCCCCGAGCCGGTCGTGGAAGGGCAAAGGAGGGAGTGTATATCTTCGAATCCACAGAAACCGACCCAGCCCTGGTGACGCCCAAGGCTTCAGAGAGCGGTTATGGGTCTCTTCAACCGACCAGTTATTGGTCCGTGCCCGAGCAGCGTGATTTCCCTCGCTTGTTAGCACACTTTGGTCGTGACTTCGAGGGCATCTCGAATTTCATGAAGACCAAAACCACGGTGATGGTAAGAATGCGAAAAGAAAAAAAAAACATCATGTATTCAATTTCTTTGATTCGCCTGACTAACATGTCTCGTGCAGGTGAAAAACTACTTCCAGCGACGTCTTGACTCCGGACAGAAAGATTTCGAAGAGACTGTGGTGATGGCAGAGGAAAAGAAAGCTCGTGGCGAACCAACAGGGCCTCTTCCAGTCCCCAGTGTCGCTCCAAAGCGCCGTTACGAAGCAACCCCATCGGCCATTGTTCCACGTCCGCTTGCTCCTCATGGCGAGCTGATGCCTGAGACGGAAGATGGTCGATTCCCCTCAAAAGGCAAGCCTATTGCCATGTCACCTCAACCTATGCCATTGCACGGTCGACCCATGTCCGAGAATGAACGAACTCCCAGTCGTTATGCACCACTCGCGCAAGCTTCCACTAGTGCAACAGCCCCATCTGTTGCTGCTACTCTCGGTGAGGATCCCTCGCGGGCAATGCGTACACAGGCTCCGCCTTCTCGCATGCCAGGTCCTCGCCTCGGATTCTTCACTGATGAACGTCGTGATTCGACGATTATGCCAGCCACTGGCCAGCGTGCTCAAGAAATGCAGATGCCCTCTCGTCATTCTGCGGGGGCGAGTATGCCCCAAGATCTGGGCCGAATGGATCCCTTATCCTCGCCGGCTTACATGCCCGGGCAACCACCATCGTCTCTTCTACCTCCTTCTCATTCCCGCCATACAAGCCTCACTCAGGCCCCGGGTTCGCCATCGCAACTCTCACGGCCGGAGCTTGACATAGCCTCGGTTCATCGCGATCCTTTCGCGCAAAGGGCTTATTATTCGCTACCGGGACAATCTGGAATTTCCCACTCCCCTCGTCCAGGTCTTTCACCCGTCAAAGATGCTCCGCGTCCTAGCGCGACACCGGTCCCCGAGTCAACTCCTCGACAGGTGCCTGCGAAGCGTTCAAACATTATGAGCATTCTCAATGATGAGCCCGAAGAACCTCAGCCACGAAAGCGGTTTGCCAGTGAGGTCCCCTCTGGCCCTGGCCCTATGTCTGCGTCAAGATCTGTCTATCAACCTGGCGAGTCAGCTCGTCTTGAGGATACAGGTATGCCGGGCTCTGGGCAGAAGTCTTCGGGCTATGGTCAGCCAAGTCCGTACCAAACGCCGGGCCGTGGATATCCAGATTATGGCAATTATGGGCCCCCTCAGGGTGGCTCGGCAGGTTCGGCCAACAATGATTGGATGGCGCGATTCGACCCCAGGGCGCAACAAGGAGGTCCACCAGCACAAGTTCAGCCTCCGCCTCCACCTCAATCATCGCAGAATGGTCGCTCAGTTTCGTCACTGGCTGCTCAAGGCTCCTACGGACACTATGCATCCACGCAACCCCAACATGGTGGGCCGCTGAATGCCATGCCCGTGCCATCTCCTGCACCTACTCCGCCGCCGGCTGGTTCTCAGCGATCTGCCTATCCCAGCGTCTTCTCGCAGCCTGGCGCCCGTGAGATGGTCTCGCAAACCTCAGGCTACCGCCCTTCGTCGCCTCCTCCACGAGCCAGCACCGTTGCATACGGCTCCCGTCCGGAGCCACCGACGCCCGCTCAGTCATCGAACAATCTCTTTGGTATGGCGCCTCGTCAACCCGGTTCGCAGCCTTCGTACTCCTCTGCTGCTCCGTCTAGCGCGGCAACGACCCAGCAACACGGTCAAAGCTATCATCAGCACGTCCAGACCCTGGTCAATGGTGCCCACCAGCCGCATCGCTCAACTCCTGTCGGGTTGGCCGGTGGCACTCCACAATATGGACACAACACTCCTCCACCGCAGGCCCAAGGCCGATCGATGCCATCGCTGGCTAACCTCGGGCGGTCTTACACTCCTCCTTTAGCCATGCACCCTGGTGGTATGGGCTACGCACAGCCACCACCCTCGGCTTCCGGGGGGATGCCACCTTTACATCAGCGACCGCCGGGTCCGGGTGAGCCCCCCAGTCACACGCCCGGTCATCACCGGGTCTACAGCCAAGGTTCGGTTCAAGGGGGGCTACCGGGTTCATTGCATCCGCCGTCGCAGCCGCCTCGCTAAATCCCTAATGCTGGATGAGCTGGTCTCTGATGGCTATGAACAGTAAAATGGTTTCCGCATGGACAGGATCAGCTGTACATATGGACGGGGTACAGTCCTCTCTCAGCCCTCTGTTTTGTTTAATTTTTCCTTGTCTTTTTCGATCCATGAAACTCAACGTGGATATGTGATTGTTCCAAATGTATAACTAGATGAATGACTTGATGTATGCCATGTTCGACTATCTTGCTTTCGATTTCTGTTGAATCTATCGTAATCATGCGTGATATGAATCTAATGGTTCCTGTCCAAGTAAATTACCTCTCGTGCCCTTCCCACTCTTCTATCGATCTAATTGATTCATGTGGCTGGGCAGGTTCCACGGATCATAGTCCAAATGTACAAAAGCCCGATCCACAGTCGGCACACTTTCCAAAATGTACTGCAGACTCTCTCCAACATCATGACTGTCGCGTAAACTGGTGCGCTCATCCACAACCAAGTCAACCTCGACATTGAGCTTGTCGCCCGCGTAGTACGCCTTGAGATCCTGGATCTTCTGGATCACTCGGGAGAAGCGCATGGTCATGTACAACAGAATACTGTGGTCGGTGGCCGAGGCAGCTGCGCCCGTGAGTCGTTGGATATACTCATTTGCCGTCTGGCCCCAGTTCCACATGATGTAGATTGAGAGGAGGAGACCACCGAGGGGATCGAGGAACCAGAGACGAGCGAAAGAACCAACTAGAAGGGTTGACTTGGGTTTTAGAAATTGTTTTGCGTGGGCGGGGGAAGAGAATAGGGGATCATGGGTGCATACTCAGTGGGAAGATGATGCTGAAAGTGTTGAAAACAACGTCAGTCATGGCATCTTGAGCTAGAACTTGGACGCTGGGACTCGGAATCAGACGGCACCAGATCCAACACAGCAATTTGATGACCACGGTTGACGCCATCAGCACAATAGAGGGAATAGATAATTCGACGAGCGTATGGTCGTCACCGGTCAGTTTGTTGATAGACGATAGTCCAACTTGGAAGAAGGACGTGACCATGATGACGGAGAAGACTAGCACACTCAATGGCTCCAGGCGGTGGCGACTGATTGGGTACCGTCGACGGTCCTGACGGCGGATCAAACTGGTCGTCACCCAGATGATCACCGTACTGAGGAAATCCAGTACTCCATCGACGAGACCGGCGAGCACGGACATGGAGCTAGTCAGGACCATTATGGCTACCTTTGAGATGAGCAGGACGACGTTTGCGACGAAGTTGATACGGATGGCAATGTTGACCAGGCGCTCTTCTGCTTCTGGAGACAGGCCTTGGTGAGAGTCTAGATCTGGCATTGTATGGTGGCAACAATGCTCGTCTTCCGTCTCTTCTGTAGGTGGGAGCAACGGGGCCGTCTCATCCGGGATACGGTAGAGGTTATGCGGTGTGCGCTTGATTCTAGCTGCTCTGGAATTTGCCTGGGTAGTCATTTTGGCCGTGTTATCGGCATCGGTGGATAAAGGATGACCATTGCTCGTATGAACCTCCAAGTGATGGTGGCAGTCGGAATAGTCTTCGATCAGATTATGTGGGAGAGAGGAGTCGAGAAGGCGATCGATGTAAAGATACTGGGAGATTAATTGGTTGTTCCGTTCATAGTACTGTCGGCTTGGGGGGATTTTTTAGTGATTGATAGACGGTGAGGATGGTAGAGCATAGCATACATTGGCTTGCGGAGGCCTTTTAAGGAATCCGGTGGACGGTAGTAACGTTGCCTATAGGGAAGAGAGCAGTGGTTAGAGATACTTGGATCTGATGGAAGAAACCAGGTAGCAGATTCGACCGTGACTCTAGTCTGCATGCTGGATACATCTTGACGGGGTGGTTGAGATGATTCCATATGATGCGATACGATATAGGTACTTGTATATGATATGCGCATACCATCTGGACCACCGCAGCAATGATATCATCGCCGTGACACGCACCATTCATATCGGGGATTACTATGTCCAATTAAATGAGATCCCCGCCGAAGAAAGGTCGGCCGCTCGGTTGCATGCTGCTCGAGGTCTTGCAGTGCCGAGCTGGACAGACGGCTGGGCAATAATGACAGAATGCGCTGGCCGCGAGTAGAAAGGATATCGCGCTCCACGTCCAGACTGGGGCGCCGGGGCATTAATTGCGGCGATCCGGGAGGTGAAGAGAGCGGAAGGAAATGAGAAGACATGATGTCGGTTCTCTCATTCCTTCTACAGTCTGTAGGCCTTGGTTAATGTTTGGGATGAAAGGTGAAGATGTTTGAACTACGAGTCTCCAACTCGCGTGGCGAAGTCGGAGACGCGGAGAGCATGCAGGCCTGAAAAGTCGGGCATCCAGGTACACCAAGCGCGGAATATCGGAGTATATCGAAGATGGAATTAGGAGAAGAAGCAGAGTCTAATAGATTATCTTGGCAATCTTTCTGATCTCGCAGGAAGATTTGAATTGGTCAGATCAGCTTTCCATCTGTGGAAGGAGACATAATTATCTGTTTGCTTGATCTAGCCATCATCTATTGACAGAGCGGGGCGAGGCTCGCCGAGCATTTGCCCCGCTAGATAACCGCCGTCAGAGTGGACTACTGCTGCCATATTGGAGTGGCTTAGAGAGGTTACTTGGAATTATTCAATCACCTTTGTCGACTCGTCAACGAATTTCTTTGATGGCCGCCAAAAACGACCATCTGATCGGAAGTCCTCATGGCAACGACCATCTTCCACGGCCAGAGATTGCCTTCATCTCAGGACCCATCGACACTGGACCGAATGAGATTTATTTTCATACTCATTACGTCCCTCGCATTCAAGAAGCTGTCGAGCAGGGTCACGATTTTGTCATCGGTCCCCTCCCGAGCGGCGTCGATGCCGATGCCCTGGATTATCTACTCGCCTGTCCTATAGCCCCGAGTCGCATCACTATCTTCGTAACTCCCGGGGAGGCGAATACGTGGGGAGCTCGATTTCGCGCCCTGTCAGTCAATCTGCGTGTGGTTGAAGGCCAGATGACTCGGGAACGCGACGCAGCCATGACCCAAGCTAGCACGTACGATATCCTACGGGTGCGAACTGTGGAGGAGGTAAAGGAAATTTACGGCGAGAGGGCTCGTCACGGATATGTGACAAACACGGAGCGCAATTGGCGAAGACGCAGAGGTATCGCGGAGGACTTGTCGATTAGTGCAGAAGAGATCAATTGCTCCCTGGGGTATTATCCAGCATCGAAGGTCCCATCTCGACCGGAGGGGAAGCAGGGGCTCGTGGGACAGTTGAAGCAAGCCTTAAAACGTGACCGATAGACGAAGAAATGAATTGAAGACCAATAGCATATTGCGGTACTTGGTTTGATGCATGTACCGAGCATTGTGATTATACAGAAAGGGGCAAAAAGCTAACATGTAGAGTGATTGATTAACAAAAAGAAAATGAAAGAAAAAAGATGACTCTCCCTCGGGGAATCGAACCCCGGTCTCCCGCGCTTATCAGGGTTAGTGACAAGCGGAAATCATGACCACTAGACCAAGGAAGAATGAAGAATTGACCGAGTTGGAGCTCAGTCACTTGGTTTTCAACAGTCACTCGTCCCCGGGAAGGCTCGAACTTCCAACCTCCTGATTAACAGTCAGACGCGCTAGCCGATTGCGCCACGGAGACGGCTTATTGGTAATGCTGCCAATTAAATGCCACTATGTTCTTTGGCTTCACCCGAGCCTCTCGATTAGGCAATGAATACTGTGCACACATGCCACCATTGATGGGATAATTACTGCCTATCGGCCACGGAGGCAAATGGGATTGCGCGCGACTTGTTGGCAGGCAGGTCTGCTATGTATGCAACCCCGATGAACACTAATACCAGCGGGAGGTGCCACCTCCAAGCAGTGGGCGAGCACCCTTCTGGGTTGGCCGTGCTGTGCTGGTGACCATTCCCATTCACCGCGAGACATGGTCGACTGGGAGGGTATGGGAAATTGCATGAGTCCCGACTTTAGTCTATTTTAGTAACCTGATGCAGGTGGCTTGTTATTTTGCGTTTTATCTTCCTTTATATGGTCCGAGCAGGGATGTGGGCAAATATATACTTGTGCAGACGTTCCAACTGGGGGACACCAAGATATATTCTCCACCATGCTAGTCAGGTAGCTGGAGGTAGCGTCGGAAAACACCTGTGATAACTACCTGAAAATATCGCTTGATAAATATCGAATTGACTTTCCATGTGATCCACCGAGTGGTATCAGTCCTACAAAAATCGAGCAATACCGTTGTCATTGTTTTTATAGACTCGCTCATTACTCCGTGTGGTGTACCCCAAAACTCGGAAGATCGGGTTGGTTCCCCGCGTGGGGCCAAGTTTGGCCGAGGCGTGGGCGGAACGAACATTCCGCAACCCTCCAGCTTCACCTTTTGACTCTGCTCTCGCTAAAGTTTCGCCTGACAGCAATTCGCCATGGTCGGGGCCAGTTCTTTCGAGAACCCCATTTCGTGCCGGACCCGACCGGGAATCAGGATTCGCGAGTACTTCGCATGTCGCTGGCACGGGGCGGGAATGACATTCCGTTCCTCCGCAGTGGATCCCTTCAACGCGGAGAAGCCAGCAATCATGCCAATGGCTGAATTTACGCCTTGCTCTGACTGGTTCTCCGCTCCAGAATGACATGCGAGATGATCGTCAGTCTTGCCGGCGATAGCCAGACGTGCATAGCGGGAAGACGCCGCCCGCAGACTGTGCACTCATAAGAGAGCTGCTTCCTGCCCCTCATTCGTAACGACGATATCGATTGTATTTTTTTTTCCCCTCGTATACTCTGGCCCGTCATGACCCTTCAAACCCTCGCCATCGCCGTTGTCACGGTGGTATACCTCGTCATCCGATACTTCAACCGTACCGATGTGCCCAAGATCAAGGGTCTACCCGAGATCCCTGGCGTTCCCATCTTCGGCAACTTGCTGCAATTAGGCGACCAGCACGCTCAAGTCACCGCTAAATGGGCCAAGAAGTACGGCCCCGTCTTCCAGGTGCGAATGGGTAACAGGGTAAGCTTATTACATTTCCAAAAAAAGATTTGGTTGGAAACCCTAGACCACTGGCTAATCCGCTGCTAGCGCATCGTGTTTGCCAATAGTTTCGACTCGGTGCGACAGCTATGGATCAAGGACCAGTCTGCCCTCATCTCCCGCCCGACTTTCCACACTTTCCACAGCGTTGTCTCAAGCTCGCAAGGATTCACGATCGGCACTTCTCCTTGGGACGAGTCCTGCAAGCGTCGCCGTAAGGCGGCGGCGACTGCTCTGAACCGCCCGGCCACTCAGTCATATATGCCCATTATCGATCTCGAGAGCAACTCCAGTATCAAGGAGCTGTATCGTGACAGCAAGAATGGCACCGTGGACATCAACCCCACCGCATACTTCCAGCGGTTTGCTCTCAACACCAGTCTGACACTCAACTATGGTCTCCGTATCGAGGGTAATGTGGATGACCAGCTTCTCAAGGAAATCGTCGATGTCGAGCGTGGCGTCTCCAACTTTCGCAGTACCTCGAACCAATGGCAGGACTACATCCCGTTGCTGCGCATCTTCCCCAAGACGAACACCGAGGCCGAGTCATTCCGAGCCCGACGCGACAAGTATCTGACCTATCTTTTGGATATGTTAAAGGACCGTATCGCCAAGGGAACCGACAAGCCTTGCATTACGGGTAACATTCTCAAGGATCCCGAAGCTAAGCTGAACGATGGTATGTCAAGCAGTTGTGCTTTGTCCTGTTTTCTCTCGGCGGATTTCGAATTTTTTCAATACTAACGCTTCCAACTTCTAGCCGAGGTGAAGTCCATTTGCTTGACCATGGTTTCCGCGGGTCTCGACACCGTTCCGGGCAATCTGATCATGGGTATTGCCTACTTGGCCTCGGAGGATGGTCAGCGAATCCAAAAGAAGGCCTATGATGAAATCATGCAAGTGTATCCCGATGGCGATGCCTGGGAGAAATGCTTGGTCGAGGAGAAGGTCCCCTATGTCACAGCTTTGGTCAAGGAAACTCTGCGATTCTGGACTGTCATTCCTATCTGCTTGCCCCGTGAGAGCACCAAGGATATTGTGTGGAATGGTGCTACCATCCCCGCCGGTACGACCTTCTTCATGGTATGTTAGATCTTGTTGGCTTGCACGACCTTCACTTGCTAATCCTTTTTCTTCAGAACGCCTGGGCTGCAGACTATGATGCAGAGCATTTTGACGAGCCTGAAAAGTTTATTCCCGAGCGTTACTTGGAGCTTGGTGAGGCATCTGGCACTCCCCACTATGGTTACGGTGCTGGCTCTCGTATGTGCGCTGGCTCGCACCTGGCCAACCGAGAACTTTACACGGCATTCCTGCGCCTAATCACTGCCTTCACAATGCACCCCGCCAAGTTGGCTGGAGATCGCCCTATCCTGGATGCGATTGAATGCAACTCCATTCCCACGGCCCTAACGACGGAGCCCAAGCCTTTCAAGGTTGGCTTTACGCCTCGGGACCCCAAGAAGCTGGAGCGGTGGATCGCCGAGAGTGATGAGCGGACGAAGGACCTGTGATTTTGGATCTGCCTTTGACGACTATTTGCATTCTTTTCTTACATGACCTGTACCGTGGAAAAATCTTGAGTCTTACTCTTTTGTATATAGCTTTTGGAGAATGGAAGGGGGCTTTATTTCGAATAGTTGTAAGGCGTCACACTGCAATTGTGCTGCTTTATGAAATCAATAAAGGATAGACTTGTTTTCCCTCCCTTTCCTTGAATTCAATTATTCCCCTCCTATATCGTATGAATTCAGATTCATCGCACGTAATAATTGCGGCTTCCATTCGGTGTCGAGCGTGGAGAAATGACGCACTTGGCTGCCAAGTCTGGGGGTCGCGGAATTCCCCGCACTTTTGCTCTTCCACTTACTCTTCTCCTGCTTCTCCTGCCCCCCTATCCCTGCAACCCTCGACACTTCTGTGTTTGCCGAGATGGATCTTTTGCAGACATCGGCAGTCGACAACTGGGAGCAAACACCCTTGTTAGACGAGCAACAAGAAGAGCCCGCCGACGAGCGTCCGCGGAAGAAACGTCGCAAGTACATTGCTCGTGCTTGGTATTTTCCCCTTTGATTCAGATCGCAATCGTACTCGACATCGACTCATTGAACCTTTGGGAGCAGCAATGAATGCAAGCGCCGCAAAATTAAATGCAATGGCCAGGCGCCCTGCCATCGATGTGGCCGGCAGCACATCGAATGTGTCTACGTGGAGAACCCTCAACGCGAAAGTTTCGGGGAAAATGAGTATGAACATCCTCATGACGACCACGTTCACGGTCGGAGATTGATGGAATGCTTTTTTACAGGAATTTTGAGCGACTGTTCGATCAGATGAAATCAATGCAAGATCAAATTAGCTCGTTATCGGCAACGGTGCGGTCTATGGCACACGGCGAGAGCCCGACCGTTGGCGGGACCCGTGCAAGTGTGGTCGGGCCAGCGACGGGCTCGTATGGACTCTTACCAACTCAGCGTCCATTAAGACGCGTGTCGACCGTGGGAGAGGCTCCCTTCCAGGGCCCGACCACTTCGGGATTTAGCTTCGACCTCGCCAAGTCGAGCTTGCTCCAACGAGGTATTGTGGAGCGGAATGATCCCGGGGAGGAAGCCGAAGGTGATTTGACACAGGAGCTCTCGCCTTTGGCCTCACCGTCTGCCCCGAACCGGGACTCGGAGCTGCGTCACGCAGTGGATCCACTCTGGGCGCTGCCCAAGAATGAAGCTCTACGACTGTGTCAAGTCTACGAAGAGGAGATGGGGATCATGTATCCAGTGTTGGAACTCTCAGAGCTTCTGGAACAGGTGCATCTTCTCTATGGCTTGATGGATCGTACAGCCGAGCCTGGCGGACAAACAAACGGTACAAACGAGCTGGACCGAGAAGATGTCTATATCCTTCGACTGGTCTTTGCGTGCGCGTTGACGGCCGAGGCCAGTGGCCGCAGTGAACAAGCTATTGCACTGTTTGATAGCGTGCGAGATGTCCAGGACAATTGTGTATGGGGTCCACCAGAGATCAAATCAATCATCTTTTTGACCCTTGTGGTAAATTTACTTGCTCTGCACTGGGAAATTCGCGGAAACGATATACTGACTGCACGATAGTCCATATTTTACTTCCAAATGGACGAAGAAACTCTTGCATGGCGAACGATTGGGATTGTGGAGCGCATGTGTCTAGAGAAAGGCCTCCACAGGCGAGAAACGCTCGGTCAACCTGGTATTGTAGCTGCAGGCAGAGATCGAGTCTTGCGGCTCTTCTGGTCGATCTACATTCTCGACATGCGCTGGAGTTTTGGCACCGGCATGCCGTTCGCACTGGAAGACACGGACATTGATCCGTGGCTTCCAGAACCCGAAGAAAAGACACCCTATCTTCGCGTGATGATTAGATACAGTCGAATCGCTGCCAAGGTTTGGAAGTTCATCTCCGCCTTCAATAACACGAACGAGATCAAAAAGGAAGAAATGAATTATTTGGATTGGCAGGTACTGCGATGGATGCACGCGATCCCCGACGCCTTGCGACTGGACCACCCGAGCACCCCCGAGCTTCAGGCTGCAGACGAGGGCCCTCGAAGTTTACGCAGACTACGAGCATTGCTCTATCTGCGGGCCAATCAACTGCGTATGCTGATCTATCGTCCCGTCCTGCACACAGCGGGCCACATCGTTCGATACCCCAGCGAATCAGAGACGGTGGTTGAGATCGCCAAAGATACGATCCGATTTATCACTCGACTAAATGAGACCTCGGATATCTACCAGCTCCAGCAAGTGGCGTTCAATTGGTTCTTGGTGTCTGCTTTGGCGGTCTTGTTCCTGGCGGTTGCACAAGCACCGACTCAATTCAGTGCGTCATGCAAAGAAGAATTCTACTGGGCTTTGGAGCTCGTGAAGGGCTTTTCGACGCGTTCATACATTTCTCGTCGCCTGTGGAAGTCAATTCGGAGCTTGCGTAGGCTCGGTCCTCAATTGGGGCTGGTGGGTGCTCAGAAGCTTCGACAAGGAAATCCAGTCGCCGTCGAACCTCGTCCTCCCGGACCTTCTCAAGTACAAGAGTCACCCGTTCCAGCTGCAGGCTCTAGTACCCAGAGCCAGACTCCTTTGGATGGAGCGCAGATGACACATGAGCTGATGGAGTGGTTCGAAGCGGTGGGCAACCTCGAGGATCAGATCATGGGTGTTGGCCCCGGTCCTATGCCAAATGATGCCCCGTGGCAGCAGATGCCGAACGGAGCATTCATGTTTGATTACGGAGAAGAATTGTCTAGCGTGATGAAAGATTGTTTCTAATTAGACGACTGTCATGTCGTGATCAGTCTTATATAAAATGGAATGATAGATTTTGACTATCCTGTCGGACTCGTGATCTCTTTTCTCTGTCTGCCCGTCGGTTAGATAATCCCTGGTCGTAGTTTGTCCAGATCGTCTGATGTCCAGTCAGTTACCAGCATATGGCCAGGCTCATGAGCAAAGACCAGCCCCTTGATCCGATCGCCAGCAGCCTCCACCGCCATTTGTGGTGTCACACCACAGGCCTAATAGCAAGAGGTCAATGAATCGCTCCGAATACGCGAAGAAGAAATACTCGAGCTCACCCAGAATACCGGTACCTCTCCTTCTTCGAAGACTTGCGGTTCCCCAAAGTCTGGCTTGTTGATCTCCATGATCCCCAATTGCTTTGCCCCCTCCCATCCCCAAGCGACCGGTTCGCCGTGGGTAGACAGATACGGGCGCGTCACCTCTCTGACTCGATCAACTTGATCGGATCGATAGGGACGCATGGACACGATGCAGTGACCGCCCGTGAAGATCCCAGCCGGAAGGAGTGGTATATTGGAGCGATACATCGCGACTATGGTACCAGTTCGTTGATGTCGTGGTTGTAAGCCCGCTGCGGTCAAAGCATCTTCAAAGGAGAACGAACATCCAATCAGGAAGCCGACATGACTAGAAGTCCATACATCAAGGAGATTCCGTCGACTCTCGAGATACTTGCCGTTCTGGTAGATGCGATATTGCGGGAAATCCGTGCGTATGTCGAAGTCTGGTGATTGAATACACCCGGAAGGTTGAACGAAGCGAGCATCTCCGGGGGTAGGCGTCTTTCCCAGCAGTGGACACGAGACTGGATTACGGAGACAGAGATCATGAAAGTCTGCTGCGTGTTGTGCTGGTAGAATTAACAAATTGGCTTGTAGATAGCCCGGAGCCACTCCGGCCGTGTTGGTGAGTTGATTCTTGCGACATGCCAGGCGGGCTTCATGCGATGGGAGATGGATGCTGCCCATGTTGTAGATAGGGGGTTTTCTCGGGCGCTGGTCTTTAGAACGGACGGTAGCAATATGAAAGACAATCAAGGCGTCTGAGTTGAATTGGGGTGCTCCATTCCTGAAGTATGGTATGCAAAGTGGATTCAATCGCCAATTGCTCTCGTTTATGCATTGGGAGTAGTTCCATAGTGAACTACGAAGCAACCTTAAGAGATATGTCGGTTCATAGAATCTTGGTCTTTTGGAGTAGGAGTTGGAGTAAGTCTGTACACCGGGTTGGAGTATCTCTACCAGTCGTGGTCCTTCTTATCTTCGGAATCCACTTGCCGACGAGTCTGGGGAAATTCGAGTCTCCACAAACTCTCTTGTAAAGGCGAATCAGCGATGATTCGACCGAAGACCAAGCAGGTTGAAGAAAGAAGGGACCAGGGGAATCTCCAATTCGTCCGTTTTGCAAATGACCGGCATTTGCATGACAACCCCGTCTCACCCAGAAAAGGGTATATTCGAGAACCCGGGCGACGGTTGCCCTTGGGAGTTGCCGGTGGCAAAGCCTGCCGATCAGTTAGTGTTTGTTTCCTGCTTTGTGTTTCAAGTGGACGAGAGTTGTCATTATCAACTCCACTATTATCTGCGTTTTTGCGTATCGCGATCGTCGGGCCGACGGTTCCCATCGGCCCAGCCAATCCGATGACTGTGCCCGACGAGAATATGCTCGTGCGGAGGATGGAGATTAGGACAGTACGGGGAGAGGTTCACGAGGATAGGTTGATGGGAAAGGATCCGCTTCCCCGCCTATGTTACTTATCTCGCATGGCATGGGCCCATGTGCATGATAGCAGACCCGTCTTTTCTTGGAATCTCTCCGACATATGGACTTTTGACGCCTTTTAATCTCCTAGCATCGCCCCTGTACCTGTTCCTGCCCCTTTCCTGGTTCTCTCATATTCTCGCCTGGCTAGAGCATTGAACACGATGGCGGTGGACCCAAATCACGATGAGGCCATTGCCATGGAACGGACCCTCTCCGTTCAGAAAGAAGGAGACCCTGAGGTGGCCCAGCAAATATCGAACGGAGAGGCCCTTGATGTGGAGCTCGATCCGGCCATGGAGCAAAGGCTCCTGATGAAGCTCGATCTGGCCTTTGTGCCTATTATCATGCTCACCTACTTGTCCTGCTTTCTGGATCGCTCCAATATCGGTACCAAACCAGAGGGAACTGATCCAATATAAGTGGATGCTGACTGAACAACAGGAAACGTCAAGGTTGCAAATATGCCGGAAGACATTCATGCGTCAGACAGCCAGTTCTCCACGGCTGTCTCCATTTTCTACGTCACATACGTTCTATTCGAATCTCCATGGGCCGTCCTGATGAAGAAGCTCACCCCTCGGAACATCCTTACAGGCTTGTGCATTGTCTGGTCCTTGACGACGGTCTTCACGGGCTTCATCGAGTCCGTGGGCTCTCTGTATGCCACTCGGTTGATTCTCGGTGCATGCGAGGCAGGTCTCTTCCCTTGTCTCAATTTGTACCTGACCATGGTCTACCGTCGCGAGGAGCAAGCGAAGCGAGTCTCGTATTTACTGAGCTGTGCAGCCATTTCTGGTGCAGTCGGTGGGTTGCTAGCGTATGCTATCCTTCATATGGATGGCGTTGCCGGGAAGGCAGGCTGGAGGTATTGATTTCTCGTGCGCGGCAGGGGTTTGCTTTGTCTGGTCATCCAGCTAATCTGTTGATAGGTGGGTATATATCATCGAAGGTATCTTCAGCGCCCTCTGTGCGATCCTCATCTGGTTTGGCCTGCCCAACAATCCCGCCGAAGCTTATTTCTTGACCGAGGAAGAGAAATGGATGATGCGTGTGCGCAATGAGCAACGTCGCAAGTACATGGGAAGCGAGAAGTTTAGTTGGAAGGAGATGCAGATTGCATTGAGCGATCCAAAGCTATTCTTTTCCGGACTCATTCAGTTCTGTCAGGACATTCTGCTGTATGGATTCAGCACTTTCTTACCAACTATTCTCAAGGGCATGGGCTATAACTCTCTTATGAGCAATGTATTGACCGTCCCGGTCTATATTTGGGCGGCTTTGGTCTTTATTGCCGTGGCCTTTTGCTCCGACCGGTACTCTAAGTTTGCATCGGTTCGTCGGAATCCTCGATGAAACCCCCCATTATTCACACTAACAAGGATTGCAGTACATTTTTGCAACCAATATCTTCGGCATCGTCGGGTACATCTTGTTGTTAACCGTATCTAACAAGGCCGTGCAATACTTTGCGACTTTCCTCATCGGAATCGCTACCTATACCGGCGTTGGGCTGAATGTTGCATGGATCAACGTTAATATCGCCCCCCAATACCGGCGAGCACTTGAGATTGGATTACAGCAAACCATGGGCAATTGTGCCGGGATCGTGGCCGGGCAGATTTATCGCAAATCACCCTATGTGCTGGGAAATTCATTCTCCCTAGGGGCCCTTGTGGTAGCCCAGGTGGCCGTGGCAGGGTTTGGGTTCTACCTGCGCCGTGAGAATCAAGTCAAGCAGCAGATTGAGAATGGCGAGCAAGAGGATACTCGACGGATGCAGACTGGCGATGGTGCGGTAGACTTTAAGTATCTCTATTGAGTGATCCCTGTGTTGATAGATTATGATAATTGCGTGCATAAACTTCTTCATTTTTGTTGTTTTATTTCCCTGACTATCTCTATAACTCACTAGTTACTTAGTTAACTAACTAACTAACTAACTAACTAACATCTTGTTGATGTGTAAGCGGAATCAATGCGTTGCCAAGAATTCTAGTCGTCAGTGGTATTTGTTTGCACTGATGATGTATGGTGGCACACTCTCCAATTATTAGATCTCCCAGCAGCCAAATTCGAAGCGGAATGTTGGCTCCCTAATCTATCCATTTCCTAGAGGTACCGCAGACTGCAAGGAGGGGGAGGTCGTCTTTCTTCTGCCATAGGTAATGATTGAAGAAATTCTTTCGTTTCATGACTCTCAGATCTGATCTTATTCTTTGCAAATCTTGGAAACGGAAACTGAAACTAGTTTGACGGTAATCTGGAGTCGTGACCCGGGGTGAACCGCGGAACGAACTTGGACTCCTGCTCGTGGAGTGAATGACGCACACGACCCGCGCATCTAGGAGTATGGAGTAATCCAGGAAGAACGTGATGAACTGATTCTAGGATTATAAATGTCCATTCTTTCCCATTCGATCAATATCTTCGTCGTACAACGTTGCATTTATTTTTCCATTGCCCTCTTCGAGACAGCATCGGACATCTCTCTTATTGCCTCACACCACTCAAACATTTTGATTAAACGCTTCTTCGCCATCAACTGATTTTTATAACAATGGGCCTTTGTATGTCATTTCCACATCACCGTCGCATGAGACCAATGCCCGTGGCAATGGTCGGCGGATGGGGACCCCCTCCTCGCCAACGTTTCCACGGTGGTGGCATGGGATACGGAGGAAGATATGGAGGAGGCTATGGTGGAGGCTATGGTGGCGGATGGGGTGGTCCACCAGGTGGAGGATACGGTCGACGCGGAGGATTCGGAGGAGGACCGAGAAGGCGCTGCTAGGGATGACGATCTGTGCGAACGACTGTGGAATATTGGAAGGCGTCAAGGTGGTCAATATTCCTGTTGATGATTGTATTGAGGTGCGAGGCACCAACGTGGTCACTGATCATTCCCACCTTCGCCATCACACTTTTCAGCATCAAGATTCATGATCCTGTCAATCTGAAAATCGGTAAAGCGCACGTCTCGTCCATTGCCGACAACAAAGATCCCTTTCCCCGGACCTGGAAGTCGAAATCAGTCGTCATTGAAGTATCTATCTCTTCCATACATTGCCCATGGCCTCCAGAACTGCAAATAGAGAGTCCTAGACTTCATTCCGTGTAACTAATCTGGAATTTAACTGTATCTTGCTGTTTGATCTGTGGAGTTTGATGGGTTGTGTAGGATTTGGCCGAGTTCAGCCCTTGAGGACGGCTTGCCCTGCCTGGAAGTCGTACGCAATCGACAAGAAGCGGTGCTCGTCCTTGTAGAATGCCAGTCCCTTTGGAGACGGCGTCTTGACCGGGCTGACTCTTCTCAGGACGATGTAGAGCCACATTTCCCGTCCCGACATTGTCACTGCCCAAGAAAGTTCACATCTTGTTCGGCGGAGCTGAGTCCAACCGATCGTGCGCGCATTATGACTTGCATATCCTCGATATTATAGTCTTCCAGTATAGGGTTTCTTAAGTAGATCCATGCAGCTGAGAGAATAGATGAAACAGTGAATGGATTGGCTTCTGGTTGCTCCGGTAGAGCTGGCAAGTCGTGGCGAGCAAGCATCAACGCCAGGGGAAAACTGACAGCAGCCAGAAAGCCCGCGCCCCATAATTGCTCGTCCATCATCTATGCGCACTCCAAGCATCACCAACCACCATTGCCCACTTTTGTCTCGTAAGAACTCACCGAGCCCAGTGTTTTAAACGTATTAGCCCGTAACTCCGCACTAAACAGCGGATTTCCGGCATACGACTCGTATCGTCCCCAGATACTCTTGGATCGGTCGATACTCAGCATGTGGTTTCTAAAAGTGCTTCCCTCTGCACATGGAAGATAATACTGGCTGTATTTATTATAGACGTGCGGGCCTTCTGTGAAGCTGCCTGGCCTTGCATTCCAGATAATTTCAATCTCAAAGTTGAAGATTTGGAACTTTGGCCAAGCTTTGCAAGGTTGCACATAACCCTTATTGTCGTCGTCAAACAGCAAGGAAGGACCAATTTCCGGCGAGAAAGGGAATGAAAATGGGTCAGACCAGTGGCCGGACCGAATATCAGTTGTATAAATAATGAGCTGCTCGCTGTGCTCGTCGCCAAACTTGTTGGAAGAGTTGTGTACAATGTTGTGAAAATGTTATAGATCACGCCGTTGTGATGCCGGATGGTCGGTGCATATGAGACCATAGTGGAAACCTCTTGCCAGGGAGTAACTCAAGTGGTTGCTCTGCACCGCGAGAGTTGGGATCGTCGGTCAATTGCATTATCTGGCAAAAACGTGGGTGGCCAGTTTAGTCGTTGACCATTCACTCATGCTCAGTGATTGAAATACCAAAATGAGTCCAGGAAATCAGATCGGTGGAGGCATGGATAGGGAAAACGGGGAATAGATGGACACTGGAATTGACTAAGAAATAAGTGTCGATTGATGGGTCAGGCACCAAGCCCGGGATGATTGGAGTATTATTGCGATCGAAAGCTATGCTTTTTGAATGACTAGACTAAGCTATTTTTCCGATAGACTCAGGTAGTCACGAGAGAAATTCATAGCTTTGTTGGAAGCAAAAGCGGCGCTATTTGAACTGCTGTGGCGCTGGGCGATTTGCCAGTTCGGTCACGGCTCTGTATCCACATAAAATTTGATCCAACGAGACGAAAGCTCAACCCCCGCTTCATGCACCTATACAGGCTAAAAGAAGTTATACTCCAGGCAAAGGATCTGTCGGAACTAAGTGACGTGGCCATAGTAATCCTTTTGACTCGCAAAAGAAGACCATCATGTCCTGGAATTGAGTCGACTCGACTGTATATAACCTTGCGGAATGCGGGGATGTCTACAGCCCACAAATCCCACAGCGATCTTCGCACATTCGACACCGAATCCTCATATCTCTTTCATACGGAATGGCCCAAAATTTTACGCCTGGGAAACCGCCCAAGGGCCATTTCTTTTTGGCCGGGCGTACTTTTCCGAGAGTGCAATGGTGGAAGAGGCCCAACATGCGTCTCTTGTACTTCTATATTGCAGTGTTGATTGCAACCAATACAGCTAATGGTTTCGATAATTCTATGATGTATGCCCGCAGTGACAGGATTGTTGACTACAGTTACTAATTAGTGTAGGAATGGCTTGCAGACACTCTCCTACTGGTAGGATTATTTCAATCATCCCCAAGGGCCTACCCTTGGTCTATTCAATTGCGTCATGAGTGTAGGAGCGTTGACCGGCCTAGTTATTCTTCCCTTCATGCTGGATCGTCTGGGGCGAAAGCCATGCTTGGTCTTCGGTTCAATGTTTATGCTGCTTGGCGTTGCCTTACAGTCTGGATCGATCAACTTTTCCATGTTCGTAGGCGCTCGATTAATCCTGGGATTCGGCGACATAATTGTCATATGTACGGCTCCAATGCTCATCACAGAGATTGCACCTGCGCAAGATCGAGCAATCTTGGTCACAATCGCCGGTGCAACTTACCATTCTGGTGCATACATTGCAGCTTGGACCACATACGGTACTCTGAAGATTCAAGTGAGTACTGAAAGTAATTAGCCACATCCGCAGCGAGCTCGCTGACATGATTAACAGAGTGAATGGTCTTGGAGAGCCCCAAGCTTGATCCAAGGACTCTTTACTATTTTGATGCTTGCAGTCGTCTGGCGGATCCCCGAAAGTCCAAGATACTATATCTCGAAAGATCAACCGGAGAAAGGCCTTCAAATTCTGGCATGCTAGCATGCCGAAGGCAACGAGGCGGATGAAGTTGTACAGTTGGAATTCACAGAGATCACCACGGCGATTGCTATGGAAAAGAACTCAGAGGACTCCAGCTCGTACGTGGACTTTTTGCGCACACCGGGAAATCGTAAACGACTCCTAATCATTGCTTCATTTGGACTATTCGCTCAGTGGTCTGGCAATGGTTTGGTTTCATATTACTTGAATCTCATCATGGACAGCATTGGGATTAGGGATGCCAACAAGCAACTGCTCATCAACGGCGCATTGACCTCATTCAATCTCGTCACTAATGTGTTTTTCAGCTTTTTCGTCGACAATTGGGGCAGGCGACCAATCATGCTGGTAAGTTCTGCGGGAATGCTTGTCTCTTATGTGATGTGGACAGCATTTTCAGCGAAATACGACGCACATGCCAGCTCAAGTCTCGGGTCTGGCGTCCTGGGAATGATCTTCATATACTATCTGTTCTACAACCTTAAGTCAGTGTCGTGTGCCATTAGTCGTTCTTGTCTTTCGACAGCTAATATTCTTCAGGTCAGGTTTGATTGCCAGTTATACCACCGAGATCCTTCCCTATTCTATGCGGGCCAAGGGATACACGATCATGGAATTTGCCATGTACATTGCGCTGTTCTTTAACCAATACGTGAACCCTATCGCACTTGAGAATCTCCACTGGCGATATTATATCTTCCACAGCTGCTTCTTGGCACTCGAAGTCGCCGTTATCTGGTGCTTCTATGTGGAAACCCGCTATGTGCCATTGGAGGAAATCACCAAGCTGTTCGATGGCGATGATGTGGCAGCGGCGACCAATGTGGAGATGGAAAAGACATGGGAGTCGGGCAAGGGCTTCACAACCGCGGTACATATCGAAGGTGCAGACTGATATAGTCGCTACTCCTAGTTAAGGTCCGGGCCAAAGACACGCTTTTATCTGGCGTCTCGTGGACCAATGCTGCCTCGTTGATGTACCAATCGGTCTCAATGACATATATGGTCTTGTCTATTCAATTCTTGCGGCCTCAATCTGCTCTGCCCTTTTTCCTGGAAGGAATAATCCATTTATGAATTAGCAAAATCTCCAGTCATCAAGGTACTCAGAGTGTCACGACGGACAATAGACATGTTTTGTATCTCTGAGAAGTGGCCCTTTCTGGAGAGCTTCTTGTTCATCCTCACGGATACTCGGAAATTCCCGCTCCGGTCCTTGCTTGCCTGAGGCAGTAAGCCAGCCAGCCGTTATGGGATTTACGCAGTTACGGGGTGCCGTAGGGTAGCATCTGGACCGCCACTGGGGAGTCGCGCAAGCACGTGCCTGGCCCGTGATAGCCCGTCCAGGGAGTCAACCATAGCCCTCCCCGTCGCCTGGGCTTTTATCATGGCTAGCTAAACATGAGCATCCTGGGTTGCTTCGATGTGAGCTATCGTGTCACTTTACACATTTTCAATATCTGTATATCTATGTGAATTGTCATACCTTGGCTCTGTCAACCCCTCTAAATGTCCCCTACTCATGGGTCTTGATCGGCGACCTCTATGCCTGTTTTCTATCCTTTCAGATCAAAGCAATGGAGAATGAAGCGAAGCTAAAGACAACACAATGCACGCCATTAATTCGCAAATCATATCGCCAGTCAAGGCGCCGTCCCGCCCACTTACGGACAAAAACCGGTTGCTTAACATGTAAGTCTGTGAAGCCTTGGCTGGGAAAGTCTCTATATGAGCTACCCATAGAACTAAGATTTTAGATTTATGGTTACTGAAATTATTCAGGCCGAAAGAGAAAGAAAAAGTGTGATGAAACCCGGATACAGTGTAATAATTGTGTCAACCGGAATTTAGATTGCGTCTGGCAATGCAATGATTCGATACACCATCAACCAAACAAGCAATCTCCCTCTACTAGCGACTGTGCCCGCAGCGACCATGACACAGAGGCAACACTACTCCTGGAGAGGTCATACCCCGCGCAATATGGTGCAAATAGCGAGTGCAACGAAATGCCACAGCAAGCGGGGAACGACGCGAGATCTAGAGCTCTGTTGTCAAAATCGGCAATCCTGCCGAACGGCAGCGAATTGCCACGACGTACTCAACCGTTGCTTCCCAATAACAGCCTCTATGGCCAATCAATACACAAAGACCTTCCTTACTCACCGGCCACCACTAGGCGAAGCCGACCCCTTGTCCAATTCTTGATCTCCACTTTTGTTCCTCAACTGATCCGACCCACAATGAACGAATACACTGGCGAAGTGTTGACTGGTCGGACGCTGGCCTTGGCCTTTGAACATCCTTTCTGTATGCATGCATTGCTTGCCTGTTGTGGCGCGGAGATCCCCACCGAAAATCCCGAATATCGTGCACTTGCTCGATTCCATTATACTCACGCCGTCACTGGACTTCGAAAGATTCTGGATAATGGAGTCCACGAATGCCAATGGGTCGTCACACTGCTGTGCATCATGATGTTATGCATATACGAGGTGAGCGTGGAATCTTCAACGAGCTCGCAAACTAGGGTATACCTCTGACATTCTCGACTTCTAGCGTTCTAAGCAGAAGACATCACCAGGAGTTAGTATACACCTTGCGGGGGCTGCACAGTTGATACGTTTGCATGCGCACATCCACAGTGATGGTGTTGCATCCCCCAGTGTGGATCAGGCTATGTATCGACTCGTCCGCGAATCATTCATCTTCCATGTTACGACTAGTCTTCCCTTTCGAGACGGAATTATTACTGCTCGATCCCCTCCCTCGACAGACGACTCGTGCTATTTTGAAATCGAATCGGCACTTTCTTTAGCGGAAGAAGAGATTCGAGAGAATTTCTGCGCTGAGCAGATTTTTCACCCATATTCTCCAGTTCTTGGGTTTCCACCGCGACTTTTTCGATGTATATACACCGTGTGGCGATTGTATCAGACTTCAAAATTCGACCAACCGAGCATGCATTTATGTCGGCAATTGGACAAGGATCTCTGTCGCTGGGATAGCCGCCTGGCAGCGTCGGTGACGGAGTACTCGATTGCGGAACTAACCACACAGAAGGGAAATGAGACTCCTGTTCCATCCACTGCAAATAGGAACGGCCAAGCCCTGAATCAGTCGACCGCGATTGGGCCTAAGTTGTATATTCTCGGCAGTCGAGTCTTACTGCAACGCATGGTAGGTGCAGGTCTCGCACCTACGGATATTGGTGCTGAAGGATTGATACACCAGGCGATGCGGGTGATACAACAGCTTCAGCCGACGACTGATTACTATGCTGATTACTATTGTTGGCCACTTTTCGCTATTGGGATAAATTTATGCTCTTCGAGTGACCGGGATTTGCTCATAGCTCAGGCATCGGCATTTTGGAAAGCCACGAATAATCCGACGATGAGACGGGTTGTTGATATGCTACGTGTTTATTGGCAGTCCCATGATGAGCTGGTCGTCGGATGAACTGACCCCAGTCTGTTTGTGGACTGCCCAAATGCAGAAAAAGACAGAAAAAAGCCAGTAAATGACATCGCTGCATGAATGCTATGACTGTTTCAAACACAAGCCTTTGTGAATAGCCATTATGATTTGATTGTCGGGCGGGGCGGCTATCAATGGTTGTCCTCCTGCGACGAGCTTCCACTGGAGATTAGAACACAATCTATCATAGAGAGACTGTCCATACAGGAGCCGCAATGCACGCAGGTGACCGGCTGCCCTTGATTCAGGGACCGCCGATCGAGTTCATCAAGGACCAATGGTGGTTCTTGGAATGTCCACTGGTACAAAGATATGATCTTAGCTTGCAGCGCCAAGGCCAAGGCCAAGACCAGGGCGCTGTCGAGGTTACAGTGCAGCCAAAGCCAAAACAACCACCTCCTAACGGAGTCCTTTTGGGAGTCTTGGCAGGCGGGATGCCGTCGGGGATCTGTTATATCAATCTCTATACAAAACGTCCGAGCAGAAGATAAATACCCTTCGCATTCCCGTACAACTGAGTTATTCCGGCTTTATTTGTGGTGGCGCGCAGAACCCTCGTCTTCTTTCGACTCCGTCTGAGCTGTAGACCATTCAATTTTATCAGACGCCGCAGCTGAACAATCAGCAAAATGGGGTTCGTTCAAGTATCGCAGGCTTTGATAGCTCTATTGGCTCTACAGCCTGCTATTATCGCAGCTCTCCCGGCCCCTGAACCTTTCCCATCGCCCCCCGGCGTCCCGAGTGCCTCGACTGCCCGGAGCGAGCTGACTGCACTCACAGTGGCGCCCCAAGGGTCTCAAGATGGCTACTCTCGAGCCAAATTTCCTCACTGGATTACACAATCTGGGTAGATAAGACCATTCAGCGTCCATTAGAATCCGTGCTCATGGTTTACAACAGGAGCTGCGATACGCGAGATGTTGTGCTCAAGCGCGATGGAACAAACGTGGTGCAGAGCTCGAGTGGTTGTACCACCACTAGTGGCACATGGGTTTCACCATATGATGGTGCAACCTGGACCGCCTCGAGTGATGTCGACATTGACCACCTTGTTCCGCTATCTAATGCCTGGAAGGTAAGTATATTCTCGAATCAACGAGAAACGGGTTAGGATAACTGATGTGTTTGATAGTCCGGTGCTTCTGCATGGACCACTGCAGACAGACAAGCCTTTGCAAATGACTTGACCCATCCACAACTCCTGGCTGTCACTGACAATGTGAATGAGGCGAAGGGAGACAAAGGTCCCGAGGAATGGAAACCTCCCCTTAGTAGGTGTATCTTTCGACCATGGCTTCGTTGATAAGAGATCTGACCTAGAGATAGCGTCATATTACTGCACATATGCAGAGATGTGGGTGAAAGTAAAGACGGTCTACAATCTCACAATCACGTCCGATGAGAAGTCTGCTCTCTCCGATATGCTCGGTACTTGCTAGATCTGGAATCACTGGCTTACCGCTGCTCATTATCTGGATCTATAACTTGGCATTTCATATTTAATTTTGAAGATGGGACCAACATTGATAAGAGCCGAGCCTTGTGATAGTCGGCTATGTTTAATTGCTTGCAATCTTAAATCGTACAGGTACATCTTTTGTCCGTAGATGCGTCCGGATTTTGGGCTTTTCTTACTTCACAATCAGTATGTGGCATAGTCTTCCGCTAGGGAAAGAATATTAACTTGTTAGGGCTCCCACTACCCAACGTCAAGGTTGATCACAGACCAAGACCTATAGAGAAAGGAAAGCACAGCTGTCACAGTCGCGCGATGAGAATTTCAAAACGCAAATACTACGGGCCGGTCCATCTATGTAGATCTACTTCACCTTTCGTACGCATTTTGCATGCGTTCCTACAAATCCACAGGATTCAGCAATCCTTAACCCGAAGTCCCGATTCCACTAGCATGGCCACATAGCGAGTCCTTCGGACAGATAGAGTTGCTTATTTCCTTCGATCAATCAATCATACCTTCAGTTTTCACTATTGATTCCGTTACCCCTATTGGCTGAGATGCTTACTAGTCATTGCATGGGATTCTGGCTCTTCACAAAAATCAATTTTCACATTTCTACTATTTCTTGCAATCTGTTAGGTGCGGACAGTAGTATGCAAGATCTTATGCGCGTTGCACCATCAATCCGAAACTTCATCCTAAGTTTAAGGATGTCAACATTTGGGAGAGCACGTAAGAGATCTAAGAATCAGTGTCCCACCAGCTCCCGCAAATTTCGGAAAGGAATATATTCTACGGAATTTTTGTAAAAATGGGTAGGTACGCGTAATACCAAGTAGTAATTCTACGTCGGCTAAGCTATATAAAGTAACGTTTATAACTCGTAGATACCGGTATTTTGTAATATATTTACTAACAGTTTTATTGTGAGTAGGCGCGACTCCTTAATGGCTAAGTACTTAAAGCCTTTTGAGTTTTAGTAATTATTCTAGCTAGTCCGCGTATAATTCTTATAGGCGTAGAGCCTTTATGCTTAGCTATGGGTTTGACCTATAGACGTAGATGCTAAGTTTAGATCACAATAGGGGTTAATAAGCGCTACTGTTTCGAGGCGCTACTTTTATCTAAGATAAGGTAATATTTTAGTAGTAGATTTACTAGATTTATAAACTAGGTCCGACTCTTTCAGATAAAAAAAGCGTAATTTATAATCTTCTAGTAACTGATAAGATAACTAAGACATAAGTCACCACCTTTAGCTTCCAGTAAGTTCCATTTTTCTATCATTAGCTTATTCTCACAAGCCGAGTCCTGTCGAGAACAAACTTTGAGACCTTATAAACCAAAACTCAGTTATCCACTGTGGTGGCATGTCTTCAGTCCTCAGAGGTTTTCGGGATGGAAGTATTTGCCTCAATTTTTGTGCTTGGGCGGAGGCAAGGCCGTGTTTGTCATCAGATTGGTTGGTTGTTTTGATTGATTGCACACTGTGATCAATGGGTAGCGAGTAACCCACTGTTACTGAGCTGATAAATGCGAGAGGAGAGTGTGACGGCTCTAGCAGCTTTACGATGAACAGTTTTCGCCATTCGTGGCAAGCTAACTTCACTACACCGCCATCATCCTGAGCTCTGGAACAATGACGGAGCATGTAACGCCGATGAAGTAGTGCAATTTCTCTCGGGCTTGTCATCAATAGACCCCACTGTTGAATTTTGCGCCGATCGAAATAACCCGAATTAGGTGTATGCGCTAAGTAAGTTCAAGCCCTCTCAGGGGCGCAGAATCGGGTTCAACTAGGTAGAGATAGCGGTAACATTGCATTTGGCTCAAGTCTCGGGGAATATGTATATAATATGAGCTGGGCGGTATAGAATTAAAATAGAGAAATAGTTCAGGTAAAACGTCGATTTAATGTCAGAAAGGATGAGGGACGCATGTTTGAGGAGCTAATGTATGTATAGTAGGGCCCTTCAAAGGACCCCAATGGCCAATCTACTTGCCATCATACTCGCCTGTTTCTACCTAACCTGTCCAATCCAAGAGTGGGGTTATAGCGCAATAGTATACCTTGCTTGACCCACATCATCAGGAATCTCCGACTGCTGAAATTTTCTACATCGAATCGTGGGTTTTCCTCGTGTTAATATTCTATCCTCCCCAGAGTAGAAAAAATCTTATGACACATGGTGTTATGTTCTGCCTGATACTTTTATTATAATTACATACTGATTCCTGATCATATCGGGTCGCTCGGGATCGAGCTCAATTCTACCCTGGGCAAAAGCAGCAAAGGAGTGAGCAATAGAATAGATAGACAGGGCTTGGAAATGGTATATATTATCGTCCGGTATGTATGCACATGACAACAGGATCTTAGAGAACGGATGCGAGATGAGACACGCTATAAGAATGGCACCAGTAAGCGACATTGGAAGAGGAAATTGAAAAAAGAGGGAGTATTATATGCGTTTCCTGCGGAAATAGAAACCAAGGCCGCCAAAATGGTCAGTCGTAGGTTACCATAACTTGACGATTAACGAGGATATCAGCTTGGCCAGGCTTTTGTCCATTTTCCAGGATGTCCTTCTGGCTTTCGTCATCGCTCAAGCTGCCACGTGGGCCGTGGTCGATGTCGGTGGTGGTATGATTAAGGTGCTTTCCGCTCTCGAGCTCATAATTGCGAGAGAACATGGCACCTCCGCTGCGGGAGCCACTCAAGCCGGGCGATTTGTGGTAGTTGTTGTAGTCGGAAGTCTTCCCGTCGCGAAGGATGCTGAAAAGCGGACGGAGGGTCGCGATGTTACCGACCATCATTCCGATACCATTCTCGGCGAATCCCCAAATGACGACGTTTGCGACTTCGTAAAGGTAGTCGGTTTGGCTGGTGAGGGCGACTGTGTATTTTAGGCGGATACAGGCGGAGAGAGATGCGCTAGAGTAGAGAGAGAATGTTAATTACCGCGGCGGCAAATCGAGGATCCGGGGATAGCGAACAAAATTCCAAGGCCCATCAGTCCAATAACCGAAATCTTGGTGTTGCGATTGATCTGCACGTTCCAGAGCAAAGGTACCGGGCTGCGAGATTACTAGATCAGCATCATTCACGTGGGTTCAGGTAGATGTGGCAGGGACTTACAGGAAAGCAGTCACCCAATCAGTAAAGATGTTGACGGCGGTACATGCGTAGTAAACGTCGGCGAGGACATAGCTGGGCTGACAGTGGCCACCATGTTTGAGGAGTTCCGTATCCCAAGCAGCTCTAATATGGGATTAGCATGATCCTTGCGTAGGATTTCTGTACAAGGGTCATACTCGACGGGAATGCAGTTGATCAGAATGAAGATCAACGCGATGATGTTCATCAAAACAAACATGGAAATGACGACGTATTGCACATAAACATATGCTTTTCTTCCTTCCGCCACACGGATCAACATCCAGCTGATACTGAATTTGATTGGGATGATAGCAGAGCAATAGCCAACCTCGAAGATCAGGAAGTACTAAGTGACATAAAATAAGTATCACCGGGGGTTGCAATTATGATCAGGGTGATAATCACCTTCTGCGCCTCGGCTGAGTATTTTTCATTACCAGGCTTCGCAAGGGTAGTAGCGTGAGCACCAATTCCATTGAACGCCCCTCCAAGACATCCAACAACAAGGACGAAGAATGGCGCCTATCTTTTGCGTTAGGTGAATTCTATTGGGTTGTATGGGAGGGTTATGGAGGGAACAAACCAGTGCTGCTGTCATGATCCAGTCCTCGGGTCCCCATGATCTGCGGCTCAGTCTGCAGTAAGCGCGCAAACCGAATGTAATCAGTGCCAAAATCGTAAGCAGAATCGTTGTGGCTGCCAGTCCTGGGGCTGCATCAGCGTAGACAACCATGACTTCGTCCTGTTATTTAATTTCCACTTCTAAACAGCTCCGTGATGCTGTCAAGAGTCGCTAAGTAATGAAGTTACACATGAGCATTGAGTGTAAAGTGTCGTGGAGTAGAAGGATCAGGATCGTACGGGGTGAAGCACGAACTATTAATATCCGTCGGGCCCCTTCCGATGTCGAGGAAGTTCTCTCCTCCTGTTAAGCTAGCGTGATGATCTGGTGGCGGCGGACAAGCGACGAAAGACAATAGTCAGCGGGTGGATCTGGATCTTGTGGAATACAATACGAGGCTCGTGGACTATGACCATTGTGATTCGCAATTGAGTCCCAGTTATCCGACAGACCGGAAAAGCCCTTGACCCTCAGTGGATCTGCACGCCTTCGGAGATGAAAAACAAAAAACATGGATCGCCGCACACCAACGTGTAAGCGGCAAATTCCGCCCCAAGAGCCGGTCCATGTTATTGACCTGACACTTGACTCCGTAAGTATAAAGAGCTTAGCCTGAATACACCGTTGTACGAGTTATATAGTAGAATTATAAATAAAACAGGATAAACATTTCCGAATATCTTAGAGTGTTATGCCGCTGGTAACGTGCATGACCCACCAGTGTCAAACTAGGCACTAACGCAACACGCTATAATGTCCTAGCACGCTATATCGAGGACCAGGCATGGAAGCCGGAGTGACCGAAGGCGCCTTGCTCCTAAGCTACTGGAAACAAGGATACCCTAATCCTCAGACTAGCTCCACTCTGTCAAGGCCGACCCCATTTCACCCCTGCATGAAGCACTACTGCCTTTTGCCTCGAAACAAAAAAAGGAGGCACGGGCTGACAAGCCGGGGAAAAATGCGCAAAAGCTTTGGTACCGAGAAGAGAATCACGATGGGAATCGAGTTTCACTCGATCTCCCCGATTCCCGCAACCCGTGCACAATAGTCATAGAAGATCCCTTCATAGTGAATGGAAGAAAACACTCCGACTGCAGATCTAAAAAACCTTGCATGACTCAGTATCTGCCATTCCATTGGCAGGGTACGGAGGTAGTTTGAAGAGTATTACTCGTGGGCTGCAACCCAACCCAACCCAGTTGAACACAGTCCAATCGAAAGCCTGCCCTGACCAACCAGCGTCCAGGGGAGTCTTTTCTCGAAGCCTAGCCTTCTAGCGCATTCTCGGCATTTTCGCACGCAGAATCTAGAGTTCAGAAATCATCTCGCTTAAGCGGCTCGCCAACCATCCTGTTCTCCGCCGCCCATGACCGTGCGCATACCGGTTTTGTTATTTGGCGCTGCTAGTGCATCCTTGGATGAATATCATTCGTTTGATCTGCAAGCCATGGCCGATCATTATTTGCCTCTATGTACTCTGCCAATTCGCTTTTCTTTACCTTTGTATGCATACAGTAAAATTTGACCCCCGACGCACAGGCTTTCTTTCCCAGCGCCCCCTTCCGACCGCGCTAGGTTGAATTTAGCGGGGAAATCTCCACAGTTCTTTTCTGGCTGTATTTCGGTAGATTATCTAATACATTTGCCGCCATTCGGTAACTTAGGTTATGCTTGCCGAAACGCCTCGTGGCCATCTTTGTACTTTGTTTCGGGTGGGATGAAACGAAGGTTGAGCAGTCTCAATGCCCCCAGAAGAGCGGTTAATGATCGTTTCGAGTAGTCATGTAGGCGGATACCCGAAGATGCTGTATATCCGCCGGGATACATTATATATTCCTCCATCCAAATTGCTACCCAACTAGCTGGGGGCTTCGAACCATTGCGATTCCGATTGGTGCAGTTAGTCCGCAGCGCTTATTGATGGTATGGAGAACACCCTGATAGTAGTCATCGTGACCAGAATACGGTGTGCCCTGCATCATTTCGAGACGCTGTGTGTAGCAATAAGAGCATGCTTCATTCCGAGGACGAAAACTTATGATAAAATCACTATTTGTTACCATCTCCTAGTACATTCACGAAGGCTGCCTTACCTTACCGTACACATTTAGAACGGCGCTGTATGCCGTACCATGGCCATGTTTGGTAAACTCATTACCCGTTCCGGGGTAGGGCGGTTAATGTAGCGGGTAACGATTCTTTTCTAATCTCTTCCTTCTCTCTCCCCCAAGACCTTCTGGAGTTTTCTCCTGGTTGAAAGAGCGCGCAACATACTGGCTTACTCTCTAACACTCAACTTCTTGACTCTAACGCTTCCTATCTTTAAGGACCTTCGACGCTCCTAGCTGTTGGCTTTCTCAATTTCGTGCTTCGCACCTATGTCCCACAACATGGCTCGCCCCCCTGATACCACATGGGAGCTGTTTCATAACCTTAAAGTCTACCCGAGTTGGGGATGTGTTATTTATCGTACTACCTACTCCTTTGAATCTGATGCACAATTCTCCACCGTGATCAATTAGAAAAATATGCCCTTCCCTTCTCCCCGCTCATAGGATCATAGACCACCGATCTCATAGTCAGAGTTCAGATCCTGAATGATATCCACACTCAATCCAGAGTTTTCAGTACTAGCGTCTCTTACTATCATATCAGTCTAAAATAGCGTAATATCGGACGTGAGTATCCTGGACTCCATGAAGACGTATAATCTATTACATAACGCGATAGAGTGCCTTAAAATAGAAGGCAGAATAGCATTATCGAGATACTCTAGTATCTTAATATGTTCTCTCCTAATACTTCGTATAAGCGAGAGGATCATAGCGGATACGAGAACTTCCCGATTCATAATGAGACCGACTTCTAATTGCATTTTGTAACGACTCTCATGATACGTAAAAGAAATCTACCGACAGTAACACGGCTTCCACCTGGGACGCTGGCCACTCTTTGCGAAGCTCATGACGACTCTTGAAGCTCTGCCTGAGATAGATGCGCAGTGATCATTTGAAGATATGCCCCTGCGCGAGGCGTGGTGGATTCTACCCCTTCCAGTTTGGCCGCATCGTCCCACAACCGCAGTGAAACCATTTCATCCCGGAGAGGATCCTGATTGAACTTTTCGAGCTCCTCTCCCTGGAACGGGCCACCCTGAAAAGCGAGCGATTTCTGAGACGCAGAAGACAAGGACTCGTAATAGCCACGATCTACTGCCGTGAGATACCTGATCGAGGGAAGTGAGAATGAGACGAGTTTTGTGCCAAGGGAGGAGGGCGATACCGTTTCGCCGCGACGTGGCTATTTACCAACCGACAAATCGTATCGCCAAATCCGAGGGATCGAAGATAGGCAGCGCCGATGGCTTCGTGACCCATGCGACCGACATTCTCGGTACTCCCACGAAGGTTCATGCGAACCTCTTTCGTGGAATCCAAGGGGATAATCTGACCAATATCGTGGAACAGAGCAGCGATTACTAGATCGTCCCGAGCTCCTGTATTTGGTGGTGAGATACCGTGCGGAAAGTCCAAGCCGAAAACGCTCTTACCTGATTGGCGGGCCTGGTCCGCTGCCTGCAAAGAATGCTCGAGTTGATTGATCGATTCCCCGATATAATCCCCCTGTCCATGTTGCTCGAGAGCACTGACCAGGGATGCTGCCTTTTGTGCGGGTGTCCGAGAGTCCATGGTGATGGAGGCGTGGAGCAATCTTTGAGTGTGCTGCGTTCGAAGGAAAAAGAGGAACAAGCTTTACGAGAGGGAGGGGGGGTGGGAAAGTCCTTTATAATCCGGATCGCACCCCTACGGTCTCCGCGCCGCCACGGGGGCATTCATGGGAGTTGGTTTTTCGACTGGTGTGGAGCGGGGGTGGCACTCGATGCATCTGACGGTATTCAACCCCCGAGATAGCCCGCTGCTGGCAGCATTCAAAGAATTCGTGGATTTTTGTCTTCCAGGAGGCTTTTACCGACACTATGAATCTGTCCCAGGTACTGGATTTCAAGGTTCTCTGGATACAATTCTATCGGCCGCAGATGAAGAAGTCCCGGCCTACCTGCTCTACCCAATAGAGTCTTCCACCCCCAGGCACTTCGTTGCCTTTTATTTTGCTATTCGCTAGTCACTACTACGGAATGCTCATTCTACACTGTCACACCGGGGCTCGAGTTTCCACCCACAGTGAGCATAGGAGTCCCGAAAGCATAGCGTGTACGCCCTTCCTCATACGACTCGCCCTCCTTCCGCATGTGGGTTGCCGGCCACAGCTTTTGGCGATCCGCGTAGTACTCGTCGTGCAAATCGCTCTCTGCAGCGCAGTTGTACGTGGCGTAGATGGCACGGCGATCGGTGGAGCTGGTGTTGGCTCCGCTGCGGTGAGCGAGGTATGAGCCAAAGACCAAGATATCGCCTACATTTCTCGAGTAAGCATGGCGAACAAGAACACGTCCGGTTCGAGATTTTTACCTGGAAGTAGGTCGCACGCAGTCCAGCGGTGACTTTTCACCCATGCGGGTTCGATGCAGCGATCGGCACCCAGAGGCACCTCCATACGGTGGCTCCCGTTGACAACTTCCAGACCACCGTTGATCGCGTTCATCTCATCCACGGCTGCCAGAATGGTCAGATGCTTGATGTTCTTGACATGAGTGTAGGCATTTGCGTCGATGTGAGGATCAAAACCACCTAGGATTGGAGGGTTAGTGGATATCGATATCTGAGAACAACGGAGTAACGCGTCCACGAACCACTTCCGGCAAGCTTGTAGTTGATCTTCTCCTTGAACAGCAGCATCTCCTCTCCGGCTAGTTGCTGCAAAACACTGGTGGCCCGCTGTCCGCGTAGGAAGCTTTCGAAGCCCGCGTGGGAGTTGGCGAAATTCTCCGTGCGACACAGGACTCGTTCGCCCTGGCCGTTCACTTCCTCGTAAGGCATCCATTGCACTCCCGGGGTCCGTGGTAGATCATGCACCTCTTGTGACCATTTCTGGAGTACCTTGGACTCTTGGGAGTTGAAGAAACCGCGGACCAGCAGATATCCGTTCTCTTCGAAGCTCTGCAGCTGCTCTGCACTCAGAGGATAGTGGAAGTTGTCCATGACCGGGTCCGTTTCTCTTGCTGGAATGAATGACATGTGTGAAATCACCAAAAGATCAGGTTCTCGGACATAAGATAAACGGTCAACACAGACAAGAAGGAACGTGCACTCGGAATTGGATACTGTCGCAGCTCGTCGTTTTATAGATCGGGAACTGCCATGGGCGGAGAACACGAGTATCCGAGCTCGAGAGGTGCCATCAGCGTGTACCGTCGCGCTTCACACCGAAATCTAAACCCGTTCGGGGATCATACAGTGGTATAGATCGGCAGGAATCGTCCTGTGGTGTGATCCGTCCTGAGTGGTGGATCCCTGGACCTCGATTCATCAGAGCCCAAGGCGTGGATGAGGGTTTCCGACCAATTACTCGACGCAGTTAGTTCTACTGGAGAAGATGGGCTGCCACTGACCAATCAAAAGGCCGATCAAGCACCACATGGGCCAGAAACGTCACTCTGATTGGCTACTGATAGGCGGGCCGAACCCGCGCGGAACTCTCCGACTTCTGGAACTACGGGACATCGACTTGTATAGGGTACACGAGTACACACTCTGTTCTGTGCTTACCTCGAAGTACTCGGTACTGCACAATATACCACTCTCTACTTCGCAATTTCAAGACACTCGTTACCTCCCTTGATGGCTGCCGGTCCCTTTTTGGTTCTTCTCTTTCACCACGTGCTTCCTCGTGGCCTCCACCTTCTCGTCCGTCCTCGGAAACCGTCGCTTGTCGCTGGTGGTCGTCGGATGTCGCGCGGAGGAAGCTTGGACCTACCGGATTCAGCACTTCCTAGTGGAAACCTCAGCATGCCGGACTTCCCACCGACTATCCTTATCACGCATCTCGTGCCTGCAAATGAGCTTGTCATTGGATCTACTCAAGCGAGATACACGAACGGTGGCATCTCAACAGACTCTCTGCGTGCGTGATAGCACCATGGACTCTCGGATACAAATGATCTTCACTCCGGTCGTGATGGATTCTGAACTGTGATTCTACTCATTTCATCTTTTATTCACGGGAACCCCTTCGAACAGACCCAGCGCACCCTCGCTGAAACCAACAATGGAGGCATCGCCAAGTGACTCCGTGATGAAGATGGATGGCTCCAAGGAGCCGAACCACAATGAGGCCTGGGTTCTGGAGGAGACTCGACCGAAAAAGCGATCGGGGGTCCTGAATGTGGCGATTGCTGGCCTGGCGTTGTTCAGTGACGGTTACAATGCCCAGATTATCGGGTACATGGAGCCACTCTTCGCGGTCCTGTATAAGGACGGCATGTCTTCCACCATGAAGGCGCGTCTATCCAACTCATACCTCATTGGTGAGATCTTTGGCATGCTCTTCTTCGGTGTGCTGATTGACCGCATCGGTCGTCGCACGGGCGTGGTGGCTGCCACGGCCTTTTTGATTCTGGGTGTCGTTTTGGCGACGGCGGCACATGGTACTACTCAACTTGGGTAAGGGAGATTCAGTCAAAGGATGATTGGCGATGCAGAAAGAGAGAAATAACAGACTGACCATGAAAACAACATTAGCATGTTCTGGATGATGGTCGTGGCCCGCGGTATTGCTGGTTTCGGCGCTGGAGGTGAATATCCAGTATGTGCCACCAGCGCCACCGAGGCTGCGGACGAGACCGTGCAACTGCGCAGGCGTCGAGGTTTTCTAGTCGCGGCAACCACCGACTTCGCGGTGGATTTGGTATGTCATATTGATCATATAGATGGGGTTTACACTCATCATAAATTAGGGATTCGTTGCCGCAGGCCTGGTTGCCCTTATTGTGCTCGCATGCTATCAGCAACAAGACTCGGAGGGAGTCTGGAGAATCACCTTTGGCCTGGGCATGATTGTAAGTCCTGCCCATTCCGGAAGCATTCTCCGAGGTCTGAGTTCAGTGCTAACTTCTCGACAGCTACCCCTTGCTGTTTGTTTCTTCCGCGTCCGCATGATGAACTCCACCCAATATCAGAAGCATGCGATCAAATCCAACTACCCTTACTGGCTGATGCTCCGCCGTTATTGGAAGCCAATGCTCGGTACTTGTAAGTTTGTTCTCCATTCATTAAACGCTCATTGATAATGGACTGAGTTTAAATTCCAACCTAGCTTTGGCTTGGTTCTGCTACGATTTCGTCACCTACCCGTTTGGTTTGTTCTCCTCGACTATCGTTGAACAGTTCAACCCCAACAACACGACTGTCCAGAACATCGGATACGGGGTAAGTTGATTCAAAATCGGAGATATGATTACTCTACTAAAAATCTGCGTTCTCCTCAGACCGTTATCAATTCTTTCTACCTCCCTGGCTGTATTCTTGGCGGCTACCTGATGGATCGAATTGGTCGCAAACAAACCATGACACTCGGTTTCATGCTCTGGGCCATCTGGGGCTTCATTCTCGGAGGTGCTTTGCATCCCATTCAAAGTGTCTTCCCCTTGTTCGTTGTCATGTATGGCATCTTCCAAGCGCTCGGTGAGATGGGTCCTGGTGTTGCCACTTTCCTGTGTGCGGCGGAGTCATTCCCTACCCCTCTCCGTGGGCATTTCTTGGGGTTTGCGGCCGCAGTCGGAAAGGCTGGAGCCTCTATTGGTACCCAGGTCTTCACCCCCATTCAGAATTCGTTCTCCTCCACTGAAAAGGGCCAGCAAGCCGTTTTTCTTATCGGCGCGGCTTTCACCGTGGTTGGTGGCCTGATTGCGTGGTTCTTAATCCCGGACATGTCCCGAGAGCTAGAGACGGAAGACGCTCGCTTCAAGGCATATCTCCAGGAGCATGGCTATGACATTGATCTCTATGGGGATGCATTAGTGGTCAATCAGGTTAGCTGAAGGTTCTTGAAATGGTAGTCCCCTCGATAGAGAGATTGCCTGTATTTTAAAGCACAAAAATGAATGATGGAATAAGTTCTGAAATTTCCTTGAGGCTTTGAAGCATACAGGATATTTATATCTGCTTGAATTGATCATCATTCCACAGACCAAGTGACTGAAGACCCGGATTTTCATGTGTGACTCGGTTGGTAACTGAGACTGGGTCCTTTTCGTTTTGCGGTCTTGTTTGTCTTGCGGGATTTCTGCAGAAAAGGAAAGCGAATGATCAAGCTCTTCTATTATTCTGTATTGCCGCGTACGCCGATATTCCTCGCATTCCGCAATCTCTAGTTTCGATGCGAACTCTTCTCCAGAATCAAACTCCATCCTCCATCTTTTACTAGTTCCTTCATCGAGAAGAGCAACGTTTTGTGCTGTAGTAATACCTACGGGTCATCCAAGCCGGCCTGGCCAAGTCGGCCAAGCACTGAACTATTTGCGCCTCATTGATACACTTGCGATCATTCACCCTCCATCCCATCCCTTCTAGGAGTACCTGTTATACTGTATGGGGAGGGGCCGCACGGGCTTAGTGGATGGAGGGCCAATTCCTCAGGTAAACCAAATTGCTTGAGGAGATTATTGCCTTGCTGTCTCCTCCTCCCCGATCGGCCCGGTGTCGTTACTTAGACATTGTGCCCTCAGACCTGGGCCACAATTTGGATTTCTCCTCTTTCCCCTTTCCGTATGGAACGGGTTGTTTTACTGCTATTTTCGCCTTTCTGCATTCTTCTGCAAAGCCATATACCCGGCTCATTTAGGTTGGAATAAGATGACCTCGTTGATGAAGTGACTCGTCCTAGAGACATGTCAGGTGCTGAAAAGGTATCAAATTCATTTCGCTAGTCATCCACTCTGCTCTTCTCTAATGAGCAAGCTCTGGTAAAGGCAAGGAGCTGTCCAGATTCATCCCGTACGGCTTCAATGATCACGACAATCCCCGGAATTGGCCCAAGTGGCCGAGATGGTACATCACTTGCCTAGGCAGTATACTCAATGTCTTCACGTGTCAGAACCTGGTGTGCAGGAGGTATCTCATCGGGGGCGATTGGAATCCAAGACGAATTTGTTGTCTCCTCAGGGGTCACCGTTCTGTGTCTCCTCTCTCAACCTCGTCGAAAATGCTATTGAGCCCGTATTCTTATCTCCGCTTTCGGAGTACTTTGGTCACTAGCCGGTTTATTTCGTGTCGTGGATCCTCCTGTTAATTTTCCAGCATCCCCTCGCATTGGCTTCCAGTATCGGCACCATATTGGTCAGCCGTTCATCGCGGGATGCGCTGGCTGTCGCCCCTTTGACCAGAGGATAGCTCTCTTTGAGGTATTTGACGAAAGGAAGAACAATTAGGTTTTAGGCGTACAAAAAGGTCTACAACATACACGCCTTTATTGGTGGCTTTATTATAGGACAGAATTTCTGTGTGAATGAGATTTCATGAATATCTTTTCCCCTATGGATTGTCATATTTTGGATGCCTTACCAGTGAGGATGCCGAGACCCGAAGCCTGAGGCTGCAAGGCCTTAACGAAACCCGACAAACTCTCGAAAACGAAGGTTTTTGATTCCCAAATCTCAAAGACAGTTACCCCAGGTTTCTCCACTTTTCCCACACGCCCAACCTGAGCAGACTCAACTTTGCCAACCGTTCTCGCCATTGTTTCTCTTGATGATGATCCGCGGGGGTTACACGCCAAATGGGTCTCGGCGGGCTCCGGTCCACCGGGCCCTTGGCACCCCCGCTTCCCTCGCAAGTCTCCGCCCGTCAACTTGGTAGAGCCGGCTGGACCAGTCCGAAAGGGCATGGCTTTAAAGCTTGCACCTCCCCCAGTCCCCAGTCAAGGTAGGGGCTCGCGAAGAGTTTCTTTGCCCAGTGGCAAACTGCTCATCTGGCCAAGTTGCGGTACCATGTTCCCCGGGTTTCACCCATTGCGAATGAGTCGAGACCTCCGGAAAAGCACGACTCGAGACAATGCGACCGACCAGCTGACAATATCCACGGAAATGCGCCTTTTTTTATGAGCAGAGGTGACATCTAAACTGTGATGTCTCGTCTGGTCCAGCGATGCCCCAAATCCCCGAATACGGGCGCCTGTCATTCCCGAGGGGCCCTTGGGTCTCCCTGGTTTCCCATGTGGATCGGCCTCCTCCGTGAGGTCCATCCACTCTCCAATTCTAAATCAAATGCCATTCAAATAGGTTCCCATACCCCGTTCGAGGCCCTGGATGAATTGAGATTTCTTTGATTGTTGCCGTCGACCATCAGAACATAATGATGACTCGCGACGTGGAGAAGCGCGCCGGGGCAGTAGACCCAGCTCTTGTCGAGGAAGAAACGGGAGCAGTCCCCGCTGCAAGCTTTGAGTATGGCAATTCCTTGTACGCCAGGCTTCAACGACTCGGCGGTAAGATCAAAGTCGAACAGCGAGGCATCGAGCGTGTCCCGGATGACGAGAGAAATGATAGTTCGTACTGGAACATTGGCTCAATGGTACTTACGCCCTCAACGTTTCTCAATTTTGTCTCTAATCCGGTCCTGAACAATACCAGTGGCTGGCTGCAAATATGGTGGTCCCTTCCTTCACCATTGGAGTCTTGGGCAAGCCCTTGTTCGGCATGGGATTCATCGACTCGGCTCTGGTCATCATCTTTTTCAATTTTATCGGAGTGCTCACCGTCTGCTTCTTCTCCATCTTTGGCGCCGCCTTCGGATTGCGTCAAATGGTATTATCCAGATTCTGGTTCGGCTGGTGGGGTGTCAAGCTAAGTATGGGTGGTCTTACAAGTGTGAATGATCCCTCGAGTGGAAATAGCTAATTGAGTCTATCCGTATTTACTCTCGGAACAGTCGCAATCTTCAATGTTCTAGCCTGTGTTGGATGGGCTGCCGCCAACATCATTGTCGGAGCGCAGTTGATCAATGCCGTTAATCCAGACGTTCCAGGATATGCTGGTATATTGATCATCGCCTTTTGTACACTCGTCATTGTTTTCTTTGGCTATCGAGTTGTGCACGCCTATGAATATTGGAGCTGGATTCCAACTTTCATCGTGTTTCTCGTGGTCTTGGGTGTCCTTGCCCATTCGGGTGATTTCATCAATACTCCAATGGGAGTTGGTAAAGCCGAGCTGGGTGCGGTGCTATCTTACGGCTCCACCGTGTTCGGCTTTGGCACGGGTTATACAAGCTTCGCTGCAGACTATACAGTCTATCAACCAAGTAACCGCCCCCGCCGTAATGTGTTCCTGGCTACCTGGCTCGGGATCTTTCCAACTCTTTTATTTACTGAACTTCTGGGCGCTGCGCTTGCCACCGCAATGGCTCACAATGGTGGTGACAACGCATATCAGCAGGGATGGGATGACGCAGGCGTAGGCGGTCTTCTGGGCGCCCTTCTGTTCCCACGTGTCGGAGTGTTCGGCAAGTTTTGTGTCGTGATACTTGCCCTCTCCATCGTGGCCAACAATTGTCCCAACATCTACTCCGTCTCCCTCACTCTCATGGTAATGGGACGGTGGACCCGACATGTCCCTCGATTCGTCTGGACGATAGTCGCTACCGGAGTTTATATTGCAATCGCCATACCCGGGTACAGTCAATTCGAGGCAGTGCTGGAGAATTTCATGCATTTCATCGGGTACTGGCTCGCCATTTATGAGGGCATTGCTCTTACGGAGCACTTCATGTTTCGTCGGGGGTTCTCTGGCTATCATCCCGAGGATTATGACATGCGCGATAAACTTCCTCCAGGAATCGCGGCTCTGCTCGCATTCTGCTGCGGTGTCGTTGGAATGGTGACTGGTATGAGCCAGTCATGGTATGTCGGCCCCATCGCAAGATCGGCTGGGCCGGCCCCAAATGGCGGCGATGTTGGTTTTGAGATGGGCTTTGCATTAGCAGCAGTCTCATATGCCATACTTAGGACCATTGAGCTGAAGCTTTTCAAAAGGTAAAAGATTACTTTGTGGTGTCTATTGTGACAAATCATGGAAATTTCCGGGTACAATATACCGAGGGATGGACTTTTGAGAATCAAAATCGCAATGCATATACAGTCGGGGTTTCCTGAACAGCACCTCATTGGGTTTAGTTTTAATTCTAGAAAACGTCCATCTCATTTGAACATTGAAAAAGTACACTGCTTCATAACAGAACACGTTTCGGCTCCAAGAATGATTTTAGTAGCCGAAAAGTAAGCCAGACCACTTCTAACCTTTACTTTCCAATGGATTGAGAGGTTTAACTCATGAGCCTACAGTGAGCCGAGGCACTTGGAAGTGGCCAATGAATTCCCGGAATTTGGGAGAAAGTGGAGACTGCGGTCCACGATAACCTTACTAAACCATTGGGTGGAAGCATCATATCTACTGCCGTCATAGCATTACGCCGGCTTTGAACTAGTCTGTGAACTATCTCTATATTTAGTGACTTTGAATCTAGGTTCGTAGGTCATTTTGGATTTCAATAGCTCTTAGCTGGATCTATCAGCCAAGCAAATATCTCTTGAGGAACCCTGCAATATATATTCGTTAAATCAGCAGGGCGAATTAAGGTCCACGGCATCTGATTTTTTCCTCATACCCCGGTTCTCCAAAGAATATATGAGCTCTTGTAAAGCGGTAAAGGCAAGGCCCAGGAAGACCAAACCGATCATGATGAGGAGCCCTCGAGGGTAAAGGATTGAGGACTCATCTTGCCTGAAAATTTGGGAGCCGCCCATTAGCCCACTGGTTGCGCTCATAACAACTAAGTCACTATTAGCCGACAATACATGCTGAGTCCGACAGGAGATTGACTTACACATTCTGGGAAAATGCCAGGAAACTGTCAGCCATTCAAAATCTAACATCAATTGGGTTGAATTCGAGCAAGACTTACGCTAAAGAAATGCTGCGCTCCTCCGGTGTTCGGCATTTGATTTGTATCCAGGCATTGTGGACCGGGTGATAACCCACAGCGAGACCATTTACAGCAGTCCAGAGCCCGAATTTGCCCCATCTGCTAGCAACTGGTTGCGCAATCCGTAAAATAACGAGGGCGATCAGGTATGCACTGATAGCTATCATGACCGTGATCCCCCATCTTTTTGATTTGTTGCTAAGCCAAGCAAAGAACAGAACGACCGACAAGGTCAGAAAGCTCCCGACTGCAGCCAGAGCATTGGATTTAACACGGGAAAAGCCCAGTGACATGATAATACTCGGTGTGTATGTCGTGAGTGGACTCCAAGTCGCGAATACACATGCAGTGGCGAGGAAATGAGGCCATTTTTGGATACAAGTTATGATCCTCCACACCTCGGCCACGCGTAATTGTCGGTCGGCACCTTCGATTGACCAGCCATTGGCGGTCTCACATTCGTGTTGGGATACTTGTTCATACGATGCCCTCTGTGGAAGGAAGATCAGTAATAGAAGCGAGATGACCACCGACCATACCCCCTCCACTGAATCTTGAAGTTAGTACCTTCAAGTGGGAATTGTAGAATCGCAGTATTCACCCAAGAAAATCCACTGCCAACCGAGAAGGCCTCCGTGGCCGTCCAATTTCAGCAGTCCTGCTCCCAACAAAGGTGATATTGCTGTGCCCCCGAACATACCAAAAAAGAAGATAGCAATCCGTTTCGTGATTTCAGCCTTGGTGTACCATGTGGAGAGGGTAAACATGGCACCTGGAATATATCCAGCTTCTGCAAGACCAAGGAGGGTTCGTGTCAATAAGAATTCGGACTCGTTTCGAATAAAGATTTGCAATGTGGCAATGATGCCAAAGACAAGGACTTGACCCCCTATCCACCAACGAGGACCGATCTTTAATCTTTAGAAAATTATTTACGATACGGAAGAGCAATATCTTACCTTGTATAAGACAACATTAGATGGTATCTCTAACGCTATAACCCCGAGGAACATCAATTGATTGCCAAGGTTTATGGTGTTTTGATTGATCGATAGGTCATATGCTAAGCCACCCGTTAATGCACTGGAAAGATTTGTGCGATCCAACTGGTAAGTGGCAAATCCAATGAGTAAAAGAGGTAAGACCTGGAAGTCAGCGCTGTCAATTGTTAATTACAACGTTCCCTTGTTGAGAGGAATGGTCCGTGTATCCGCTCACATTCTTCTTAACTCAGCTTTGCTCTTAGGTTGCTTATTGAGACGCTTGTTGTGAACTCGCAGACAGGCGAGCCAGGCTTTGAGCATTTTGACTCTTCAGTGGTGTTTGAATAAAGATTTTCGCGACATGCGGGGAGCGAAGTTATATGTCACAATTTTAAGGACCTTGGTAGACCAAGTAGAAGCCTGCTGCCCAGTACGGAAATCCTATTCTCATATCATGACTCGATATCCTTGGCCCCAACTAGGAATTATAAGAAGTCGAAAAATTTTCTACAAGTGAAATAAGTTGAATAAAGCCTAGAATCGCTAAGATGGAGCCGTACCATTGTCCGAAAGTCGCCTTGATCAGACGTTCCCAATTTAAAGATCCTGTTGAAATCTACACTCGAGCAATTTTCTAGAAAGAACGACTCGTAGATTGGAATCGAATGGTAATGGAAGCTAAAGTAGCGCGAGAAAAGCCTAGTCAATCTCCGCCAATAGAATTATATTGGGTTACTTGCGGTGGCATTTGGTTCTTATGCAACTCGGGTAAAGATCGCGATTTACAGGGCTTCTGATTGATAGCTAGTAAAAATGTACAAACTATGTAATCTTAAAAATCTTATGAACAAAAATTAAGCCAGTTGAGCCAGGCGCAAACTGAATCTTGAACCCACCATCCTGCAACTAAAAGTTCCAAAGGCAGCCAAGGACGCCTCTGTGTAATTCTGGAAACGTGAAGTGGGGCTCAAGCAAAGCCGGTGGTAATAACCCAGCTCACATCGTCATTGAAAGATGCGGTGGCATCAAAAGTATCGACACCCCCATTGCTCGCAATATAAAGCACGTTGTTGTAGTGACGGAAATAGCGGGTGGGATAGCTCCACGACCGAATTGAATTGCCCTGACCATTGAGACCAGACTGAGGGCAGAAGGTAGCGTCCTCTTTGAATTGCTTCGTGCCGTCACTGGCGTTGAGAAGCAGCCCGAAGTTGTAGTGTCTGATGTAGCTTCCGGGAGTGTCAACGGATTCGAACGAGAAGCAAGCGCTATTACCAAGACCAGTGCGAACTGTCCAGCTGGCCTGCTCTTTCAGGATCGTGGAGCTGGATGACGAGACCACCTCAGTGATTACAGAAGAGCTGTTGTGTGCAATGTAGCGTGTTGTGTAGCCAGAGGTTGTCGCGCGGAGTGAGATTGAGGAACCAACAGTCAGAGCCGTACCACTAGTCAAAGAACCGGCGACGTACTTGGCAGCGACAATATTGGCCTGTACTGAGTTTTCCGTTGCATCGGATGGATAGCCAGAGGTCATAACACCCTCGTAAAAAGTGCCCTGGGCTCCGTGACTGTTATCACCTCCAATGCCAAGAATGATGGCACCTTCTTTGCTCATCGGGTTATAACCAGAAGCGCTTGGGCGTGCTCCGCTGTAGTAGGTGGACAGGGATCCAGACGCAGCGTTACCACCGCGGATTGCCCACTGATTGGACTCTCCCTTGACAATGGTGCTCAGGAACCGGTAGCTGACGGATGGGTCAGCAGCGTTATTTCCTGAGCTCAAGCCTGAGAAAAGACCATTCTCGAGATCTGCCATCACCCATGGGCCGCTACCAGCGCCAGTACCCCAGGCAGTGTTGGTACCAAAGTAGATGGCCTCCATATGGCCATTGCCCGTGTCGGTGTTACTAGTTTCGGCGTTACCATAGTCGAAGCAGCAGGCATCATTGTAATGGGTGCCATCAAGAACAGCATACATGCCCTCTGCTGCATCGCCAGTGGCTGTACCACTGGCAGCATTGTTCCTGTAGCCCGTGCCGGGTGAGATAAAGACACCATAGGCTTTCTGGCCGTTGAGCGTCACAGGTGCACCAATAGCGCTAGCAAGATTGTCATATCCACTAGTGTCTGGGCCAGTGAAGCCTCCAGGAGGAGCCTGCGTGAGGTGGTTCCCGCGGCCAGACTGGTCATAAATGATGGTGATGAGACAAGTAGTGTTGGCACAGAAGGTATCTTGAGCGGCGGCATTCGCGACACCCCCGGCGGAGAGTGGAGCGATGGTAGTCGTGGCACCGTCAGAGCCACGCTTGACTTGATACAGGGCACCTGTGAAAGAGCTGTACAGTGCACGAGTGGTGCTGTGTGCAGCAACACAAGGTGTGCCGCCCGAGGAGTAGATATCACAGGGCCCAGCAAACACAAGGGAGCCTTTGGCAACAAGACTTAGGGCAATAACCCACGCGTGGTCAAATCGTGGAAGCATCTTGATGGAAATAATATGAGGAGAATAATTTTGAGCGTCTCCAAGGTAGACAAGAGATGATTAATGGCTTTAGAGGTAGAACAACTCTGTGGCAGCACTCTACGAAATGCATCCTGAAATCGACTCTCTTTTATAGTTTTTGGAAGTAATCCCTGCCTTTGATTCTTCGCACCGAGAAAAGCATGCTTGACTCACATGCTCCCAATTTTCCTCCAATAATTAGAGAATAATTTCATTATCTGCCCAAGTCGGTGATATCAGCAAATTCGGGTATCCCAGTGTCCGTAAGAAACCTGTATTTTATCCTTGGATTTTAAGCGACCTGGAAAAGCTCTTGTACTGTTCAATTTATTGAATAATACTGTACGATCTGGAATCCGTGACGGAGAACATGTGGACTGTAAATCTAGCTATCGCACCACAAAGTCTTCGTTAATGATGTCGATTGAGAGCTCCAAGACACAAATCTTTACTCAGAAGAACATAAGCTCAAATCGACAGGTACATCAGCCTGCAGCAACTTGCAAAGACTTACAACTAGTAAAGAAATGAGGGGGAGAGGAGCTGTGCGTGATGGGCTATTAGCGAGATTATTCTCAAAGAGGATAGGTTTCACTTGACGGACAAATACTGTAAAAGAGGGCCAAAAGTGGCTTAGACTTGATGGGCCCGCATGCCGTGTAGATGAAGACCCCACAAAGCTTCATAATCTTGGGCGCTAAGAAGAGTGAGCAGCGCGGGGATGGGGATTAAATTTGACTTATGATGATTAAGCTCACATAATAGTGCTTATTCGTGGATCGGCTCACCATCTTAAGTGCCCCATAATAACACACGGAAATCGATTCTTCATTTCGAAATTTAATCTTAGCAACTCTACTTGGTATACCACTGAGACTACAGACCTACTTCCGACTCTGGGGTTCGAGGTGAGGTAGTCGTATGTGCGTCACGGGGTCGATCTGATGTGACTCTAGGCAATAGATCAACATAAGGTTTTAATGCGATCATTACATCTCGGGTACCTATCCATATCCATGGAATCGACCTAGGGCCTGACGAAATTCGAACGCCAACCCCAGGATGGCGGGGGCAAGCAGGGCAGATGAAGACGCCTGTGCCACCGGAGTTTTCCCCTTTTCCCCACACGGAGACGGAATTAACCGAGCCTCCAGACCGAGCTAGAGATCAGAAACGACGTCGTTTTCCGTCTCCGTACATAACCCCTCAGTTGGTGCAACAGCGACCGACGAGTCTAACCAAAGTAGGATTGAAGCGGCCGAATAGTTCAGACTATGTATTGAGTAACAGGAGCCGAGCTTGAAGAAAAGTCCGCAAAACTCCATTTGAAATGCGGCGCCCCATGATTACGAAAAAAATCGTACTCACATCCCGAAAACTACACATTACGTGGAGAATTCAACTTCCCATTACTACTTCAGAGAATCGATCGCAAGCCAGGGAGAATTTTAACACGCATGAAATACCGTCTTTTAACTGCTTGCTTTGATCGAAATTGTTGAAGTTGCTACGAACCCATACTGTTGGCAGACCATGACAGGCAACAACACTTTTCAATCGATACGAGCCAAGGAACTGATATTGAACCTAGACAATGAGATGGAATGGCGTGGATCTGCCTATCGAGTCGTTCCAGGGCTTTGTGCATGTGACACAGGAGGCTGTACGGCTCGAAGACTCGAAAGAGGCCAGAGTTAAGTGCGGCTTTTTCGATTAGCATGAAAGGGGTTCACTCCTAACTTGGTCCTGAGTATTTGAATCTGGGCGTTTCTTGCGAGCTCGACTCAAGCTTTGCTGTAAGAGATGCTTGATCTTAGAGAAATTATAGACCAGATAACGATGGAAAGGATGGTTTGAAGAGCCTGCTAATGTTGACTCTAATTATCCGCGACTCAACAGAGTATTGATCGTTCCCAATTGTCAACAAAAACGCCCGACCGAGTGACGCGATGAATACGTACTCTACCGGCGTTAGCCATACTTGGTGATAAACTGAAGAGCGAGATATTCAGCGGGGGCATACTTCTGTCATTGCGCCCTAAAATTCTCTAGGCAGCTGCCGAGGAGCAGAAAGATAAGTGAGCCCACCTGGCTCAATGTCTGCTGGAGCTTCGAACATACCAAGCATAACAAGAAGATCAAACATTGACGCCAGGGGTTGAGCAAGACTAAAGAAAGTTTCGCACCATCAGGGTACACATTGACTGAGCAAAGCCTCCTACGAAGGTCCACCAATCGACCCATTATATTAGGTAGTAATAATATCACTACGCTCGCAGTTCTTTCCATTTCAGTCCCCGGGGCCCCTACTCCTTCATCACAGTGATAATTTCATCCAGTGTTGTTGGAGAAACAATTTGATGAACAGAATCAGCAAGCTGGTTCCATTCGTAGAATTTCCCTCCAGCCGTGAAGATCACTTCACCACCAAACGGATCGCACATAAGGGGAATACATTCCCCGAGGTTGTATTCAATGCCGGTCTGATAGCCCCCACCGTCTCCTGGCGCCCAATCAGTCTCGTAGTCGAGTTCTTCTGGATCCATTGACCATCCTGGTGGAGGGCTAGGCTAAGAGCCTTATTAGTAATTATCCGCACGTAATTAGGTCGACTCACGGGAGGCTTGGGAGTGGTCATGGCACGTTCTTAGACTTTATCCATGATGGGGGGTCTTTTGGAGAGATTGCAACAGTTCTCGAAAGTGAGATTCGAGGTGGATGAAGATACGAAACGTTGTCTTTTCTGACGATGAATGGATTCGCAAAAGATGACATACAATATGAACTATTCCTAATTAGGCTAGGCTTCCCGCATCACCGTTGCCGCCACCCAATAGATTCCCGTCGGCATCGTGATTCGGGGCTTGCGATCTGCCAGACTGCAAGAGTCAGCGACTGTCCAAAAGAAAGAGGCACCGTTGGGTTACATCGCCGTGGTTTTGTAGACAGCACAATCAAGGTCACTATCTTCATATTTTACCAATGGGCCACATATAGTCGACTCCGCTTTGCGAAAAACATGCTGGAAATTCCTCGGAAATTTTGCAACTCTTACTCGGCTCGCACATAGTGCTGTAGGAGTCAGACTTCAGAATAATCTCCGTGTAACCTTGACTGTTGCCTTAGATTGCAGGCTTTACTATATATACCCTCTATTTGTTCGATCGTGACTCACCCTTTTAGACTGGTCTCGAGAAGTCCAACCATTTCTTCATCGGCAAGTATAACCGCTGATAGCAACCCAATTGCCAGCGCAAGGAAGCAAGAGAAGGAGGCAAAGCAGTTCGAATGTGATATAACTAGAGAGCTGCAATGAAGGAAAACAGGAAAAGGCCTATATAGGCCAACCAAAGAACGTCCTGGAAACAACCGGCATCATCTGCAACAAGAAGAAGGAAACAGTCGGCAAAGATCTCGAGTCAATGAAGGGGAACCGGCAGCAGACTCGATGCAGGACTCGATGCATAGGCACTCGACCCCTCGATCAAGGGCTTCACTCGCTTCATTAAGGCTGCCCGGCAAAGCGTTGGGCTGCTCCTTCGATGGGAGCTACGGCCAGGTGCCCAAATTTATGAGTTTCGACAAGGTTGTTTTGATTACTGTTTGTAGTGGTGCTACTTTCACACTTCTATTACCTCGAGCATTAATAGAGAATGTGAGACTTTGAATACTGATAGGAATGTTGACTCTCTAGGGTATGAGGTATTTTGGCTACTCCTCTTTACTTGATCACCCGATTTCTCGTATTGCGCGCTCACTACGGAGCGACAGTTTCTAATCAAGTTTACCAAGGAGCCCCAAGTGCTCTGACGGGCCCCATACATTAACCTGATTCTTTAAATTACCTAAGACGACGTTACCTCAGAGGATGCCTAATGCCTGGAAACAGGTCCGGGCCCAGTGCCCGAAAACGCGCACCGCCAGCGTTCGGAACCATCGAAAAGGAAAAAAAGCAAGGCCGAAGAAGGGGTCTTTCCCTTTAATCGCTGAAAAACCGACCGCATCTTACACAACTGCTCAATGGCTACCTCTCTCGATGTTCCGTGGAGGACCCGTCTTGGTGTTGTCACTTGGAATATGACAAGGAGACAGCCCTATCACACATAAAGTGAATCAACAAATCAATAATTCAACGCTACCTATTATCAGTAAAATATTGCTCGCCCATTTTATGTGCTCCTGGTGACTTAACTGGACCTTCTTGAAAGCAACATAATCCAATAGAATCCCAAACTACGACTGCAAAGGCTTTGAGATTGATCATAGCGTTGACTTTCAAACTATAACCTTGCAGAAACAACTTTCCATTCCCAGAATCCCCTCCCTGCTTGATGATACTGTTTACCAGTCGTACTAGCCAGCCATATCGGTCCATTACGTAGTGGCCGTGCTGACGGCTTGACTTGGTTGGAGGCCTAACTTCTCCGCCATTTTGCTGGGAAGATTCCCTGTTTTTTTAGGCCCCCCACAAGTCCCTGCGGTCGCCCCCCGCATGTCAACATTTTGCCACTGATCTCAACGCTCCAGATCTCGATATTCTCATTTGTAATGCCTCAATCAAAACCGGGTTGACTCGGTATAGAACAGCAGCCTTCTCTGGCACTAAGTCCGAGCAGATTCTGTCGATTCAGAGAGTATTGTTGATTTACCAGGGCCTGTTCGGCACCAGGGGCATCAAACGGTAGAATGCCCAGCACGATGCTCCCGGACGCGGGTGGCTGGCAATGGGTTCTGTCACGATCAAAGCTTAAATGTTCGATCGAGAGGTCCATGACGCCAGCTGACAGCGCTTTGATACGCCGGCTTCCACAACAGGGGCGATACCTATAGTGAACTCTAAATGGGAACAACCTACTGTAGCGTCGCGCTCAGCTTGAAACGAAGCGTGGTGAACGAACGGGCAAAGGCCGCACGAGTCAAGAGCCTGAACCAATCCATGGAGCCCGTAGACGGCACCAACGTCAGGCTACACGTCACTACCGAATCGTTGCGTCCTTCCCCGCGATCTTAGTATCTAAGGATAGTATTTCCTAAGTCCATTGTGTCTGAAAATTTCTATATTCTCTGTTCTCCACCTCATCTCAAGACTTTTCGTCGGCGAACGGTGTATCTAACATAATGGATAACGGGAAGAACCACGACTCGAAATTTGACGTTGGTGAAGATCGGCTCGTCAAGAAATCTAGCCCTTCTGACGAGAAGTACGAGTGGGAAGAAGATGCACACCATGAAGACACCGCACGGGGCATCTTTGACTTTGACGAGAGGCAGACCATCAGCGGGAAGTTCGAGAATCCTCTGGCAGGAATCTCAAAGGCTAAGCTTTTCCAGGAGGTGGAAAAGTTCTGCCGCGATTATGACTTGATGGAAAAGATCGAAGTGATGAAAAAAGGGGCACTAGTTGCACAATCGCCCCTGCGATACCACGAGATCGAAGAGCTGTCGGACGAAGATATCGCCATCCTCCAGCACGAGAAGTCGCACAAGTGGAACCAGCCATGGATGCTCTACTGGCTCACAGTGATGTGTGCAATGGGTGCAGCAACCCAGGGTATGGATGAGTCTGTCAATAATGGCGCAGTCGCCTTCTATCCAACCCAGCTGGGTATCGACAAACTGAGCAACGCAACTTGGATTGAAGGCCTTGTCGTGGGTGCTCCGTACCTTGCCTGCGCCCTGATAGGCTGCTGGCTCAACGAGCCTTTAAACTATTTTTTTGCTCGCCGCGGAACCATCTTCATCTCCTGCTTTTTTGCCGCTTGGGCTTCCATATGGGAGGCCTTTACTTATTCTTGGGGCCAGCTGTTTGCAGCTCGGTTTGTCCTAGGACTGGGTATTGGAGCTAAATCGAGTACTATTCCAGTCTACGCGGCCGAGTGCGCTCCAGCGCCCATCAGAGGTGCTCTTGTCATGCAATGGTACGTAGCATATCCCAGGGTAGTTCCTTTGGCGTGCACACTAACATCGAGAGGTAGGCAGGTTTGGACCGCATTTGGAATCATGATAGGCAATATAATGGGCGTTGCGTTCTACTCGTTAGGTCCAGACGTGGGGTGGCGTGTCATGCTTGGCTCAAGCTTTGTCCCGCCCCTTTTCGTGATGACGCAGGTATTCTTTTGTCCAGAGTCTCCGCGATGGTTGATCCAGAACCATAAAGTTCAGAGGGCTTATCGCTCATTCCGCCGCATCCGCAACACTGAACTTGAGGCCTGTAGAGATCTCTTCTATACTCATGTTGGTGTCGAGATTGAACGAAGAGTCAACAAAGGCAAGAACTTCTTCACGAAGCTCGCCGAGTTATTCTCCGTTCCACGAAACCGCCGCGCCACTATGGCTACATGGATGATTATGTTCGGCCAGCAGTTCTGTGGTGTCAATGTGAGTCCAGATTAAGTCTAGCTACTGCTGAATGAGGTAAACTAACATTTATCGTTGGAAATTCAGGTCATTGCCTACTATTCTACCACGATCTTCGTTGAAAGTGGCTATACTCACCCTCAGGCTTTGCTTTTCTCTATGGGTACGGGGATTTTGAATTGGGTATTTGCCCTCCCGGCCTTTTTCACTATCGATACCTTTGGAAGGCGGTTTCTACTCTTGATCACTTTCCCTTTCCTTTGTATCACTCTCCTGTGGACGGGCATGTCTTTCTTCCTACCAGAACACAGCACAAAGCGAACGGCGATGATTACGACGGGGATGTATCTCTACGAAGTATTCTACTCCCCGGGTATGGGCCCGGTGCCATTTTCATACTCTGCAGAATCTTTCCCAATCCAGGTCAGTCTGAAAGGTATCTTTATAATGAACTCTAGAATTAATACGCACCAGGTTCGTGACGTCGGCATGGCTTCGGCAACCGCTGTCCTTTGGGCATTTAATTTCATTCTTTCGTTTACCTGGCCGGCGCTGGTCAAAGCATTCAAACCCCAGGGTGCCTTTGGCTGGTACGCTGCCTGGTGCGCGATACTATGGTTACTCAGTGAGTGTTTCATCAGAAGTAAAGTCTTTCCACTATTTTTACTGATCTGGTAGCTCTTCTCATTTTCCCGGAAACCAAGGAGCTAACCTTGGAAGAATTGGACGCTGTGTTTAGCGTTCCTACGCGGAAGCAAGTTGCTCGTGGAATGCGCGAGCCAATGTATTGGTTTAACAAATATGTCCTTCGTCGGAAAGTTGAACTCCCCCCATTGGTTGACATTCGGCAGCTACGAGGCGAGAAAAAGGAACCAGACATGGCCGGCGCTGTTTGACATAGTGGTGCAGACCCCTAAACCTATACTCTGTGCGGTAGCTGACTGTGAGACACTATTGCCAATATTTACTCTTGGGATTAGTGATTTTTATTTCGGTGGATACGGTCGAGAGTTAATGACCATGTAGTATTACTGGCTCGCAAATGTTTCTCATGCGTGGACATTGCTCTTGAAGGTGCTGTTAATGCTTCATTGGTTGACATTAGAAGGTGTTTCCTCAGGGGCGAGGCTTCTCGTACTCCTTTGTTTTCTAGCGTAAATTCATTCGTAGAAGGGGGAGGTTTTAATTTTCAAGACATCTCTACCAACAAGAACAGACCATTCTCATTTAACTCTTAAAGATATCCCTCCTATACGATGGGTTGATGGCTCGCTTACTACGGTAAGCCCGCATGAGGGAGAATCTTTAAGTTGCTGACCCGCTGATAAACGCAAACAATCGCAAGTACGTCACACCGCACAGGCTAGTCAGAATCGAGATGCGGGGTAGTCACCCTCGCAGTCCCGATATCACCAGGCCAAATTAATAGGTTATGGAATTTTGCGAGTATGCTTCATCTTACTTCTACCCTCCACCAGTCCTGTCCACATCGGCTTTTCTATACATTAATTCATATAAAAAGTTAGGTATATAAAGATGCCTCTTTGTAAACTAATTCAACTTTTCTACCAATTGCCCAAGTCAAGATGATCTCGACAGTGATCTTTGTCGGTAGTCTCCTCAGCTGCCTACTTAGCAGAGGAGTGACCGCCTTTGATAAAAGGGTTGAAGGAATCAATACAAATCATATCAAAACCTTTGACTGCCCTTCAACAACACAAGCCCACCCAAGCCAGCGCGAACTACGAGCATCGATGGACAGATTTGCTTCTATTTTCTACGTGGAGAAGGACGTCGAGTCGGCGTTTGATCAATATGTTGCAAAGAACTATGTTCAGCATAATCCGGGTATTGCTGATGGTAGAGATGCAGCTGTTGAAGCATTGACACCATTGTTTAGCGCGAAGGAAAATTATTTCCAGGTAGGCAGCACCCGGTAGGACTATACCAAAGCTTTACTCATACTTCACATAGATTGCAAGAGTCATGGTCGGCCCGGAGTACACAACAATTCATATTAAAGCGTCAACAAAAATTCAGGCATCGAACGTTTTCGATGTCTACCGAACAATTGGTTCTTGTACTATCGAGCATTGAGACTGCCTGGGGGAAATACAGAACAACACGGTCTCAAATCATCCTTGCTGTTAAGAAGGGATTGCTGTTGAATATGAGCATTGCTGCCAGACAAACGTTGTGCACTAATTAGTACTCGAGCTCCATAATGAAATCAATTGGAGTCGGAGGAGCCTCTGGCACACATTGAGTTGAACTTGACTAGTTGTGACATTGGCAGTGCTTGCTTGATCTAAGATTTACTGTGTAGAACACCTCTCAAGCATATATTATTGTCTTTTTGGTCATAACAACGATCGTGAGCACCTTACGGAGGATGTCTTTTCTTAGATAATCAGATACTAGCATAAAATATGAGCAATATCTCAGAGCGTCCGTTCAGTCTACTGTTATTACTACATATATCCTCCCAGTATACGAGGATCCCGATAGTCACATGACAAGCCTACATATGACTGCTATAGGGAGATGAAGAAAATAGCAGGGTAGTGGATCATTCTATTCATCAAGAGATAGTAGCTAATTTTGAGAATTTTACTCCTGTCAGCAGCAAATTAATACCTATAGCTAACCTAGTTTCCAGTAGATGGAAGGGTCCGTAAATTCTGAAAGAGATAGTCAAAGGCTCAGCTTTTGATTCTTAGGGCAGGCCGATCAACATAAAAGGTAGCACAAACCTATTTCCAGCTGGACAGTGATAGGCACTACTTCAATATGCCTAAAGTGCCATAAGCTGGGAACTTCAATTCACCTCTGCTGAATCCCTGGCTTGTATACATCTTTTTGCACCAAAGAAAGCCCCGAGACGTAATATTCATACTCACAGTATCTACAACTCGGCCATCGGTGAATTTTATTCCTCGTAGAAGTGGATAGCACGACCGTGGCCCATGCCGTTACTTGAATTTTAGAACCGCCCATCTACCCTTTCCAAGTTGGGTAAGTACAGTTTTGGGGAAAGTGAGTTCGATGAAGTGGAATAGAAGGCAACCAGGCACCTTCTTGTGGGTTGAATATCTTCGACTATATCTGCTGGAGCTACCACCGCACGAGACCTAATGTTGCTCGGATAGTGATTGTTCCCTTATTCGTAGTATTTCAGTTATCAAAGGTCCATCTCTACGGTGTGCCGCATCATGATGCCGCGCCTTTTTGGAGGGAAATTCTATATCAATGGACATGGATACAAGAAGAGAATGCTCTAATGATACGTGGACTGCGTCCATTAGAGGACAGATGCCTAGAATATTCAGCAGGATGGAGGGGAACCGCTTTGCAAATCTGGGGGTAAGGATGTTCCAACGCAAGTCTTCCCGAATGGAAATCCAGTAAAGGCCTGCGTAAGCAGGAATGAGAAGACCTTGGAAGGACACCATCATCGAGCCATAAGGAATATGCTTCTCCTAGTAACGCTTGTTGTTACCTCACTATTGACTACCAGGGCCATGTTGCGTGCTTGAAGATCAGTCCATTCTCAAGTGATACAGAACGAGGTGCCACCTGGGTTTAATGCCCTATGACATAGCTGGGATTGAAATTACAAAAATAATGAAAACATATCAAACAAGAATATCCTAGACGAGAGGCGAAGTAGCCCGATTACATTGTGTAACCTCGTAGTCGAAGAGTCCTATCCACAGTCCAGGAAAGTTGATGGTCGTTGATGTGGTATGTCACAGAGTCCTATTTGAAGTTGCTCCGGGCGGCTTCAAAAGTTTCCTTACCAACTTAAGGCATTCATTTTCTCCTTGAGATTCCTGTCTCAAGCATTTAGACAGCCAAAAGTACTTACTTAAGATGACGCAGATCCTCAAGTCCAATAAATGTAGCTGGATCCCTTTAACCATCACGCGTCGGCCCAGGACCCAGCAGAAAACTGGGCTGGCACTCCGGATGGTGCACGCCCTGCAATCCTATGGCTGGTTCCGGCGATTGTTGCAATAGTCATTGACGTCAACAGCGTTAAATCAAGAAAAAATAATAATGAACATTGTATTTACCGGTGTAATGCCAGATTTTGCCAAAAATGATATTCTACATAAATCTCATTCAGCCGAAAAGATACGCTGTATTTATTTGAACTTGATAGACACCTTCGCAATGCCTCTTGACACCCGCGCAATTGATCGCCACGATTCACAGTTTAGAACTAATCGTCTACGGCCGTATTTAAAAAATAATGCGTGGTCCGGACCCATTCTAAATGTCAGGCTGTCCCTGTGTCATTCCTATATTTCTCTGCTGATGACGAATAAACAGCATATCTACGCTGGTATATCCGTTAGCACCACGGCTGACAACATATCACAAGCCGTAATTGCTGTGCGTGATGACACATATTTGCTCGATCTCTTAGAGCACGAATTCGCTACACCAGCCACGTCTCCTATAGCGTACGAGCACATCATCAGCCAGTTGAAGAAATACAGCGATGAACATTCAGAAAAAGTTCTCGGGGTTGCGCTATCCCGATCGCTACACAAGCTTATTCCTGCACTGTGTCCACAACTATGGGCAGAGCTAGACATTATACCGATTGTACTTGTGGAAGAGCCAGATGCTGATGCAACTGCCGAAACAATGACTAAGATCCATTTCCAGCAGAAGACAATTGATGAGCAGGCAGAGTCGCTTGCTCGGAAGTGTGTCAGGTATTATTAGGACATATTCGGTCTACTTCACCGTTCATCTTAGGGCTAACTGAAGAACAATAGATTTTTCGGACCAAACAAGTTGCCTATGATACATGTTGGCTTCCGCGGCCTGGTAGATGTCGATTCTGGTTTCTATATTCACATAGCTAACAAAGCCTCATTCCAACAAACCGTGCGTGAAAAGACTTGGGCAGCTCTTGAACATTACGCGTCGGATCTCCGTCATCGCCGTGTGAAGATCGCTTTCTTCAGTGCAACGCCCCAAGGAGGGGGCGTTGCCCTCATGCGTCATGCACTTGTTCGCCTAGCACATCAATTAGACCTTGATCTTAAATGGTAAATTGACATATACCGATCTCGTACACCCGAAACTAATATTTTCACAGGTACGTGCCAAAGCCACGACCAGGTGTGTTCCGTATTACGAAGACCAATCATAATATACTACAAGGGGTATCTGGTCCGGACGACCGGCTGGATGGCGAGAGTCAACAGCAATTGATTGATTGGACTCGAGACAATGCCAATAGATACTGGCTAAGATCTGGTGGCCCTTTATCTTCACCTGCAGATGGTGGTGCTGATGTTGTCATCGTTGATGATCCTCAGATGACGGGATTGATTCCGCTTGCGAAAGAAGTTGATCCCCAGCGCCCAGTCATATACAGAAGCCATATTCAGATGCGAAGCGATCTTATCGCAACTCCAGGAACTCCGCAGGCCGATGTTTGGGAATTCATCTGGCGACATATTCGGGCCGCTGACGTCTTCATCAGTCATCCAGTCGACGAGTTCGTCCCCAAGAATGTTCCACAAGACCGGGTTGGCTATATGCCCGCATCCACTGATTGGTAATTCGATCAAATGATAAATGGCTTGTACATCTTTGACTTACCTCATTTTTTAGGCTTGACGGTCTTAATAAGGAGATGCGTGAATGGGATACCGCATTTTACGGCCGACAATTTAATCATATGTGTAAGGATTCGGAAATGCCAGTCATCGATTATCCTACCGGTTTGTTCTAGATCCAACAAGCAGAATAACATATATTGATACCTACCGCAGACCAATATATCGTGCAAATTGCTCGATTTGACCCCGCAAAAGGAATACTAGATGTTCTCCAGTCTTATGAAATGTTTCACGAAAGGCTTACTATGCTACATCCCGAGATGAAAGTTCCGAAGCTTCTGATCTGTGGTCACGGGTCTATAGATGACCCTGATGGCTCTATAGTTTATGATGCTGTCCTTCAGCACATAGAACAGGCTATGCCGCATCTCATGGCTTTGATTGCAGTTATAAGGCTAGGGCCCTCTGACCAATTATTAAACACTCTATTGTCCAAAGCACATATTGTGTTACAATTATCATCACGAGAAGGGTTTGAGGTGAAGGTTTCGGAAGCCCTGCACAAAGGAAAACCCATCATCGCAACCAGAGCCGGGGGGATACCCTTACAGGTTGAGCATGAGAGAAACGGATATCTTGTTGATGTTGGGGACACCGAAGCTGTAGCTCGGTACCTATTGATGTTGTGGACGGACCGTGGCCTTTACGAGCGCATGAGTGCTTACGCTTTGGCACATATCAGCGATGAAGTGAGCACTGTTGGGCAAGCCTTGAACTGGTTTTTCCTATCATCCAAGTTGTCTCAAGGAGAAGAAGTCCTTCCACATCGGGAGTGGATTCAAGACCTAGCCCGAAGGGATCTTGGGCAAGCATATACCAAAGCAGACGGAAAGCTGAAAAGGTCCCCAAAAGATTACGAACACTCTTAAGGTTCCCGAACTCATATTTTGCGAAATTAATAACCCACAAATAAGGCTGCTGTTTCGCCATTCTTTGTGAGCGGTCCTTTACTGCGAGCAGATACTATGACTATCGCAATGGATTTCTTAAGCACTAAAGAGGTTGTAAATTCAACCGGTAAAAAGACTCATGTGAGTTGTGTCAGCTAATTCAATAGCATGCTATAGATCCCTCAAAAAGATTTATTCAGCATCTCAACGGAGTGACTGTTGTGTAGTTCAAGTTTGCGCCACAAAATTAGGAGCTAGTAAAGTTCACGCGACAACGCGGGTATATAATTAAGTATACCGAATGGACTACTAGAAAGTTCCCCTTATACCGCTATTGTGTATAGATAGAATTATAGACAATTCGATAGAAACTTGTAGAATCTAATAGAATTAAAGAGATTCTATATATGATTAGCGACTATATAATAAGATCATCACTATATTATTACTACTAATTACCACCAAAAATCAAAGATAAATACCACCTTAAATCCCTAATAGATAGCTTTTAATCCTAGTTCTGAAATTTATTTTAACTACTACTAAACGAGGGGATGCGCTGTGACAGTCTGAGCGGAACAGACAGGTCGAGGCACGGAAAAGATAGGCGACCCGGAATGGAAGGAAAACCACCAAACAAGGACTGTCCAAGGACCACACAACACCCCCTATCGACGAGGTCTCGGCCTAGTCAGGAGGTATTGTGTACTCTGGATAATCTAGTACTCAGGGAAGGCACGATCATCAAAGAATAGAGAAAATAATATGAATTGGAAGTGAATGAATGACTATCTCTCAAATGAGTGCTGCTCTGCTTCGTCGTATCTTCGTGTGTGTGTCCTTGGTCTATCTGAAAGAAAAAAATCCTGCCGACCTATCGGATCACATAAAAATTATCCTCCCCTTCCAAAACAGTGCTTCGGACCGAAGAGGCCAACAAGGCCGAATCCCCGAGAGAGCCAGCGATTCACCCAATCAGAAACAGCACTAAAATCCGTCAGCAGTTCCCCCTGTACACTACCTAAATAAATAGAGAAAATAGAAGTATATAAAATCCAAGACTTTGAATTAAATTTAAGGAGTAGGGCGATAGTGTTAGGACTTAGGCACTGGTTCCCCTATGCTAACGAAGCGCGCTACTTATATCGGTCCTAGGCATGCTAGAACATAGCTTTCTAGTATATCTAGTCTTTTTAGCCTGTTCAGCTAGTGCGCCTAGGCACATGTCGTAATAATAGAAACTTTATACGATCGGATAGTATAAGTAGTTAATATATTATATACTTAGGAGTAGAAGTAAAGATATGTAATATCAATAAGGATCATATATATACTTCTGACCTAACCCTATTAAAACCTTTATAGAATTTTCAAGAACTCAATGTATCTTTTCTAGGCATCGTACGATAATAAAATTAGATTTATCGAGAGCTCCTATACTTATTTATAACTTCTCAAATTTTAATGGGTATTAGATGTAATTCTACACGACTATGTCCCTACCTTTTCTTCCTATATTCAAGATGAAAACCATGATTCTACTCTAGTAGGGTATAAACACTCCTATATAATAGGGTTTGCATTTTCCGGATTATCGCTCTATAGGAATAAATCTAGCCCCTAGTATTTTAACCGAAAAGACTCCCCTCCTTTCATTATAGTCACCAGAAAGATAGGTCTTGCTGAGGGAGCGAACCGTTGGTATTCTTATGAGGGAAGAGTGGAAGGGGCCCTATATCATTTCCCGTGAGAAGGGTGACCAAGAATGCCGTTTAATGCGTCGTTCACTTCAAATTATTAGTATCTACAGTACAACTCTAGTGAGGTTTTTTTCTATTTCATTTCTTAATATTGATTATCTGCCGATCGTTCTCAAAGTCCGCGTCATAATGACTCAACCATCAGTGTTTGAAGATGTAAAAACAAAAGCTACCTAAACATTAAGTCCTTTAGAATCCAAAGCAACAAATGAAAGAGACGATTATAAATTCAGACAACATAGAAAAGCAGCAAACTGATATTTCGATCATGGTGTCCCGTTTAGACTAAATATGCGGTACAAATTTCCACTGAAAGGGCTTGGCTTGTTACCGATGCAAACTTCAATCCTGAGAATTTGCGAGAAAAATTCAACTTTAAACCTCTAAGGGAGATCGATTGCGTAGCTGTTCCTCACTCTGCGGTGCAGGGCTTACATGCCCAGAGGAGTTTGAGGATTTAGATAACGACACCGTCATCCTGAACTCGAAGAAATGCCTCTACCCAGTCTTTCTAGCTGGTATTCGTTGCCCAAGTAGCATGGTCGTTCTCATTCTAAATCACAAAAATGCCAGCCTGTTGTTTAATCGCGTGTTTGACATCAGGATGTTCGGTAGTGCCTAGGACCATAACATATCGCCGTTTGTGTTGTTATAAAGTCGGAGATCACCACCGGATGTGAGTGAGGTAAAGCATATAGAACCAGTTCCGAGACATCAAGTCTTGTGTGGGACAAACTCTCGGTAAGTTTCAATCCACCTAGTTCCGACATTTTGAAGTTGCCACCAAGGCCCTATCTACCAAAGAAGAACTTTCAAAGCCAGCATATGAGCTCTTGTAATTATAGAGAGTTTTGTGTAGACCCTACTGTTGTGTCATAATTTATAATGCGAGGATGGCTAACGGCCCAGATGGGGAGCGGACAGGTCAGCGTGCATTGACAACCGTAAGGCAACGCGCACTATGTTAGGTCGATGATGTCAATACCAGCAAAGATGAAAGCCTATTGTGGGTCTTGAATAAAGCTTCCAAATATCACTTCAGATTGCAAAGTCTAGGTGGCAAACTGAAAGAAAGGCAAACGATCATATTTGTTTATGTGGAGTACCCCGCTTCCGAAGCGCCATCTGATCGTATGATCCTGGTGATCGAGACCAACAGTAGCGACGTGATCAGCTGTCACGCTCTACGTGATGATAAGATTGGACAGTTTGAATGGCGTGGTTTCAACCAGTTGTCGCTTTTCACGCTGGGCTAACGAAAGTCACAAGCGAGCCGTGAACCCCCAAATTTTAGGGTTTTTTTATTTAGGGTTTAGGGTTTATTAGGGTTTAGGGTTTTAGGGTTTAGGGTTTAGG